CCAGTCTTAAAGTACAGATTTAGTGTTCCAGACACACCCTGTCTTAAAGTTGAGATTTAGTGTTCCAGACACACCCTGTCTTAAAGTAGAGATTTAGTGTTCCAGACACACCCAGTCTTAAAGTAGAGATTTAGTGCTCCAGACACACCCCCTGTGTTAAAGTAGAGATTTAGTGTTCCAGACACACCCTGTCTTAAAGTAGAGATTTAGTGTTCCAGACACACCCTGTCTTAAAGTAGAGATTTAGTGTTCCAGACACACCCTGTCTTAAAGTAGAGATTTAGTGTTCCAGACACACCCTGTCATAAAGTAGAGATATAGTGTTCCAGACACACCCAGCCTTAAAGTAGAGATTTAGTGTTCCACACACTAGTGGTGGTCCGATTAATTGAAATAATCAAAGATTGGTTGCAATGACTAAACGACCAAGCAATCAATAATGTTTTCTCATAATCGAACACAAACAATTTTGGCACACTTGTTTGCATTAACAACATTTTTCACTAGGTTGGTTTTGTCTGTTACATTTCATACGTACTACAAGCTCGTTCCTTGTCATGATTGAAATAATCTTAAAGATTCCACGAAATTTATGTTCCTAACATACTAGTCCTCCTTTAAAGATGTGAAATTTGTAAATGCATTTTGTGCAATTTGCAAAAAACACAGAAGTACATGTTTTTTCTATATTATTTTGTGCATTAATAAACATAACCAGGAAAATTTGATAGATCTCGCTAACCAATTTTTTTCGATGATTGATCGGTTGTAACCGCCTGCCGCCACTGCCTGCCACAACTGATGCTGAACTGATGATGGTGAAGTGGCGAGACTCCTATAGATTTTATGTCACCCCGAGTGACCGGTGCAGCAATCATGAGGCTGTCTGATGATGACTGGAGTCTACAGTGGCAATAGATAGCTTGCTGATCCTCAATTGGTTTCGATTTCCAGGTATACTCTGGAATTGAAATGAATCTGATTTGTCCACTTGTCTGAATCATGGCAAGAGACATACTTCAACTTACAGGCCATTCACTGACTGTAGGTTTAAATCCCAGATTCACCACAATTCTCATTCTCGGTTTGTCTACACTATTATACCTACACTTGCATTTTCACGAACATCGTGAACTACTTAAATTGACTTTATTTGGGGATTGCCCCACTTTAAGGAATTGTCACTTACCTCACAGTCATTGTCTATATGGTGCCATTGACCTTCAACGTTGGTGAATTCAGTGATGTCATTGAAAAAAAGTGCTTTCCTAATTCCTCCTCAGCGTTTTCAATTCGATCAGTGATACAATTGTGTGTTTTCATTTCCTTAATCTCATGTCAGGATTTATTCAGATGAATAATGAAATTGTTATAGTCGAGTCTGAATGAGGTACTATCATCAGTCCAGGTATCTTCTAATTGCTGTGTTGGTGCAGAGTAATAACATGCTCTGACCGCCTCCCGTGGTGTAGTGGTTAGAGCGTCCGCCCGGAGAGCAGAAGGTCGCGGGTTCGATCCCCGACCGCGTCATACCAAAAGATGTTAAAATGTGGTACTTGTTGGTCCCTGCCTGGCGCTCGGCATTAATGGGTACAACAAGGACTGGTCAGCTCGGAGTCAGTATAATGTGTCTGAGTGGGGTATTCATGCTTCGCTGTGGCGTGGTATCTCAGTGGGCTAGCACTATAAAACCAGCTTCAGTCTTGGCTTGTACAAGCAGCCGCACCTACACATACACAGGCATGCACCTCATCATATGAGCGACATATTCTCAAGTACGACGTTAAACCCAATTTCATGCATGTCGTGGTGATTGGTCCAATATGTTAATGGTGCAAGATCCATAGTCACAGAGTGTCTGCCGGCACCTGATAATCTATGGACATGGAAATAAAAGTTCAAATTTGATTGTTAAGTAGGGTTCTATTATATGAAAGAGATTTGATTGATCAGTAATGGAAGGGAAATGTCAAGGATGTCGGTGTCAAGTCATTGGTAATGTTTATCGCAGCTTTTCGCAAGTTAGAACATTCCTAAAGCTCATGAAGTCATGTGAACAAAATCAATATGGCTGCTTTTGACATCTACCTGCTGTAGCCTCTCCTTTAGCAGTGCCAGGGTTTACTGAAATGTGAAAAGGGATAAGTAGCCATGCAGGCCTTTTTCTGTTGATATGTGGGTCATCGGTTTGTTTTTTGTATCTTCAGTTTATGTGTCTACAGTGTCATCCAGGTTACATATGACAAACATTCTGGTTACAGTTGACCAACCCCCTGTTACATCTGTCCAACACTCAGGTTACAGCTGACCAACACTCAGGTTACAGCTGACCAACATTCTGGTATCATCTGACCAATGCTCAGGTTACATCTGACCGACACTCAGGTTACATCTGACTGACACTCAGGTCACATCTGACCAATGCTCAGGTTACATCTGACCGACACTCAGGTTATATCTGACCAATGCTCGGGTTACAGCTGACCGACACTCAGGTTACATCTGACCAACACTCAGGTTACATCTGACAAATGCTCAGGTTACATCTGACCGACACTCAGGTTAGATCTGACTGACACTCAGGTTACAGCTGACAAACAGCAAGGTTACAGCTGACCGACTCTCAGGTTACAGCTGACCAACACTCAGGTTACGTCTGACCAACACTCAGGTTACATCTGACCAGAGCTAATGTTACAGCTGACCGAAAGTCAGAACATGTGAAGCCCATGTGAAGTTCTAGTTACATCTGACTGACACTCAGGTTACATCTGACTGACCGATGCTTGGGTTACAGCTGACCGACACTCAGGTTACAGCTGACTGACACTCAGGTTACATCTGACCAATGCTCAGGTTACAGCTGACCGACTCTCAGGTTACATCTGATCGACACTCAGGTTACATCTGATCGACACTCAGGTTACATCTGACTGACTCTCAGGTTACATCTGACTAACGCTCAGGTTACAGCTGACTGACACTCAGGTTACAGCTGACCAACAGCCAGGTTACATCTGTCTGACACTGGGGTTATAGCTGACCAACAGCCAGGTTACATCTGACTGACACTCAGGTTACATCTGACCGACACTCAGGTTACAGCTGACCAACAGCCAGGTTACATCTGACTGACACTCAGGTTACATCTGACCGACACTCAGGTTACATCTGACTAACGCTCAGGTTACATCTGACTGACATTCAGGTTACAGCTGACCAACAGCCAGGTTACATCTGACCGACACTCAGGTTACATCTGACTAACGCTCAGGTTACAGCTGACCAACAGCCAGGTTACATCTGACCAACAGCCAGGTTACATCTGACTGATGCTCAGGTTACATCTGACCAACACTCAGGTTACAGCTGACCAACAGCAAGGTTACATCTGACTGACACTCAGGTTACATCTGTCTGACACTGGGGTTATAGCTGACCAACAGCCAGGTTACATCTGACTGACACTCAGGTTACATCTGTCTGACACTGGGGTTATAGCTGACCAACAGCCAGGTTACATCTGACTGACACTCAGGTTACAGCTGACCAACAGCCAGGTTACATCTGACTGACACTGGGGTAAATTACTCGTCTAACCATGAGACCTAACTACAACACAGAATACACAGTTTCATGGTGAAATCCTCATCCCAGAGAGCAAAGTATTATTTTGAAAAGTTGAAGAAGCATTTTAAAAAATAAGTTCAGATAAAAGATGTGACAAATGTATTGTCATTGTCCCCCACCACAACGCTGGAACGGTGGACTATGTTTTCAGCAGTGTCCGTACGTACATCCCAATTCTTGTTAACGCAATATCTCATGAACTGTTGTACCCAATGTCTTCATTGGGGGATTATGCAGACACTAGTCGATTTTGGTGACCTTGACCTCATTTTCAAGGTCACCACGACACTTTGACCACTTTTCAAACTTATGTAAAAGCGATGTCTCATAAAACATTGCACCCAATGTCTTCAGTTATGTCGACAGCCTACATTGGGTGATTATGCAGACACCAGTCATTTCAGACATCTTGTATGTGACCAAAAACTATAAAGTAGTAAATATGTTATAAATATTTCATTCTTCTTTGGTGGCGTGGGGGACAATGCCATTTTAGTGGCAAACACTTGTTCATTATTGGCTTAATTTGCAGGTGGCTAACATAACTCTCAGCTCTCAGCCAGTCTCTCATTTTTGGGCTGCTAGGTGGGAACACCTTACTTGTGACCCTGATTGAAAAATAATCAACTCTTTTTTGCAGACAAACTTTGTTATCTTAATCAGTAGGATTTGTTTGGTGTAAATCAGGTTAGATCAACTATTTCTATATGGTATTTTAGTCTACTGTGGTGTTGAGAGTAAAAATTGAATGTGACAGAGAGCATGTGGGTGAAACTCAAGGAGGACCAGCCAGTATCCAGTGGAGTCATTGGGGGGACTAGCCGATCTAGTCATTGGGAGACCATCCAATCTAGTCTTTGTGGGACTAGCCAATCTGGTCTTTACCATGTAGTTCAGTGTAGAGGGGGGGATTCACCCAGACTACCTGCATCACCGTCGACTTTCTTTTCACTTCAAGTTGACACATCATGGTTACGGCTCACTCACTCACTCACTCACTCACTCACACACACACCACTCACTCACTCACTCACTCACTCACTCACTCACTCACTCACTCACTCACTCACTCACTCACTCACTCACTCACGGCACAGTTCCTGCTTTCAACACACTTTGCACTGACACTCAGGAATTGTTCTAATAACATCAAACAGTGATCAATATAGGAGAATGCCCATGTTATTTTCCTGCAGTGAATTATTCATTGTCTGCAGAAGCTAAACTTGTTACTGAACATAACAGTGTATGCACTGACTGCAGATTTCTTGCTTTAAAACAAGAAATCGGAAATAAGTCTTCATCAGTGGTAACTGGTAACACACAGGATACTATCGCTGTCGGTGGTGTCTTGTATATATGGGCAACAGGCAGTAGGCTTTGACACGAGGTCAGATGGTCTTGTTAGCGTTTGAAGTATCTCCTGGGGCGGTGGGTACCCTGGTGCTTAAAGCATTTGCTCGTCACGTCGAAGCCCCGGGTTCGATTCCCCAACTCACTCACTGAGCATCTCCTATTGGGTTTCTGTAACCATAGTGTAATATCATAATGTGCAATGTCATAATGTTCAATAGGCTCAATTGTTAGTTAAATATGTGTAAGTATAACCAGGGTAGTTTGTATATTGTAACATGAGACAACCCACTCTTAGATTACATGTTAAAGTCCTCCGTTGGAAGAAATGTTGAAGCCTCTTCTGTTATGCCTGGCAAGGCCGTCTGATAGAGCTCATAAAAGTATATAGATTGTGTGTGCTTGTGTGTGTACTATGAATAATTTATTGTTGATAAAATCGATTGTAATATGCTATTGTGTTTGCATGGATGGCTTCAGGGAATTTGACAACTGAACATTGACGCCTTGTTTATCATAAAGCAAAACTCTGGAGGTTAAGTAGGTGCTTAAAGACACCTCTGGGAAACAACTCCGGGATATGATCTGGTGTAATAGCAGGGTCAAACAGGACAAATTAGGGCTTAAACCATCAGCTGTACATTGAGGTCTCAAACAGGAGAAATGAGATGGTTTAAACAGCTGTGATATAGAGGGACTGACAGGAGAAATGAGAGGGTTTAAACAGCTGTGATATAGAGGGACTGACAGGAGAAATGAGAGGGTTCAAACAGCTGTGATATAGAGGGAATGACAGGAGAAGTGAGAGGGTTCAAACATCTGTGATATAGAGGAACTGACAGGAGAAATGAGAGGGTTCAAACAGCTGTGATATAGAGGGAATGACAGGAGAAGTGAGAGGGTTCAAACATCTGTGATATAGAGGAACTGACAGGAGAAGTGAGGGTTCAAACATCTGTGATATAGAGGGAATGACAGGAGAAATGAGAGGGTTCAAACAGCTGTGATATAGAGGGAATGACAGGAGAAGTGAGAGGGTTCAAACATATGTGATATAGAGGGAATGACAGGAGAAGTGAGAGGGTTCAAACATCTGTGATATAGAGGGAATGACAGGAGAAATGAGAGGGTTCAAACATCTGTGATATAGAGGGAATGACAGGAGAAATGAGAGGGTTCAAACAGCTGTGATATAGAGGGAATGACAGAAGTGAGAGGGTTCAAACAGCTGTGATATAGAGGGAATGACAGGAGAAATGAGAGGGTTCAAACAGCTGTGATATAGAGGGAATGACAGAAGTGAGAGGGTTCAAACAGCTGTGATATAGAGGGAATGACAGGAGAAATGAGAGGGTTCAAACAGCTGTGATATAGAGGGAATGACAGGAGAAGTGACAATTACACAGACCCTTCTTACATAATAAAACAGACCACACTGATAGACATGGACAATTTTTGCATGCACAGGAAATACACTTTTTATTTAAATATTGGCTACATTGCGGCTTAAACAAAACAAATTTTCAAGTGTGGCAAATATTGAAAGCTGGGCTTGTATTAAGTTGTAACCATCAGGCCCCCAAGGGGAAGATTTCTGGCTGGGATACTCACGGGTTGTGAGGAGGGAACTGCCACAAAGCAGACGTCCAAATATTGGCCTGGTTCTGTGTTTGTACCCACTGTGAGTAGTCACACCTTCATGTTGAAGGGATAACGTTTGTATGATGTGGACGTGACGTCACTGCCTCTTGTCCGTGAGCTGTTAAACAAGAGGGTTTGTTATATTCAAATTTGTTGCATTTGAATATAAAATATTTGTGAGAAATGTTTAAAGATACTTTTACTCTCTCTATAGAAAAATCTGACCATAGCGTCATTGATCTGTTAACTCTCCCTCTTTCCTTCTCTCTATCCCTCCTCCCCCTTTCTTTTCTTCTCTTACTCATCTCTCCCTCCTCTTTCTTCCTTCCTCCCCCCTCTCTCTTTCTCTCTCTCTCACACACACATTCCTGATGAATATCAGAGGGTTACAGATCAGAGTTGGGTTTTTTTCAACACAGCCCTTGAACCTGTTTGATGGCTTCTTCTCTGTAGTAATTACCGAGTGAAATATTCATTGGTAATTTTCTGTAGTAATTCTCCCCTCTCCAAACACTGTTGGTCTTTAACAAAAATTGGGTTAGTCTGTGCACATGGTCAATCGCCATGGTTACGTCTCGCATGGGCTTCTTTGTGGATCCAGGTTGGTGTGAACCCAGAGACAAGGCACTTTAAACTGACAAATTAAAATTGATGTGTAAAATTGGTAATTCTTTTACCAGTGTTGTTTTCATCCTGCATGCAGGACAGAACCTGCAGGGTGCTCCACGGAAATGGAATGGAAATGGAATCCTGAGCTCAATAAAGATTTTGTTTCCTATCTGACTTGTATACAATTGATGTATACAGGCGTGATTGACGTCATATTAAGGCTACGCTTTTTTATTATATTGTTTGATTCTGCTGATTCTGCAAAAAAAATAGAAAGACAAATTCTTGAGCCCATTGTTTCATACCCCTAAATACAAACTCATATGTTCACTGAAACAACTTGATCTACAGGTAGTGAAATTCGACAAGTGTTTGTCTTCTTGTTTATGCCGCACTTACCTCTTTTCTTTGCCTGGACATGATCAAGTCTGGGCCAGACAATCACCTGATTGATGTTACCAGCATTGTCTCACATTGACGGAACCAAGACTTGCTATGAACCAAGTTACCAGGACTTTCATTAATTCTCCTCTGTAGTTGTCTTAAGAACAATTCTTTAGAGAAATCCCTGACTTTTTGCTCGTGTTTTTCTGGTGATTGGAATGGCAATTGTTTCTTTGTGTTGTTTCATGTTTATTTCATGCCTCAGCATAAAGGATGTAACAGAATAAAGAAGTATAAAACATCCCCTCTCTTGACATAACTTGATGTTACTAGGTTGTAGATAAGACAATACAGTGCTCCCTCTGGAGACAAAGTGGGAGATATATGACTGTCCTCCTGGACGATCACATCCCCAATCAATACATTGTAGGCAACAGGCACAGAGAGATGTCTGAGTGTACCTGATAAATGGATGATCTATGTGTTCAGCAGCTAAGGACCATCTGGAAGCTGGCTGGCTGGCTCCTCAATATCCTGTTCCGTCAAACACGCCGGCTTCTTTTTATTAGATGTTATTTAGTGACTCTTACTGGGTCTTCTACTTGGCAATCAAACCTGGCAACAGTTCCTTATGGACTGCCACGTTTACCATTAGATGGCAACTCTGTAGCTAATTACTTTTGTGGACTATTGAAATACAAATTAATATTTTACAAGGACTGTCAAAGACTTACAAACCAAAGGAACTTTCCCATGACTTCTGTGTTGTATAGGAGGTTGACAGTAGATAATGAGGCCTTGGAAGAAGTGAAGACAGGGCTGATAAGACTGAGTGCAAGGTTATAAGCTGCCTTATGAACCGATTTATTGATAAAATATATTTCATTTATGACACTGAAACCACAGAGCATGACCTATTTATAATTCAAAGTAAAACCTGAAGTTTCACTTGAACTAGGGCAGTGGGGTAGCCTAGTCGTGAAAGCATGTGCTCGTCATTCTGAAGACCCGGGTTCGATTAACCCCATAGGTGAACATACAAAACCTTGCCACCTATATATTAAAGGTACGAGTACAATGTGTGAAGCCCATTTCTGGTGTCCCCTGCCTTGACATATTCCACCATGGAATATTGCTAAAGGTTGGCATAAAAATAAACTCACTCAATTCACTTGATGCAAACAGGTCTTATTTGAACATACAAAACCTTGCCACCTGTATATTAAAGGTTACATCTGGTCCTTGACACAAGCACATGATCAAAGGTGTTAAGTGGCGGTGGGGTAGCCTAGTGGTTAAAGCATTCACTCGTCACGCCAAAGATCCGGGTTCGATTCCACACATTGGTACAATGTGTGAAGCCCATTTCTGGTGTCCCTCCGCTAAAAGTGGCGTAAAACTAAACTCACTCACTCACACTTGATTATTTAGTGTCTTCTGACATTAACTGACAAACAAGTTCACTTTGTTGATGATGTTTAATGGGATGCTTTGTGTTGCAGCTTCATCATGCATTTGAGGACCTGGATGTGATGAAGAACTATGACGGGATGGTGCTGCTGCTGGAGGACGACTACTACGTCACGGAGGACGTCCTCACCATCCTGCAGATGATGCAGAACCTCGCCAACAAGTACGTAGACGCAGAAGCATATCTCACATGGGCTGCAGGGTGTCGGGTCACATGGGCTGTAGGATGTCAGGTCAAATGGGCTGCAGGGTGTCAGATCAAATGGGCTGCAGGGTGTCAGGTCACATGTGCTGTAGCATGTTGGGTCACATGGGCTGCAGGCTGTCAGGTCACATGGGCTTCAGGGTGTTGGGTCACATGGGCTGCAGGGTGTCAGGTCACATGGGCTTCAGGGTGTTGGGTCACATGGGCTGCAGGGTGTTGGGTCACATGGGCTGTAGCATGTCAGGTCACATGGGCTGAAGGGTTGCAGTTCAGGGATACATGAAGTTGGTTTGATGAGAAGCAGTTTCAAACAGTGCACTCTTCTTATCAAGTTAGTAGTATTGTTCTTTGCAACAAAGGCTCCTCTTGCCAGGGAGTAGCGCAGATCTGTCCCATAGTTGTAATCTGAATATTCAATTGTCTGGCAGCCACTTCCACTGCTGTGCGAGACAGGTGGAATTAAAGACATAAGTGCTGTTATCAAGGTCCTGGCATTTCCTATCATTTGGTCATTTTCTTTCTATCATTTTGAAAGTAAATTAGCTGTAGTCTGCCTTGTCTGTATAAATCAATCTATCAGTGTTGTCCAGCTGTTGCTTGTCGTTACTTCCTCCTGGGAGGAGGCGTGTATTCATTACTGCAGCTACATCTGTGATATAGATATCCTGTGTTTTCAGTTACAACTCGCTTACTCGTACATTTCGCTTTTTAAACAAAACAGCATGAGATTTCAAATATTGAAATATTTCAAATTAATTTTACCTGTCACCTGGCTCTACATGTAGACTCAGTATATTATCTCCACTCAACCATGGCTGAATAGTACAAACTCTTTGGTGTCAGTAAATGTGTTGAGTGAAGCAGGACTGGTCGAGTCAAGTATCATGTGTCAGTTGGTGATCTGAATTACACAATTACATTACATGTCATAACTATTGTAGGCCTGGTATTGCATCCCATTAGTCACATCAAACATGGCATGACATTAGGTATGAAATCACATTAAATATACTATGACATTAGTAATAAAAACACATTACACATGGCATGACATTAGATATGACATCACATTAAACATGGTATGACATTAGATGTGAAATCACATTAAACATGGCATGATATTAGATATGACATCACATTAAACATGGTATGGCATTAGATGTGAAATCACATTAAACATGGCATGATATCAGTTATGAAATCATACATCAAATATGGCATGACATTAGATATGACATCACATTAAACATGGCATGATATTAGATATGAAATCACATCAAATATGGCATGATATTAGATATGACATCACATCAAATATGGCATGATATTAGATATGACATCACATCAAATATGGCATGATATTAGATATGAAATCACATCAAATATGGCATGATATTAGATATGACATCACATTAAACATGGCATGATATTAGATATTACATCACATAAAACATGGCATGATATTAGATATGAAATCACACATCAGATATGGCATGACATTAGATATGACATCAAATTTAACTTGGCATGATATTAGATATGACATCACATTAAACATGGCATGATATTAGATATGAAATCACATCAAATATGGCATGATATTAGATATGACATCACATCAAATATGGCATGATATTAGATATGAAATCACATTAAACATGGCATGATATTAGATATGACATCACATTAAAACATGGCATGATATTAGATATGAAATCACATTAAATATGGCATGATATTAGATATGACATCACACATTAAACATGGCATGATATTAGATATGACATCACATTAAACATGGCATGATATTAGATATGACATCACATTAAACATGGCATGATATTAGTTATGACATCACATAAAACATGGCATGATATTCGTTATGAAATCACACATCAGATATGGCATGACATTAGATATGACATCACATTAAACATGGCATGACATTAGATGTGAAATCACATTAAACATGGCATGATATTAGTTATGAAATCACACATCAGATATGGCATGACATTAGATATGACATCAAATTAAACATGGCATGATATTAGATATTACATCACATTAAACACGGCATGATATTAGATATGACATCACATAAAACATGGCATGATATTAGTTATGAAATCACACATCAGATATGGCATGACATTAGATATGACATCACATTAAACATGGCATGATATTAGTTATGACATCACATAAAACATGGCATGATATTAGTTATGAAATCACACATCAGATATGGCATGACATTAGATATGACATCACATTAAACATGGCATGATATTAGTTATGGAATCATACATCAAGTATGGCATGACATTAGATATGACATCACATTAAACATGGCATGATATTAGTTATGAAATCACACATCAGATATGGCATGACATTAGATATGACATCAAATTAAACATGGCATGATATTAGATATGACATCAAATTAAACATGGCATGATATTAGATATGAAATCACATCAAATATGGCATGATATTAGATATGACATCACATCAAATATGGCATGATATTAGATATGAAATCACATCAAATATGGCATGATATTAGATATGACATCACATTAAACATGGCATGATATTAGATATGACATCACATAAAACATGGCATGATATTAGATATGAAATCACACATCAGATATGGCATGACATTAGATATGACATCAAATTTAACTTGGCATGATATTAGATATGACATCACATTAAACATGGCATGACATTAGATATGACATCAAATTTAACTTGGCATGATATTAGATATGAAATCACATCAAATATGGCATGATATTAGATATGACATCACATTAAACATGGCATGATATTAGATATTACATCACATTAAACATGGCATGATATTAGATATGAAATCACACATCAGATATGGCATGACATTAGATATGACATCACATCAAATATGGCATGATATTAGATATGAAATCACATCAAATATGGCATGATATTAGATATGACATCACATTAAACATGGCATGATATTAGATATTACATCACATAAAACATGGCATGATATTAGATATGAAATCACACATCAGATGGCATGACATTAGATATGACATCACATCAAATATGGCATGATATTAGATATGAAATCACATCAAATATGGCATGATATTAGATATGACATCACATTAAACATGGCATGATATTAGATATTACATCACATAAAACATGGCATGATATTAGATATGAAATCACACATCAGATATGGCATGACATTAGATATTACATCACATAAAACATGGCATGATATTAGATATGAAATCACACATCAGATATGGCATGACATTAGATATGACATCACATCAAATATGGCATGATATTAGATATGAAATCACATCAAATATGGCATGATATTAGATATGACATCACATTAAACATGGCATGATATTAGATATTACATCACATAAAACATGGCATGATATTAGATATGAAATCACACATCAGATATGGCATGACATTAGATATGACATCAAATTTAACTTGGCATGATATTAGATATGACATCACATTAAACATGGCATGACATTAGATATGACATCACATTAAACATGGCATGATATTAGTTATGACATCACATAAAACATGGCATGATATTCGTTATGAAATCACACATCAGATATGGCATGACATTAGATATGACATCACATTAAACATGGCATGACATTAGATGTGAAATCACATTAAAACATGGCATGATATTAGATGTGAAATCACACATCAGATATGGCATGACATTAGATATGACATCAAATTAAACATGGCATGATATTAGATATTACATCACATTAAACACGGCATGATATTAGATATGACATCACATAAAACATGGCATGATATTAGTTATGAAATCACACATCAGATATGGCATGACATTAGATATGACATCACATTAAACATGGCATGATATTAGTTATGACATCACATAAAACATGGCATGATATTAGTTATGAAATCACACATCAGATATGGCATGACATTAGATATGACATCACATTAAACATGGCATGATATTAGTTATGGAATCACACATCAAGTATGGCATGACATTAGATATGACATCACATTAAACATGGCATGATATTAGTTATGAAATCACACATCAGATATGGCATGACATTAGATATGACATCAAATTAAACATGGCATGATATTAGATATGACATCAAATTAAACATGGCATGACATTAGATATGACATCACATTAAACATGGCATGATATTAGATATGACATCACATTAAACATGGCATGATATTAGTTATGAAATCACACATCAGATATGGCATGATATTAGATATGACATCAAATTAAACATGGCATGATATTAGATATGACATCACATTAAACATGGCATGATATTAGATATGAAATCACATCAAACATGGCATGACATTAGATATGACATCACATTAAACATGGCATGATATTAGTTATGAAATCACACATCAGATATGGCATGACATTAGATATGACATCAAATTAAACATGGCATGATATTAGATATGACATCACATTAAACATGGCATGACATTAGATATGACATCACATTAAACATGGCATGATATTAGTTATGAAATCATACATCAAATATGGCATGATATTAGATATGACATCACATTAAACATGGCATGATATTAGATGTGAAATCATGCATCAAGTATGGCAAGACATTAGATATGACATCACATAAAACATGGCATGATATTAGATGTGAAATCATACATCAAGTATGGCAAGATATTAGATATGACATCACATTAAACATGGCATGATATTAGTTATGAAATCACATCAAACATGGCGTCACAATCGTTATGACATCACAGCCTGTCACATGTGTGTCTGTGATTGCAGGGACTGTAAGGACTGCCGTATGCTGGTCATCGGCAACTACGACAAAGTCCAGAACTACCAGGCCAACGCAGGCAAAGTAAGTAGCATCCTCTTTCTGTATCCTTCACTCACTGGTCTCAGTCTTGGGCATCCGTAAACATGTAGTTCAGTGTCATCCAAAGTAACAATGTGAAAAGCCGTACTGCTCTAGCCTTACTGTCTGCCTCCGTGGTGTAGTGGTTAGAGCGTCCGCCCGGAGAGCGGAAGGTCGCGGGTTCGATCCCCAACCGCGTCATACCAAAAGACGTCAAAATATGGTAATTGTTGGTCCCTGCCTGGCGCTCAGCATTAATGGGTACAACAAGGACTGGTCGGCTCGGAGTCGGTATACTGTGTCTGAGTGGGGTATTCATGCTTCACTGCGGCATGGTATCTAAGTGGGCTAGCACTATAAAACCAGCTTAAGTCTGGGCTAGTACAAGCAGCCGCACATACACATACACACACATGCACGTCCTCATATGAGCGAAATATTCTCAAGCACGACGTTAAACCCAATTTCACCTCACCTCACCTCTAGCCTTACCAGTTTCAACTGATGTAGGACTAAATCCATGCCTGCAGCTAAGTAGTTTTCTTTTTTTGTGCTCAGTACATAAGGAGTACCTACTTACACTGAAGGACTGCTTCGTATCCTGATATCCTTTAGTTATGTCTGAAGGCTGCTACCCCAGTGAAGTTCCCGGGTTAGAATTGATCTTCAGTGATCTATGCTTGTTGTAAGAGGTGACTAACGGGATCGGGCGGTCAGGCTCGCTGACTTGGTTGACACATGTCATCATATCCCATTTGTGTAGATTGATGCTCTTGCTGTTGATCATTGGATTGTCTGGTCCAGACTCGATTATTTACTGACCGCTGCCATATAGCTAGAATATTGCTAAATTCATTCACTGAAGACTGCTGCTAGAATCATTGATAAAAATGATGTAACCAAATATGATTTTATGTAGACTGAGTTTAACAGTGCTGCAGGAGTTATTCCCCTTGCGTGTCAGTAAAACATCTAAGATTACTTGTATTAAACGTCTTCATGTGTGTTGCCAGGTTGAGCGGGCCTACTGGATTTCCTCCAAACATAACATGGGGATGGTGTTCACCAGGGTGTTGTGGAATGAAATCAAGAAATGTTTTAAGGTAAGTAGGTTGTTTGCGTCCAGCTGCAACTGTGGCTTTAGTGAACAGTTTTAATCAAGGTTAGGTCAGTCCACAGCACCCTTTGCTTGTCACCCCATTGGGAATCTGGAGATGAATAAGAGGTGACTAACGGGATCGGGTGGTCAGGCTTGCTGAATTGGTTGACACATGCCATCAACAAACCAACTCCTAAGTGTGTTATTTGTAATTGTAATGTTTTTGTGTACCAGGAGTTTTGTCTCCATGACGACTACAACTGGGACTGGACCATTCAGCATCTCAGCATGAAGTGCATCCCCAACAAGATCCGCACCATCAAGATGAAAGCTAGTCGGATCTTCCACATCGGTGAATGGTAAGAGTTGGTTATAGACCAGTCCTACTGATAGTTGCATTATAGAATAGTATTTCTGTTATTTAATGGCTTTGCAGCTGTTATTGTTGAAATAAAGCCTAAAGTTACACTGCTGGTAGACTTTTACCACTTTGAAGAAAACCGTATGTGTAGTGCTGTTAACCCAGGTACTAACAGCAGAAGGAAACTTCTAATCTAAGGGACACAACTCTACGGTTTCAACCTGCATTGTTGACAGTGGTCTGCCAGAACACACTCTGCAGAGTTACTTTCCTTAGCTATCCAGGGGCAGATCCGGGATTTTGGAAAAGAGGGGGGTGCACATAAATCATGAAGTGGAAAGATTAGGGGGAAATGCACCTCAGGGGAAAATATTTTGGGGGATAGGTGAGATGTGCCCACCCACCCCCTCACCCACCCCACACCCCACCCCCACCCATAATAACTCACTCACTGTTTTCAGAGGTATATCTTGTATATATGTTGTATCCCTCGGTCTTGCTCAGTAAACAGTTTGTTCATTTCTCTTTCAGTGGGATGCACATGAAGGGCAAGAGCTGCAATCCTGGGGGAAAGCTGAAGAAAGTGGAGGAGTTAATTGCTAAAAACAAACAATATCTGTTTCCTAATGTGCTATCAGTGGCCGGGGATTCCCGTTTCAAACTAAGAGACCCCAAAGCTAATGGTGGATGGGGTGATAACAGGGACCATGAAATGTGCCTGAGTTTCTTGTACAGAAACACCACAGTTAGGTGATAGTTGGAGCAGACGGCACAGTCGGACATCTTGGATTCCAGAAGGTGCACTCACAAGAAGGAAGAACATGAACTTTGAACAATCTCATCTTACTAACCTGATTGTATTTAAAAGTTTAACAATAACATTGTTTCATGTGAAATAGTATGATTATCATCTCCTGTTTCATCCAGATATTTTGTCATTTTAATGTGCAAGGTTGTGTCTCATGACAAGCCTGATTTTTAGGGGTTTTCTCTTCAGATGATATGGTTTAATTCATCTTTGAATCTTTCCAAGTTAATGAAGTCATCTTATTTCAGAGAGAATGATCAAATCATTTGGGTTGAACTGGTAGCAATCCTCAGTATTTTCACAGAATCATGTGAAAACTTGTCATTGTATTTTGTACGACTGCAAGTTATACTTTTTCTTTCTTGAATGCAATATTTTCGGATGTGATAGAAGTCTTGCTTGTTATGGCTGACCATTCTTATTCCAGAGGAGGGGTACCAGGATCTGTTTGAAAAATATCATTTATCCCAGAATATCCAGTCAGAATATATACTGCCTCCAGTTTAACAACAAACAAATTGTTCACTTGACATAATGGACGTCATGAAGAGAATTATGTGGCTCCCCCTCTTCATTATGGAAGAATTGTATGTGTTAAAGCAGTAACTGGACAAATAGTCTGTTTCCAACAATTTCCACCCCACACACACCCCTCCTCTCCACCACCCACTTCCCCACCCCCACCCCCTCTTTATTGTCTATTTAATGGTCGGTCCATAAATCTCTAATGGCTTTGTACATGTAAATTGAAAACTTTGATGGTTTGTGTTTTGCTTTGTAATTAAATTTGTATCAGGCTGTTAGCAATTCAATTATGAAGTCCTATCATGCTTGAAGGCAAAACTGTTTACACCTGTGATGATTTCACTGCTTCTTGAACATTGTATGAATATACCATGTTGTTCATGCTGTTAACAAAGTCAGATATTACTAATGGTCGTCTTGAACTTGTTGTTGTCAATGTCTTCTTGTTGTTTCTGAACAACCTGACGTAGGGTACATATCACATCAACATTGACTGTTTGCGTTTTTGCTTGTTTCCAAGAATTCAGTCAGGATGTGACTGAAATATTTCTTCTTGGCTGCTAAAAATCTAATTTCTCAATAATATCTCCACATCACTGAATACGTTACCATGGAGACCCTAAAACAAGCCATCCAACACTCTCCTTGCAAATCCAGATTATTGCAGTCTCTAGGATCTTTTAGCTATATATTAAAGAGAATTAATACTGTTCTTTCTGTAAAATATTTTGACTTCAAAGACTAGACGTTAGTGTGTAATATCCTGTGTTTAAAGTTATCTTCCTCACCATTGTGTGACCAATGTGTCATTCACTTTGTCAGAAACAATGTGTGTCCCCTGTGAAGTCTGAAGTTCATAGTTTAATTCATACCTCCTCAATTCACCATTTTTTTGGGAAAAAACATAGATTACATTGGACATGTGTGATGGGCGACATATTCTAGATGTATAAACATGTAACAAGGAGTTCAAGAGATTTTTGACACAACCCTGATCAGCTTTCCTGTTTATTCTTGGTCCGTACATGTTTCAGTGATTATAATGTGCCAACGTGTTTCAGTAATGGCCAAACTCATCTCATCTCTCACATCCTATTTGCGTGATTGATTTAGATCATGGTTTGAATGATGTAGATTATGTTTTGAAAGCTGACAGTCTTGTGAGTTATGTCAACATTTGAGTTGCTTTGGCTTGAGGCAGCATGCAGTACTGCAGCTTCGGCCATTTTGTTTCCTTATATAAAAGGACACCTCTCAAACAAAAAGTATTTTGTAAGATTATGGAACATTATGTGGACTGCTTTGATGGAAATACTTTGTTATGTTTCATCAGTAGCTTACCTTGATGCTACAGGTAGATGTCAGCTTACCTTGATGCTACAGGTAGATGTCAGCTTACCTTGATGCTACAGGTAGATGTCAAGGGATTACCGGTACCTTGAATCTACAGGTAGATGTCAGCTTACCTTGATGCTACAGGTAGATGTCAGCTTACCTTGATGCTACAGGTAGATGTCAAGGAGTTACCTTGAATCTACAGGTAGATGTCAGCTTACCTTGATGCTACATGTAAATGTCAGCTTACCTTGATGCTACATGTAAATGTCAGCTTACCTTGATGCTACAGGTAGATGTCTGCTTACCTTGAATCTACAGGTAGATGTCAGGAGTGTACCTTGATGCTACATGTAGATATCAGCTTACCCTGAATCTACAGGTAGATGTCAGGAGTGTACCTTGATGCTACATGTAGATATCAGCTTACCCTGAATCTTCAGGTAGATGTCAGGAGTTTACCTTGAATCTACAGGTAGATGTCAGGAGTTTACCTTGATGCTACAGGTAGATGTCACCCAAACCTAGCATCTCCATCTGTCTTCCCACATGAGTGAGGTTGCACCGAGCTCCTCAGTTTAGGATCCTAAATTGTTTATTCTTCGTGTCAGTCATCAACAATTTCTTCTGAGGAGCATCATGTCAAATAAAATGAACCACATGTTAAACACCATGCAGTTAAAATTATCTGCAAATTGTTTATAGAACCAAAGTTCCTGTTATTGCATTAAGGTTGCACAGAGGGGCTTGACCAAGTGCTGTATTGATCTGGGCTTGCCACACTGCCATGTGGTCGCTGTTGTTATTGTGTGGACAATGCATGCAGATGCAACTCTGTCACCTGTAAATATGTTGTCTGGAAAAGAGTATTTAATGTGCATGTTGATAAAATACATTTAACCTGTTTGTTTTATATGTATTTATGTGGAGCTGCTTATTCATATCAACACCTCACTTCATATCAAATGTGTGGGAAGATAAAAAGTACATATCATGTCATCTTGGAAACTCAGTTGGTACTTACCAACGTCACTTCACTTTTTGAATGGGATTTAATCTTGTACAGAGGGGACACAACTCCACAGGACATCACAGTGTCAGGTATTTATTTGATTGCGAGACTTCACTGGAAATCATTGGCCCCCCATCGGCAAATAATGAATGGTCCCTTGTATATGAAGCTACAGAATTCGACAGAGTTAATAAGATGGAATGTTGAATGATTTTTGGGGGGTTGATTCATCTCTTAAGGTCAAAGGGTCAAAGGTCTTAAGGGGAGAGAACTCTGAGGTTGCGTGCAATAGATACCTAGCCCAGTTGTTACAGGCTTATGTCATTCAGCTGCAAGCATCAGGCTTGTTTGTTTCTGATGTATGAAGTTATTTGGTGTGATAACTCACTGATAGAAGCTGTTATTCTATGATATATACTGGTACTGAAATATTTCATTTATATCCAGCTTCAGGACAACTTGTAGAAATGTATAGTGATGTTTCTTTCTACTTCATGTGAAAACTGTCATCTGGGCCGTGTCGGATGCTGTTCCCTTGACACCTAATCCATGCACAGACGCTCGATATCCTTATTTCACGTACTATAGGGTGGATTCTGTCTGGTCCAAGATAACTTCAGAGGCATATTACAGCAAACAATGCATACTTTGACACGTCTTTGTTTGACAGAGTTGGTTCCATTGGGCAGGAGAGAAACGTAGATTGTCAGCTGGAATCCTGGTTCACCTCCGATGAGTTTCTAGGTTTGTCAGTCCCTGTTGGTTCCAGAACAGTTTGTTTTAAGCTGAAATACTGTGATGTAACTGGAATACTGTTGAAAGTTGAAACACTGCCAAATAGGTCCTTCATTTGGCAATCTGGTGCTCCTGTATGGAGCCAGCTCTGCCTCAATGGCCCTGTAGCCTGCAGTCCATAGTCTGTGACCCTTCTGTATGGAGCCAAAACACTGCCAAATAGGTCCTTCATTTGGCAATCTGGTGCTCCTATATGGAGCCAGCTCTGCCTCAATGGCCCTGTAGCCTGCAGTCCATAGTCTGTGACCCTTCTATATGGAGCCAAAACACTGCCAAATAGGTCCTTCATTTGGCAATCTGGTGCTCCTATATGGAGCCAGCTCTGCCTCAATGGCCCTGTAGCCTGCAGTCCATAGTCTGTGACCACTGCCAAATAGATCCTTCATTTGGCAATCTGGTGCTCCTATATGGTGCCAGCTCTGCCTCAATGGCCCTGTAGCCTGCAGTCCATAGTCTGTGACCCTTCTATATGGAGCCAAAACACTGCCAAATAGGTCCTTCATTTGGCAATCTGGTGCTCCTATATGGAGCCAGCTCTGCCTCAATGGCCCTGTAGCCTGCAGTCCATAGTCTGTGACCCTTCTGTATGGAGCCAAAACACTGCCAAATAGGTCCTTCATTTGGCAATCTGGTGCTCCTATATGGAGCCAGCTCTGCCTCAATGGCCCTGTAGCCTGCAGTCCATAGTCTGTGACCCTTCTATATGGAGCCAAAACACTGCCAAATAGGTCCTTCATTTGGCAATCTGGTGCTCCTATATGGTGCCAGCTCTGCCTCAATGGCCCTGTAGCCTGCAGTCCATAGTCTGTGACCCTTCTGTATGGAGCCAAAACACTGCCAAATAGGTCCTTCATTTGGCAATCTGGTGCTCCTATATGGTGCCAGCTCTGCCTCAATGGCCCTGTAGCCTGCAGTCCATAGTCTGTGACCCTTCTATATGGAGCCAAAACACTGCCAAATAGGTCCTTCATTTGGCAATCTGGTGCTCCTATATGGAGCCAGCTCTGCCTCAATGGCCCTGTAGCCTGCAGTCCATAGTCTGTGACCCTTCTATATGGAGCCAAAACACTGCCAAATAGGTCCTTCATTTGGCAATCTGGTGCTCCTATATGGAGCCAGCTCTGCCTCAATGGCCCTGTAGCCTGCAGTCCATAGTCTGTGACCCTTCTGTATGGAGCCAAAACACTGCCAAATAGGTCCTTCATTTGGCAATCTGGTGCTCCTATATGGAGCCAGCTCTGCCTCAATGGCCCTGTAGCCTGCAGTCCATAGTCTGTGACCCTTCTATATGGAGCCAAAACACTGCCAAATAGGTCCTTCATTTGGCAATCTGGTGCTCCTATATGGTGCCAGCTCTGCCTCAATGGCCCTGTAGCCTGCAGTCCATAGTCTGTGACCCTTCTATATGGAGCCAGCTCTGCCTCAATGGCCCTGTGGTACAGTCCATAGTCAGTGATCCTGCAGTATGGCGCTAGAATAACACTGCCAAAATGGTCCCCATTCTGCAATCTGTAGTCTGTGATCCTACCAGATGAAGCATAAAGGGTTTTTATAACAATCAGATTATTTGAATTTGCGAAGAGCACCAATAAACAATAGTGGAAAATGGCAATGTTGATAGTTACATGTGAAAAGTGGGAAAATGCAATAACGCCAAAAACAGTGCTAGGAAAATCATTTGCATTCTTTTCTTACAGATTAGCATTTATACTATCATGATTGCCTTCATATTAAAAACAGTAAAACAAAATATAATACTGTTACACTGTGACTTACATACTAGGTACCACCAGAGTTGCCTCCCTTGGTAACATACTATCCCTGACCTTAACATGCAATGGGAGGTCCTCCTCACGTTTTAAGAGATATTTATAAATTCAATTGGTTCTGTTTTCTGGTTTGGTTGAACAGTTTTGTCTGTCTCATCTTGAGCATGTTGGGCTGGGAATGTCTCTACTGGGTCACTTACCTTTTCATCCCCTGCATTTAAACTGTGTATATTTCTATCAGTTGTATTTTGCCTGTTGTTGTATTAAATACATCCCTAATTCTAACATATAAAGAAACAAACCTATTATGCTTTTGGTGGTTGATAATTTAACAGATTAAAAATGTTTCCCATGTGGACTTCAGAATTCTTGACAGATGTGGAGAGTTTACTTGCCACTGTTCACTCTGCCGTGTAGTTGCTGCAGCTGCTGTAGGATGTAGACTGTTGTGATGATGTACAGTATTATCGCTACTGGTCCCACATCCATCATCTTCACCTTGTTAACATACCAGCACAGCCCAGTGTCCTCTCAGATCATTAGACTTCTCCAGGACTGACTGAATGTAGAAGGCTGGTGGTGATTTGAGAGGGGACCGGTTTGTGTCTCACTTGTCATCTTGTCCATGAGGTGCAATGACTTATGAATAAACCTATATTTGATCATATTTACTTGTTGTGTTTGTCTTGTATCAGCTAGCATCCTTATTCTGTTGCCTAGTGCTTCCTGGCAAAGACCCCGGGTTCGATTCCCCACATGGGTACAATGTGTGATGCCCATTTCTGGTGTCCCCCGCCATGATATTGCTAAATATAAAATATGTTAAATTCTGTAATCTTACAGGCACAACATTTCCGAGCATATTCTTCCCTCACATCAGAGTTTACATCACAGTAATTCCCCCTTTATGTGTATCTGTTCCAAGTGCCATTGTTATATAAATATCCCAAATCTGGGTCTGGTAGATCAGTGGGTGAAAGCATGAGCTTCCTTCTGCACCCCAAACCTGACCCTGGTGGGCCTTTAGGGCTGCCGTCCTAACACAGGTTATGTTTAATGTCACATTCCAGATTATTGCATGTATATCACAACAGCTAACTGAGATACCACCCGACATCCCACTCAGACAGACAACGTCTCCGAGCCAGTCACTTTGTTTTATTCCTGTAATGCTGGGGCCAGGCAAGGTAACAACAAGTCTCATCTGCTAACGTCTTTCAACACATCAAGCTGGGAGACACATCACCACTTCACAACCAGTACCGGGACCTGCCCCAGCATCCCACAGGGAATTGTTGAAATACCACAGGTCGCTCCTGTAGGTAGAGTCAGTAGCTGTTGTATAGACAAAAACAATATCCTTACTGATCATTGCCCAGCACAGACAGATGACCATTAAATAGGACGCTTGACACACCAAAGGCTTCCATCCTCTGTACATTGAATGAAGCCCATTTCTGGTGTCCCAAACAGTTGGCAAGTGAAGATCTGGGTTAGAATTGGTCGTCAGTAACCCATGCTTGTCGTGAGAGGCAACTAACAGGATCAGGTGGTCAGGCTCGCTGACTTGGTTGACACTTCATATCCGAATTTAATAGATTGATGTTCATGCTGTTGATCACTGGATTGTCTTGTTCAGACTCATTATTTACAGACCGCTGCCATATAGATGGAATATTGCTGAGTGAAGCATCAACCAACCAACCAACCAACCAACCAACCCAAACAGATACACTGCTGGATTATTGCTGAAAGCGGCATTAAACAACACAGAGACTAATAATGCTTGATCAGCTATACCTGATGTTACAGCAAGCATAGGTTACTGACAACCAGTTCTGTCTATGACTCCCCAAACAAAACACAATGTCACTTAACATTTGGACTTTTTATTTGTGTTTAATTTGTTGTCTAGCATGATGGCTCAGTCAATCCTCACACAGAAGAAAGTTGGAACTTAATGGTGCTCGCCTGCCCACTGACGTGTAGAAGAAACATACAAAGCACACCGACACACAACGTACAACTTCTGACCAAGATATTTCCTGGAGGATACAACAGTCAGATGCAGCAACTCAAGTTATCACACGATTATAAAATATAACATTCAAATTCAATCAGAAATAAAAGAATGCTGTTTCATCAGCTTATATACACAGTCTGCTAGGCTCACATCTAGTATGTCTGACAACAAAACCTTGTATACTGAGAGAATGATAAATTAAAAAAAATAACTCACAACGACTATTCTGCCATGTCACCATGACAACACTCATTTAGATACATATCACAGCCATACAGAAAGTGCTAAGTATTCTATTATATACTTGGTAAATAACGGTCAGCAAAAGGTCTTCTTCAGCCTCTGACACAAGAAATCTATGATACGCCTGACACAAGATCTCTTATTGCATGGAATTCATTAGCTTCATGAAACTGGCAGTGTTTTGCGAAACCGAAATCCGAGATTCCACTTATAGCAATTTCCTCCCTTGGCAGCAGGTGTGATACAAGTCATATCAGCTAGGTCCTGCACAACATGCGACACAGTTGGTGCTTCCATGTCACAGAAACGGTAAATGAATATGTTAAGCTGTACAAAACATAACAAACCTAAATGCAGTACATAAAATACACAAACAGCATTGCTACATGAACTACACGGGATACACTTGCATAAAGGGAATGGTGTACCACTATTGTAAATCCAAGTATGAGTTATATATTCCTAGCACTGATCACTTTGTGCCAGTGATCCCATGTTAAATAGAGACACAGGGACAGACTGGCAAGAAAGGGTTAGAACAATGGTGGAAATGTGGGTACAGTATACAGTCCTAACAAACCTAGAAACAAAATCAGGGCAAATCTCGAATTAGAACCCACGATCATAGGATTCTGATACACCAAAGGGACACAACTCGTCGTTGCTTTCGACAACTGGGCTACAAGATGAGAGTAGTTGTGGAACAGGAGGACATCACTGAGGTTTATGTTTTGGCAGTTTCGCAGCACTAAAAGATAGAGATCGTCACCCACAGCATGATGAAAGGTAACTTGTATAGATAGGCAAGGAGCAAACAAGGCGATAAGCAGGATAGAGATCGTCACACACAGCATGATGAAAGGTAACTTGTATAGACAGGCAAGGAGCAAACAAGGGGATAAGCAGGATAGAGATCGTCATACACAGCATGATGAAAGGTAACTTGTATAGATAGGCAAGGAGCAAACAAGGCGATAAGCAGGATAGAGATCGTCACACACAGCATGATGAAAGGTACTTGTACAGACAGGCAAGGAGAAAACAAGGGGATAAGCAGGATAGAGATCGTCACACACAGCATGATGAAAGGTACTTGTACAGACAGGCAAGGAGAAAACAAGGGGATAAGCAAGAAACAAGAAATTATCAACCAGTCACAATACTCTCCACAGAGGCCGAAATATCAAGATGAATAACAATGAAATCACACACCAATCATGCCAACCCTGAATCAAAACTGTGAAGCACTACAACTTGAAAACAATCCTAAAAAAATCTAGGTAATATGAAAGATATATATTTTTTTGTTAAATACATGCATGTTATGATGGACTTGCATTGAATCTAGGTCACAAAATAGACGAGGTCAGTTGCATCATCTGGATTTGTTTCAATGAACATGGTGGAAGTTAAACCATCAAGCCAAGGTCGGCGACTTCCTAGGCTTGAGAATACTGATATGTAACCACATAATTGATATCATCACACAAAGTAACAAAAGATTGATTATCTTGACTGACATTGCTATAGCTTAAATTTGTAACAAAGTGCACATCAAACCAACATTTCTTGATGGCTGAGATGTATGTAGATAAGATTAAGATTTTAACCTATAAACAAATACACCAATTTCAAAAATGAGTTACTTATCACATTAAACATCTGTACCATTAGCTACTGCGATAAATATGATTATTTAGGAAAATACATTGAACTGGCATGTACCCCTTCCTTCAGAGAAGTGCAACAGTGTTGAAGGTGCCCCAACCTTTAGAGAACACTGTCAACTGTTTCTCTACTTACATCCTCCTTCATAAGGCACTGTTACAGTGCCCCTTCCTTCGGGGAATGCTGTAACAGTCTTGCAGGTTCCCCTTCATTCAGGGAATGCTGTAACAGCCTTGAGAGTGCCCCTTCCTTCAGGGAATGCTGTAACAGCCTTGAGAGTGCCCCTTCCTTCAGGGAATGCTGTAACAGTCTTGAGAGTGCCCCTTCCTCTAGGGAATGCTGTAACAGTCTTGAGAGTGCCCCTTCCTTCAGGGAATGCTGTAATAGTCTTGAGAGTGTCCCTTATTTCAGAGAACAGTGTTAAAATCTTCAAAATGCCCTTCCTTAAAGGAACACTCCAATAGTCCTGCAGGTGCCCCTTCCTTAAAGGAACACTCCAATAGTCCTGCAGGTGCCCCTTCCTTAAAGGAACACTCCAATAGTCCTGCAGGTGCCCCTTCCTTAAAGGAACACTCCAATAGTCCTGCAGGTGCCCCTTCCTTCAAGGAACACTCCAATAGTCCTGCAGGTGCCCCTTCCTTTGGGGAACACTACAACAGTCTTGCAGGTGCCCCTTTATTCATAGTACAATGTAAGAGTCTTGCAAGTGCTAACAACAGCCGAAACTGATGGAGATAACAGACATTCACCAACTTGGTCAAACACAACATGGTTATGGTTAAGGGGCATGACGCTGCACAGAGAATTACAGCATTTTAGATGACAAAACTCCTGGCCAGTTTAGTAAGTTGAGTAAGATATCATTATTTCACCAAGTGTAATGGTAGCAGTGACAGGTTTTGGTGTTACAAGCCTCACAGCACGTCACCTGGTGGTCAGATGCAAGTTGATCAATTATCCAGCACTGGAAGAGATGACTGCTACCAATGCCCAACACAATCTTGACAACTCAACTGGTCACTACTGGGAAGACAAAACATTTGCACGAGTTAATGCCTTAAGATGTTAAAATTGCAAACATTTTGCAATATCCACCACTCAGCTACTGTAACCTACCCAGTGACAGAACTTCAGGCTTCCACCCATCTCATACATATCAATTCTCATATACTTATTACATTATAGTTACTTAATTCCATGTAAAAACAATATTTCTTGTTTGCTCGTCTTTTCTCAAAACTAATTGGACAGGTTCAGCATGACAGAGGGTTTGTTAATTTGTTTTACTTTTTAGCTGTTGACTTTAACCCTCTTTACGTCACACCCACCGTGAAGTACACAGTAAGACATTGTATCTCGTCAGTTAGGTCCTGAAAATGCCTTAAGGTTAATCTGTTGGTTTCAAGATCAGACTTCTTCAGGCCACTTTGTAAGTCTTCTTAACATCAGTCTTTTCAGTCATATCACATTACGTCGGTTTCGGTGGCGGAAGCAATGCTGATCTTTACACTTATTGTCACGTGATGTGTTTCCGATGAGGTGCAAGGTCACATTCCAGACTATTGCACTTATTCTGTGACATACATCATGAAGGCATAGCTTGTTATACTAGTCAAGACTTGAACAGGAATGATTATGTTATTGAAAGACAACTTCTCTATTGCAATGGATGCAACGTTTCAGTGTAGATGCTAACACCGTTATCAAGCAAGTGATGATGGTGTTAGTATCTGCATCAAAACATCGCATTCATTGCAATAAAGAGGTTGTCTATCCATAAAAAACATTGTTCCTGATTGTCATACCAGCTTCTAAATACCACTGAGAGAAGTTAGTCAAGGCTGTTGCCAGTTTCTTTGTGCTAGCCCCTATTGCATACTAACATGGATGCCACACTCACAATATATTGTCTTCCAGAGAACAGTTTGTGTTGGATCAGCCTGAGGCCTTGTGCAAAGCAGGATAACAAGTCCTACATCCGGAGAATGTCACTGACTGTCCACACCTCCGCCAGACACTCGTCCAGGCAATGGAGGCGATCATGTTCAAGTAGGAAGCTAGGGCTGCACTACAGACAATGCACAGCACCAGAATGGCACTCAGGCTGCAGGTGGACCAACCATCTCTCATGAGTCTTACATTGCAAAGAACCAATCTTTCAGACACAGATGCATTTGTTTTGACCCAAGTTTTGTGAACGCTGAAGGAGATGAGATGGATGTCACTACTGAAAGCTCAGAGTAATCTCCCCTTGATCACACCTCTCTACACTCTGTGACCACCATTTCCACCTGATTTACCAACAGATCACAGTATATAATAAGTCCCTATCACCAAATGCTTGAAGTTCCCTGTGAACCTGGGCGGGAACTGATCTAGTCACTAAATGCTGGGAACTTCTATTCTGTTTTGGAATTTACAAGCACTCATCAGACTACACCATAAATGTCACCATTCTTTCAACCACTCTCCAGCCACTCTCCACTGATTTACACAAACACCGAGCAGCTACACACGGTTCAGCTACATCGTAGTGGATTATACATAAATAGTATATATCTACATAAATATCAACATCTATAGTACATCTTTCCACTAACAACAAACATAACACTAGTCAACAAGGATATATACTGTCACCGACCCTCCACTCGGGAGGACCTGGAGGTCAATGGGTCACATTTCTTTAACTTACCAACACATTAAAAAAAGAACTTTGTTTTGGGTAACTCATCATAATACCGCCAAACGTGTGTATGTGTGTGTGTTTGTGTGTAAGGGGGAAGGGAAGGGGTGTGCAGGTGTGAGCATGTGCGTTTATGTGTTAATGACTACTGTGTTCATGTGTGTATGCATGTGTCTGTGTGCATATGTGTGTGTGTGTTTGTTTTTCCTCATATTCATCAAATAATCTGGCCCCAATTTCTCAAAACCAACTTAAGTCTGAGTTTTGACTTAAGTTTAAGTATCTACCAAACTCAAATTGTCTACTATGTTTTAGTTTAATATTGATTTCAGTTTATTCTAGGAAATGTTTTTTTCTGTTTTTTTCTCAAATTTGAGTAAAAACTCAAGTTGTTTGGGCATTTTATTTTAAAAATGCAGTTGAGTTAAAAATTCAGCTGTTTCAAATTGTCAAACTCAGTTTGAAATTTGAGTAAAAACTTAAGTTTGTTTTGAGAAATCGGGGCCTGGATGACAAACAAACCCCTCCCAATATTCCCATCTTCACAGCACATAATGCTCTCTGAAACAGAGTCTTAATAGCGGCCTCCATGACATACAATTTGGGAGAATGAATTTCAACTTACAATAAAGTCGCCACAAGCCTGGCTAGTATCTGTTGCCCACTGTAACTGATGAGGTATTACGTGATGGTTGTAGCTCACCTACTTCAAATCACACTATATCCTGATACATACCCACATTCAGGGCTGAGGTAATTCACCTAAGGCCAGCTCTAGGGATGTCTAACATAAGAATTTCAACATATGTAAGTCAACATGAATACTCCAATGTGCAAATGTTACTTCCAGTGCAAGTCTAAAATAATTATCTCTTAATCTGACTGACATCAACAAGGTATTTTGATTGAAAATATAGACATATGTAAACACATGGTAAATATCACAGAGACGTTAATGTAAAACAAGCCTAGATGGGTCCGGGCAATTCAAACAGGCCTGTCGGGTCGGATCATACTCAGTTAATCAAACTAATTCATTTATCGATGATAAAGTATTTGCCTTAACATGCTGAATCAAACCTAATATTTGCCAAACAAAGTAAGTCCGTAATATTCATATGTTTTAGCCAGTTAAATACATTTCACCTTCACTGGACTATCATGGGGACAAAATATACATTCCAGGACTCAGTGATGGTAAATATTGTTGTTAATCAGTAACAGACACTGATAGAAGTCAATGGCAACTAAGAGCCTAAACAAGACAGAAGATGATTTCCCTCAATCCAATCTAGCGCCAGAGCTTACTTTCATTGCAATAAATCCATCGGTCTTTGAAGATTCTGCTCTCCTGATGACTAGTTACATGTGTCACCATTCCCTGCCAACATACGAAGACTGGCACATGGCGTAACACTTACAGGCAGTCTCAAAATTCAAAGAATCCAAAGATTTTTGTTTTACTCTGTTTTACCAATCTGATACTGACTTCAATATCAGTCTGTGAACCCTATTGTGTAAGATATCTTATCAACAACAAGAATTCATGAAGATGACTGGATCTTCCCATTAATCTTCTCAGAATGGACTGTCATGGTGTGATGGATCCATGCACGTCAACACTTGGATTTCTCTTGTCCCTTCAGAGAACACCAGAGATCTTCAACATCTTGACCAATCAGAAACAAGCATCTATGGCATATTGCCAATCATTAGGTTTCTGACCAATCAGTAGGGGTGTTTTGTTTCTGACCAATGAAAACATGTTTGGATTCTGACCAATCAGGAGAGAGCATGTTCCATTCTTGACCAATCATTCTGGAGCATGTTTGATGTCTACCCAATCAAAAGAGTAGTAGGTGGGCCGTCACTCCTGGTCACTTTCCCCATCACTGGAGAAAGTCTGTGAAGACAGGCTGGTCTGATGGGTGGGAGGGATGCCATGGGACAGCTGACGGTAGTGATCCAGCCACTCCTCCACCATCTGCTTCACCAGCGCTGGCCGCTTCCCCAGCTTCTGGGCTGCCACGAGGATACCACCCTTCGTCACCACGCAGTCTAGCCACTCCCGTAGGATGGTGTCCTCACGCCCGATCTGCAACAGAGTTACCGTAACATCAGGGAAACAGTGTCATCGTAACATCAGGGAAACAGTGTCATCGTAACATCAGGGAAACAGTGTCATCGTAACATCAGGGAAACAGTGTCATCGTAACATCAGGGGAAACAGATGTCATCGTAACATCAGGGTAAACAGTGTCATCGTAACATCAGGGAAACAGTGTCATCGTAACATCAGGGAAACAGTGTCATCGTAACATCAGGGAAACAGTGTCATCGTAACATCAGGGAAACAGTGTCATCGCAACATCAGAGAAACAGAGTCATCGTAGCATCAGGGAAACAGTGCCATTGTAACATCAGGGAAACAGTGTCATTGTAACATCAGGGAAACAGTGTCATTGTAACATCAGGGAAACAGTGTCACTGTAACATCAGAGAAACACTATCACTGAACATCAGGGAAACAGTGTCATTGTAACATCAGGGAAACAGTGTCACTGTAACATCAGGGAAACAGTGTCATTGTCACATCAGGGAAACAGTGTAACATCAGAGAAACTGTCATTGTAACATAAGGGAAACAGTGTCATTGTAACATCAGGGAATCAGTGTCATTGTAACATCAGGGAAACAGTGTCATTGTAACATCTGGGAAAATGTTTTATTGTAACATCAGGGAAACAGTGTCATTGTAACATCTGGGAAAATGTTTTATTGTAACATCAGGGAAACAGTGTCATTGTAACATCAGGGAAACAGTGTCATTGTAACATCAGAGAAACAGTGTCATTTACATCAGAGAAACAGTGTCACTGTAACATCAGAGAAACAGTGTCACTATTACATCAGAGAAACAGTGTCACTATTACATCAGAGAAACACTATCACTGAACATCAGAGAATCAGTGTCAATGTAACAACATCAGTTAAAGGGTGCTTCCTCACCTCTGAGCCCGTGAGGAAGTGGACAGGAAGCAACTTGCCCTCGTTGTCTACCAAGGGGAGATAAGCCACCTGTCCTTCATCATTACTTTCAATGTTAGCCCCGGCACCAATGCTGTCATCCGTATCCAACTCCATGGAGACCAGAGCAGAAAAATGGCCTCTTGTGTAGCCAAGGACCACAGGAATCTTCCAACAGAAGCTACGTTCCCATAGCAACGGAAGGTACACACCTGGAAGGTGAAGGCATCAGAGTTCAATGTTTTGAGCGAGTGAGTGAGTGAGTGAGTGAGTGAGCGACTAGCTAGCCTATTTTTACTCCGCTTTTTAGCAATATTCCAGCAATATCACGGCTGGGGACACCAGAAATGGGCTTCACACATTGTACCCTTGTGGGGATACGAATTATGAAACATTGATACACAAAAGCCCAGTACATACAGTGCATATCTTTAACATTATATATTCACTAGTATAATACTAGACTTGGATATTTGCCAGGCAAGAAAAGTGTGTAGCACAACTACTGTAAAAGACAACTTCAAGTGGGCAACACTACAGAAAATTATGCCTTGAGAAGTCTAGTTCTTAAGTGCACAACACTAGCATGATGTGTCATTGTGACAAAAATATTATAATGTCGAAGATAGCTTTGGCAGAGATACTATAAAGGGTGGTTACTGAAATGTTAGACCTCTGCTTGACCAATCAGTATTCCATAAGTAATAACCTGAATGTAACAACACCAGTTTCCTATTGGTCTTACAGCAACTTCTAAGATAATTGCTCAGCAATCAGTGCAGGAAGACTGATTTTATCGTCACCATAGGTTGTCGTGACTAGTTGATGCAGTTTCCATGGTCGCTGGAATCTCAAGACTCACCCTGGAACTTGGCAAAGCCAATTGTCTCCCCTCGGAAACTCTTCACATACTTGACTCCATACACAATAATTGGTCGTCGCAAGATGTGAGCCAGTGCAAATATATGGGTCTGCTCAAGTGATGCCCCTGAAGCAAACACCACCAAACATTATTGACATAATAATTACATTTCCATTTAAACTTTTTTCAGTTTATTGTGGCTTCAAAAATGGGCATTAGACATTGTACCCATGGTATTCGAACCTGGGTCGTTGGCATGGCAAGCCAACATTTTAACCACTAGGCTGCCCCACCGCCACAGATTTTAATGAAAGTTTACGTATGTTTTACAATTTTACTTCCAATGACCAGATCCCACAAACAGTTAAGTTTCTATGACATTAGTGGTTGTGACACAGTCCATACTGAGTGACCTGACCATCACTGTCCTCGAAATTCCCCAAGGGTTACAGAGCAGGTTAGTGATCAGCTATAAAGTACTTAACTTTTGTCATAAGCATGTGTAGAAAACCAAATGTGGACGCAGAGCTCAAATCCGAGTTTAACAATGAACACATATCCAAAAGTAAATGATGCTGAAAATCTCAGAAATATAACCTTGAATATAAAGTCTTGATCATACGTTTTGATGAAGGACAAAGGGCCACAACTCTGCACCTAGAATTATGGTGCTGCAGATGACTGGGCCCAAGTGTCCTACTGGATAGCAAGAGTGTCCTACTGGATGCACACAAGGTTACCTGGTTGACTAGCAAGTGTCCTACTGGATGCACACAAGGTTACCTGGTTGACTAGCAAGTGTCCTACTGGATGCACACAAGGTTACCTGGTTGACTAGCAAGTGTCCTACTGGATGCACACAAGGTTACCTGGTTGACTAGCAAGTGTCCTACTGGATGCACACAAGGTTACCTGGTTGAATAGCAAGTGTCCTACTGGATGCACACAAGGTTACCTGGTTGACTAGCAAGTGTCCTACTGGATGCACACAAGGTTACCTGGTTGACTAGCAAGTGTCCTACTGGATGCACACAAGGTTACCTGGTTGACTAGCAAGTGTCCTACTGGATGCACACAGGGTTACCTGGTTGACTAGCAAGTGTCATACTGGATGCACACAAGGTTACCTGGTTGACTAGCAAGGCTGAGGAGCAGGGCCCAGTCCCTTTGACACTGACTCTCATCCAGGCTGAAGTGAAGAGATCGCGCCTGCATAGACTCATACTCCTTCCAGCGTGGGTAAAACCTGCAAGATAGTGCCCCCAAAACATACAGTCACAACAATATTGCACTCTATATTTCGCAAGACAAACAGCGTCCTTAGCTGTAGTAAGCAAAACAGTATCCTGATTGACGTAAACAAAATAACTCTAACTAAGGAAAGTAAAACGGTGCCCCATAACACACATTCACTATGATTTAGAAAAAACAGTGTCCTCTAACTGTTGTATGTTAAATAGTACCCCATAAAAATCAGAAAAATTGTGCCCTCCAACTATAGTCAGCTAAATAGTGCCCCATCTCATTACAAACAGTCAGAGTGAGTGAGTGAGTGAGTTTGGTTTTACGCCGCTTTTGACAATATTCCAGCAATATCACGGCTGGGGACACCAGAAATGGGCTTCACACATTGTACCCCTGTGGGGAATTGAACCAAGGTCTTCAGCGTGACGAGCGAACGCCTTAACCACTAGGCTACCCCACTCCCGCCCCACATACAGTCAGAAGAGCTTGCACAATTTCATTTTCTCTTGTAGTGTTCAGATAATGTCATGAAAGAGGATTGTACTTCACTATTGTCATTACAGGGATTGAACTTCACTTCACTATTGTCATGACAGGGATTCAACTTCACTATTGTCATGGCAGAGGACTGTACTTCACTATTCACTAGCGTCATGATAGAGGACTGTGCTTCCCTATTGTCAAGACAGAGGATTGTACTTCACTAGTGTCATGACAGAGGATTGTACTTCACTATTGTCAAGACAGAGGTTTGTACTTCACTAGTGTCATGACAGAGGATTGTACTTCACTACTGTTATGACAGAGGATTGTACTTCACTAGTGTCATGACAGAGGATTGTACTTCACTACTGTTATGACAGAGGATTGTACTTCACTAGTGTCATGACTGACTGACTGAGTTTGGTTTTACGCCACTTTTAGCAATATTCCAGCAACATCACGGTTGGGGACACCAGAAATGGGCTTCGCACATTGTACCCATGTGGGGATTCGAACCCGGGTCTTTGGCGTGAAGAGCCTACGCTTTAACCACTAGGCTACCCCACCGCCCCACTAGTGTCATGAAAGAGGATTGTACTTCACTACTGTCATGACAGAGGATTGTACTTCACTACTGTCATGACAGAGGATTGTACTTCACTACTGTCATGACAGAGGATTGTACTTCACTACTGTCATGACAGAGATTGATTGTACAGAGGATTGTACTTCACTAGTGTCATGACTAGTAACATGACAAAGGATTGTACTTGTCATGACAGAGGATTGTACTTCACTACTGTCATGACAGAGGATTGTACTTCACTACTGTCATGACAGAGGATTGTACTTCACTAGTAACATGACAAAGGATTGTACTTCACTACTGCTATGACAGAGGATTATACTTCACTACTGTTATGACAGAGGATTGTACTTCACTACTGTCATGACAGAGGACTGTACTTCACTAGTGTCATGACAGAGGATTGTACTTCACTAGTGTCATGACAGAGGATTGTACTTCACTAGTGTCATGACAGAGGATTGTACTTCACTAGTGTCATGACAGAGGAATGTACTTCACTAGTGTCATGACAGAGGATTGTACTTCACTAGTGTCATGACAGAGGATTGTACTTCACTACTGTCATGACAGAGGATTGTACTTCACTAGTAACATGACAGAGGATTGTACTTCACACTGACTGTCACTATGACAGAGGATTGTACTTCACTACTGTCATGACAGAGGATTGTACTTCACTACTGTCATGACAGAGGATTGTACTTCACTACTGTCATGACAGAGGATTGTACTTCACTAGTGTCATGACAGAGGATTGTACTTCACTAGTGTCATGACAGAGGATTGTACTTCACTACTGTCAAGACAGAGGATTGTACTTCACTAGTGAGACAGATTGTACTTCACACTGACAGAGATTGTCATGACAGAGGATTGTACTTCACTAGTGTCATGACAGAGGATTGTACTTCACTAGTGTCTGTTAGTGACAGACAGAGGATTGTACTTCACTACTGTCATGACAGAGGATTGTACTTCACTAGTGTCATGACAGAGGATTGTACTTCACTACTGTTATGACAGAGGATTGTACTTCACTACTGTTATGACAGAGGATTGTACTTCACTACTGTTATGACAGAGGATTGTACTTCACTAGTGTCATGACAGAGGATTGTACATCACTAGTGTCATGACAGAGGATTGTACTTCACTAGTGTCATGACAGAGGATTGTACTTCACTAGTGTCATGACAGAGGATTGTACTTCACTAGTGTCATGACAGAGGATTTGTAGTGTCATGACACTAGTGTCATGACAGAGGATTGTACTTCACTAGTGTCATGACAGAGGATTGTACTTCACTAGTGTCATGACAGAGGATTGTACATCACTAGTGTCATGACAGAGGATTGTAGTTCACTACTGTCATGACAGAGGATTGTACTTCACTAGTGTCATGACAGAGAATTGTAGTTCACTAGTGTCATGACAGAGGATTGTACTTCACTAGTGTCATGACAGAGGATTGTACTTCACTACTGTCATGAAAGAGATTTGCTTCACTCTAGTTGGTAGGGTAGCACCATACATATACCCCTTGTTTGTGAACCAAATATCTTCATCTTGTAACCTTTCCTAGAATGCAATTCTCAGCATTACATCACCCAAACAAGTTCTGATTAACATGATTGACCTTCTGTAAAAGTATGATTGAGGTCTTCCCCACGGCATGCCACTCACGTCATGACCCCTTCACTAAGGCTGTCTGCAAGTGCCCGGCGGAGCGTGTTGTCAATGTCAAACACCCCCCACGTTGCCTGCAGGAGGGAGTCAAGGAGACAGTCTCCCGCCGTCCGGTTCCACAGACAGTACAGACGACTCCCCAGCCGGTCTGTCAACTCCACGTTCCAGTTGACAATGCTCTCCTCCTCCAACTCTGCAGATACACACCATGAAGATCAACACAGCACAGCTACAGATATTCCGTGTAAACCAATCATAGTTAATTCTGAGTTGCTTGTGTACAAACATATAAATACATTGTACAGGAATTTTTTAGTTATCTTTTGAATTGATTGGATTGGCAATTTGATTTGGTTAAATATGTTATAAAACAATTTCCAATGACAATTTACCCTTAAAATAGTTTAAGCCACATAAAAGTCCCTGGGAATATGTTTATAATAAAGAAATTCTTGTCATCCAAATATCATATCTTCTAACTTAGCAGATAACTCAACCATTAGAATAGAACGTGAGACTTAATGGTGATGAGAGGCCACCTACCACTCTGTACATCTCTGTCCAACAACTCATCAAACAGTTGTCCCTGGATGTGGCGAGGTAGATCCTCAATATCTGAAACATGGACGTAACCTTCGTAATGGAGGTTAGTGGTGGAAGGATTGTATGCAGGCTTCAACAGGGATTTTCACGGACTGAGTGAATGTGGTATTACATCACCATGAGCAACATTACAGCAACATCAACACTGTCACACTGATAACATCTGACAGGGGCTTCAAACACAGCAACCAACCAGCTAGGGAATCAAACCCTGTCTTTGGTGAAACAAGCAAACCCATTAACCACTAGGTTACCCACTGCCACCAGAGCCACTGGTATCTTCTGATAGTCACTCGCCTGAGAATTTGTAAAATATGTAAGACTGAAGCATGTACTTGGTGTATAAACATGATAAAAGCATTCTATGATCAACATGCTCAACAGAGTAATGATATCAGACTAAGTTTGACATAAGAAACTTGGGTATCTAGACCTCGCATGCATGACATCCTAACCTACCTGTTGGAAGAGCGAAGGTGACACAGTCGGTGAAGAAGAAGCATGGGAAGTCCCCCTTTCTCTGTCGTAATGAAGATGCGATTTCCCTCCGGATGTCAGTCGCCAGGTCCGGACTGGTGTGGGCAGGTAAACGTTTGACCGCCTTCGCAGCCACGTCAGTCGCAGTCAGCAACACCGCCAACATGTCTTCCCTTTTGAATCGGATGCCTAGGTGAACTAAAGTGTATCCCACCTCAAATGCACTTGGTCGATTTAACAGGTTAACTTCATCTTGTGTGAGCTGCCGAGCCGGATCACCACCCGATGCGATGAAAGCTTCGACAGCATTTGAGTCTCCATCCACAACACCGCTACAAGCACTCAACCACAGCCAATCCTTATCACGTAACCTTTTCCTCAACAGTCGTAACCTGCGCTCCTCAGCGCGGTTCTTGTCCTCGAAAGTAGATGCTGAAGCTGATGCTCCGTCTTGGTAATTCTCGATATTGTCAAGACTTTGGGACATTCCTGGTGAGGCCCGCCCCCGCCGGTTCCCTCCTTCCTGCTCACATATAAGCCCATAGCTTCCCCCTGAGGCCAGGTTTGTGTCAGAAAAGGTCCTACCCTTCGCAGTGCCACACAGAATGCACTTGATACCTTTTGGCCAGTTCTCATAGGTGCAGGCTCGACATATCCACTTGGCACCGCTACGATTGCCATGTGCTGCCACTGCCTTGTTAATGTCATTGTTTATTGATTTAGCTGCCTCCGGAGAATTGGGGGAGTTGCGTTTGGGGGTGGTTCGACCTGAGATTGGCGGGGCTGAGCTCTCAGCTATATTGACATTGACACTAAGGGGCTGCATCTTCTCATGTTGTTGTTGCTGCTGCTGCTGGTGAGAGGTGGGTTGAGATCGACTTGGGGAGAGTTTTTTGCGTGGGGTGAGGCACTGAGTACATTTTGTCGCCCGCTGCCAGTTGAGATAAGTACACATGTGACATGCCCACTTGTTGAGTTCACTAGTGCTGCTGGTTGTGGCATAATTTGATTCGCTGCTCGGTGGTGGCACCAGTGGTGCCATCTTGTAGATGTCCTGCTCCTGACTAGGAGAGTTGGTGATGAGCTGCACCGGGCGCGGCCCCCGACACAGCGTGCATCGTTTTGTAGCTGGGTAGTTCTCATATGTACAGTACTCACACGACCACTTCCTGTCCTCGCTGTCACTCATCTTGCCAGCTTACACACACCTACAGAAACAAACCAGAACCACTTCAATCATCGGACAGACAGATTATGGCAATCTGCAGCAAACACTTTTGGGACAACTAACCTGACCAAGTCTCTTAACATAATTTCGTGTAGAAGTGAATGTTGTAAAACAGATCATTATTAGCTGAGCGTACTATACCAAACAGAATCTTACTGCTCTAGTTTCGACAATTGGCTAAAGTTGTAGTCCAACACCAGAAGGACCTGCCTTGACCCAGACTTTCCATTGGAAAATCAAATCCCAGCAGTGGTCACACGGGCTTGTAACGTTAAAACTGCCACTATAATGTCACTGACACAGTCACAGGATCTTAGCATTATATCCTTTCATATAGTGCTAAGATCCTATTAGCAAGGATTGGTAAAGGCAGGGGCCAGGCCATTTTGCACATTAGAACAAAAAATGGCCCATTAAAAGTTTGAAGTTTACTATTGATACAAGGGCAGTGGCCCATTCTAAATTCAGAAAGTAACTAATAATCCTGAAAATGGCCCGTTGTCAAAGTTCTCTATCCCAATCCCTGTATTAGTGACATTATATACCTTGATGGCAGTTTTTAACGTTAAAGTCCCAGTGGCATTGGCGAGGCATCATATATATACAGAACCTTAACCTAAATTCATGGATAACCTTGATTCGTGGATCGTGGAAATTATCATGCTAGCTCGTAAATTAAGTCTCGACTGACGTCACGAAGCGGTACTTTTGATGTACATACCATGCCTTCTCACTTCTCGTTGTCTGCTTTTCTTGGTGTCAATACTTACTGCAGTGGGATGTCGTACATAGTGGTATAAAATAACAGACTATGTAATCCACGAAACAAGGTGACGTCACATTTTATGGGCACACGATTGGGTCATGACTGCAAATGGCTTCCGAAAACAAACATTTCATTCACGAGTGGAATATTAGGCATTTTCAATTTGCTGAATCAATGAATAAAATAATCAGTGCGTATACAAAATGAAATCATGCATTAAAAATATGAATTCCGCCACACTTCCCTTATATCCACGAATCAAGGTTACGCAAGTGTATATATAAAATGAAACCAGTGGTTGATACAACGATCATCATTCCACATACTGCCAGGGCACAATGACAAAGACAAAGTTGACAGACATAATAATTATAGTGGTTCTTGTTGATTGCCACCCCAACCTGGCTTCCACCATTTTGTGTCCACAGACATCATTCCTCCTCGTGATGTCACAACAAAGACAGTGCTGGACTTTTTCCAGACAATGACCAGTCATCACTTACCATGACGCCACAATCAAATGGCATCACTAAACATTCTGTCACTAGCCATGCTGAAGCTGGTCAGCTGCACTTTTACAGTCACATTATTATTGTTAGCAAATTGATAAAGTTGGAAGAAAGATGTTGGATGGTAAAGAGATGATCTTGCCTAAACATGTGTTAAACATGGTGACTGAATATCAGGGGTGGATAAACTTGCTTGTGTACTCCGGTACAGTGGCACATGTAAAATCACTTGCCCTGATAAGTTTCCACTATACCAGCCGTTTTCTTGTTGATTTTTTAAATAAACAACATAATTAACATTGGAATATCAACTGGACACTGGTACAGTGTGATATACAAATTTGCTTGCCCGACAGAAAAAAAACACTGGACTCGAGCATCGGGCAATGGGTTATTTCCGTCCCTGAATTTTTCCAATTACTGACTCAGCATGACAGTTCCAATCGACCAATACATCACACACATTAATCATGATCGCATCAAGTGATCATCACTCATAGATAACAAGCCATCAAAGTACCTCCATCACTCTTGTCTACTGATTGCCTCTCGGTCTCAAGACTACCTTCAAACAATTTGCACTATCCCACTACGTAAAGGTTTGTTCACAAGGACCTGCATCAATTATGCTACAAAGTGGAATTGAATAAAACTCACAGAAAATGAAAACACAGTTAACATGTTGGTCTTGTTGAAGCAGGACTAGAAACTCTGAAGACTACTGAATTATGTTACCACCTGTCCCATGAACTAATCTTAAAAAATCACCATAAAAACTTTAAGGCTGTTCACTCTTGTTCACTTCCAGCATATTGGCATGACAAATGTACACACTACACGTCATGCATGACACTCATGTCGATATGGAAGGACAAACAGTGTAATACTGTACATGACTGTGGCAAAGAAAGAAAGAATACACACAACTTACTGCTGAGCTAATGAAGCTGATCGCTACTGCCGGTACAACATTGTCTACATTACACACGACTCATCCTGCTTTGATGTACCGATTGTACGGACTTTCAGGTTCAACCACACAATAAGCACTTCCTTCATCAGTATCTTCTTTGAAACAACAGCTACCACAAACATTCATCCATGTTATACCTTGTTCCTGCTTCAACGTGTTCAATCAAGATCTTTCAGGAAGTATCTTTACTATTTATTTTTATCCATATTTATCATAACTATATTTTGTGATGTTTAGAAATATGACATCAAAACAAAGAAAGAGATATCAATGATGACACTGCTGTATAAAAGACTGAGTCAGTTGTGTGAGGTGACCATGACTCCCAGTAGCCAACCCAGCACCAACAAACAAGCCACCATCACACAGCTGACAGCCCTTCTACAGATTCTAGTCGTGCTGCTTCTCCTACAACTGAACATGGCCAGCAGCAGTGTCTCAAAGTCAAACGTGAAGAGTAAAAGGGTAGGTATTTGTTCATAAGACATGTTTTCAAAAATGTCTTTTTCAAATATACATTTTATTTACCATGCAGTGATGATACTATCGCATGGACCTGTCATAGAGTTATTTAGTCATAACGTCATAATTCGTACATGTACACAAGTTTTAAACAATGTTTACCATGAAAATCTGTTTCACTTTTCATTGAACTCTTTCAGCATGTTCAGATATGTTTCCATACATATGAAATCTATTTTAAAAAAAATAGATACAGATATTACATGTCTTAATAACCATGGCAATATTTGATCTATCAGTACTTAGTATTATCTAAATGTTCCATGACACATTTGTTTTTCTAAAATAGTTACAAATACTGAAATTAGGGGTGAAATGGTATACCGCAGTATTAGTAGAACTGCAGTATTTTGCCTTTGGTTTGGTATACCGTAATGCAATCCAAACATTCATTATTTCCGGTTTTCGTACCGTTCTTCTATCTAGTCATAAAATGACAGTTTTGTTCATTCAAAATAACAAAGATTATGGTTATTTTTTTCCATGTTATTAAAGTTAAACAATGTAAGGTTTGGCTCATGTGAATTTTCTGCATTATGATCATATCTCATGTACCGACCAAAGGTCTTGTACCGCAATATGTACCGTACCGTGGTAAAAGCGTACCGTTTCATCCCTAACTGTAATCATTAAAAGGATAAATCCCACTTAAACATAATATCATTGTTAGTTTGAATACATACTATGCTTACTGCAGGTTTTCGTAAGACAATGATCATCAAGAATCTTTCTTAAAGTTCTACCCCTGACATCTTCAACATGTCAACAGTTGATCATGTACAAATCACACTAACATATCATCTGGTTCATCCTGTACAAAATCTCACACTCAGTATGTTCCTTTCATAATTACTGGATACGATTACTGACCATAAAAGAGTTTTGATCAAGTTCACTTGGCAAGGCAGCATTCACATTCACCAACACTACTGATTAAAGCAGGGATATACAGGACGCAAATTCCTGCGTCCTAATACCTATACTCCTAAAACTTGACAATGGACGCAACAAAAATTATTAGAGCATCCACGGGGACGCAGAAAAAGTCCAAATACTTTTTGTAAAATTCCAATCAAGTAACAATAAGTTATCAAAGAGTTTGCTACTAGCTGGGTTATGGCATCATTTGCAATTCAATTACTGTAACAACTAATGTGATGATCATGATACACAATACATAACGGTATTAATAATATTTAACTTTAAGTGTATGGGACTCCCATTTTGCTGTCCGGGACCCATGAAAATTAAGAGTTTAAGTCCCAGGGACCCTCAAAAACAGGACACAAGGTAAATCCCTGTTAAAGTACTTGTCTACAATGAAATGGCACTATTCTTCCTGAATTTAACTAGACAAGTGGACTTATGTTAATTGTGAACCACTTCCTTACTATAATCTCAGATTTACATATTTTACAAGGGAAAATAGCAACCTGTACTGTCATCTTGTTTAGTTGGATGACACAATGTTGAGACTGAAAGAGAGAACAGTATGTATGTCTAATATGTTGTGAAAACACCTCACTATCAAGGCATATCATCTGTAAGTTAAGTCAAGTATAGAGAATATTCAAAATGTCAGAGCTGTTTATGTCATGAGGTTAGTATTTGCAGTAAATCCTTTCACTAGCCTAGGGCAGTCATTTAAAGTGGGTGCCTGTCACAGAGATAATGAACAAGGTATTTGAGGTGGTATGCATTTGAAGGTATGTTCTCAGCAGATTATAAGAGAACACGCTGAAGAAAAATATATTATTATGATTATTGTTGCAAATTAGAAATGGCATATTAAGTTTTAGCCAGTAATATGTTGTACTGCACAAAGACCAAATTTTCTACACATATTTCAGCTCAGGTATACATGACATAGCATGACAACAACAGCAACACAGACTATATCATCTGGCCTTTACTTGTCAACACTGGCCAGTTGCCATGCAGATACTTCCGACCAAATGAACTAGGACACCATATACATATTACAACCAAATTTAGTAATCATTTACCACGATGAGATTGGCACCTGAATAGCTAAAAGGATTAGCATCACAAAGGAATTTTATCTTCTTAATACAACTTATGATTCATAATTAGTTCCTATTCTGTTAGAATTATCTTTGTGTTCATAATGCAAGCAGAGTAACATTCATACTTCTCTACTGCGCATAAATGAACAGTAACCTTTGTCTGCACTGATTATCAAAAAACACAAAGCACATAACAAACATGAGGAAGCGTTTCGACAAAATAACGTGAATCCAAAAAAAGAAACAGGTTGTCGTGTTATCATCACGTTACATGATCAGTGGCAAAGGACTCAGCTCTGATCAGTTCTTGAAAAAATAAAACCTGTAACATACACACGTATGAATGATTGCACAAGGAAACAGACCTAAGTTATAACCTACATGGAATAATCGTATATATACTGAGGCATTCCGCATTTGAGGGACATGTCGAGGGCAAACCAAAACAATCACAGGTTTAGAAAATTCTCAAGGGTTCCGCAGACAAAGCAAAACTATAAATCAATTAAATTAGTCATGCAAATGTGTATCTGTATCAAATTCATGTTAACAGTTACAAAGGATGGATATTTACCCTCACTGCACAGAAAATATACCATATTCCTTCAACACCAAAACACAAACAAATCGACTTCCATGTTTTGCACGGTGACGTCACACGAGACATGTACGGACTTAATCATTAGGCATTATTTCCAAAAATATTGTATGCTGCTACAAATCATTACCGAATTCGAACTATAAAATATGCTGCATCATAATTTTTGAATAATAAAATATTTTTTATTTCTTTCAGGATTTGATCCAATCAATTTTAGGGAGGTCTTCATATCCGTCTGCTTCGGTAAGGTCAAGGTTAAGAATGATGGAAGCCTTCAAGAAGGACGGTGTGGTGCCCGATGTAATTGACGCCGCGCCTCAAAAACAGCTTCGAGTATGTGTCTGAACTGAACAGAAATCTTCTAAGTGGTATAGAATTTGCGACTTGTATAAATTTTACAAATGTCATTCATCATGCGTGAAAAAAAGCACGAGGTTTAGCATGCTCGAAAACTGAAGGTCTGTTACTAAAGTCCTCAATTGTAGGTATATCCTTGTGTTATGGGTTTTCGGACACTGAAGAACATCCCTTGTTGTCTCGATTATCGCCACAAACAACAGTAACGCATGTCACAAAATTATTAAAAATATGTTTATCCTTCGCTCAAGCTATCATTCAAGAGTTTACAATGCCTGTGCGCCGCAGCACCTCGGCAATCACGACGGGGGGGGGGGGGCGGGCACCAGAAATGGGCTTCACACATTGTACCTATTTGGGGAATCGAACACTGGTCTGTTGTTAGATAAATGAATAAGTAGGTGCCATCTTTTAAGCAATGTAAGAAGGTAAAAAAATCCTTATGTTTCTAGTAAGTATGTGTTAGCTATTTCTCTGTTATTGTCTGACAAGTTCAACACTGATTGCATTGTATTTCAGATTTCTTATGGAACAAAAATAGTTGAGCCTGGGATGGTTTTGACACCAACTGATGTTAAGGATTTGCCAGTTATTACATTTGACGCAGAGCCGGATGCATTCTACACTCTCATCATGAATGGTAATTCCATTTCAGCATTGGTCCACAGGACCCAGTTCTTATAAATGTTTGAGTTGACATGTTCACACTGGGTCGTCGTGAGATTTTGCTCAATCCATGCTAACAAAGTTGATTGTTAATCATGTTATCCATCACCTGTTGCTTGCCCCAGGCTGCTGTGACATGTTGGGAATAATGCTGACCAAGAAGTATAATTATCTGTTAGAGTGATAATATTTCCAATCATGACAATTTTGTCACAATTTGTATTAATACTGGTATATATCAAAATCAAGTGAAACATCTAATAATGACAAAATTACCATTCCCATTGCATGTTTTTTAGTAAACGTTTCAGTGTGCTCAGTAAAGTAAAAAAGCATTTTATAGTTTGATCACACCGTTTTGATAATGTTGTGTTATTAATTGTAATTTTCATATGGCATACTAAGAAATAATACATGTTTATGCATTCCAATTAAAAAATACATTGGTCAGTACACTACATAAGACTGATGTTCTGAAATACTGTGTCAGTAGCCTCCCATACCCCTACAGCCCATAACCCCTACAGCTTATAACAACAAAGTTCATGGTCCAGTGCACTGCTAATCTCCTGCCTGTTACCTAGTTCATACAATGGACCAGCCTAACTCGCGATATTTATTGCTTATTCAGAGCTCCAGATAAGCTTTTGGCCATGTGGGTATGATACCCATACTTTTGAAACTAAGTGGGTATTTCCAATTTCAAGTGGGTATCTGTACTCTTAGATACCCAATATCTTTTTAAAATCCGGGTATTCATTTCAAATAATAATAATAATAATTGCATTTATATAGCGCATCATTCACTAATAAATGCTTTGTGTGCTTAAGATGGAAATTGACACTTAAAAAGAAATGTTTTGAGGCCAGTCTTAAAAGATGTTAGTGACTCGCTGGTTTTGAGTTCAAGCGGTAGCGTGTTCCACTTCATTGCTGCATTGAAAGCAAACGACCTTTTGCCAAAGTTGGTTTTGATGTTTGGCACTGTCACTAGCATTTGGTTTTGTGATCTCAGTGAGCGTGAGGGCTGATACAGGGGCAGTAACTCTGCGAGGTAGTCAGGGGCCATTCCGTTGAGACACTTGTACGTCATTACAATAGTGTTGTAGTCAATTCTTGCAGTGATAAGTATAAGAGGTGCGACATTTTTTTTATTCAACAATAAAATAAGACAAAATCCTCCTAACAATGCTAAATTATAGCTAATAGCTAATATAGCTTTATCTACTTGTGCTGTAAGAAATAATATGTGCCTTAGTCTTCATCAGTTTTGGTGTAAAACAAGATACCAAGATGGCTATTTGATGATATAATGGCCATGTCTTCACTCTTAACAATTAACGTTTTCAAAACCTTGTTCCATCATGATGTTTCACTTCCATGCTGCAAATAGCTAATGTTACACAAGTTCATTTAAAATATCACCGGCAACTGATTCTGATTGTGAAACCCAGCACTTGCTTATTAATTCATAAGTCCTCTAATGAAGTTGTTTCAGTTTGTAAAGTGTTTTACTTTGAGCGTGAGGAAGCTTTCGACCACACTTGTCACCGTTATAGATTTTTTTACAGGACATGTAGAAAGAAAACATCTATTTGATTGGTCACTAATTATAGATAAAAATCAGTGAACTTGTGACGGGTTAACAAACCATGATTGGTATTCAGTGTTGCACATTTTAATTGCGTTTAGAATTATTCAAGATTCTTTTAATCGCGAATATTTAGAGATTGAAAAGCTTTAAGTTTGATTGGCTTGAATTGATACGATACGCAACATGATTTGATGTATTGGGTAAATACACATTGTTATTTTGACTTAGCGTAAACATAAATATTTAGTGCTTTTTCATATGCTGGCATGTATTTTTCTTGTGTATCTCAACTTTTCTGTAGCGTATTTTACGCAAGTATGCAGCTTATCTGGAGCTTTGGCGTATTGCTGCATTCAGATTATTGGTTTATCTAAATTTGAACAACAGATAAATACGTAAATATAGGAAGTGTTGACAATCTATTTATGGATACCACTCATATTAAAATGTCCATCATATCATAAAAACAATCCTATACTAATACCGTTGTTTGATGTACCAACTGTCTGTACAGATCATTAAACAAATCGAATAGTCTACCCTGTAATCTCTTGTTTGGGTCAGTTCATTATGCTGACAGGTAAATGCTGCATGTTGTTGTAACTAATTGTAGGGGTACTGGGCTGTAGAGGTTATGGACTGTTGGGGTTTTGGGAACAAGTAGGTGAGACTGAGGCCAATGTTTTCCAGATCCTGATGCTCCAAGTAGGGCTGACCCCAAGTTTGGGGAATGGCATCACTGGCTGGTAGTCAACATCCCTGGTGGGAGACTGTCTGATGGAGAGACGATAGCCGAGTATGTCGGAGCTGGTCCTCCCCCCGGAACAGGTTTGTAACTCAGTGGTTGAATAATGATCTCAAGTTACAGCATGGTTTGAAAGTCAAACAAGTTTGTTTAGTCAGTGATGTACCTGTATATGAAGATGCACTTCAGTGTACCTTATAAACTGTCAAAATGGCAATCAATGGCAGGGATTTACCTTGAGTCCTGTATTTGAGGTCATAGGGACTGTATAGGGACTCATGCTCTAAATTTTCAGGGGTCCTGGACAACAAAATGGGGGTCCCAGACACTGAGATATTATTATTAATACTGTTATTGTATTGTGTATCATGATCATCACATTGTTACAGTAATTAAATTGCAAATAATACCATAACCCAGCTAGTAGCAAACTCAGTGATAACTTAACATCACTTGATTGGAATTTTTACAAAAAGTATTTGGACTTTTTCTGAGTCCCTGTGGATGCGCTAATAAATTGTGTTGTGTCCATTGTAAATTTTTATGTGCATAGGATGCAGGAATTCGCGTCCTGTAAATCCCTGCAATGGCTTTGTTATTGTTTTCAGACATTGTTTCATGAAGAGCTTGTTACTTAATCATTTGTCCTTAGTGATTCATTTGTGTGTTTCAGGCCTTCACAGATACGTGTTCCTGGCTTATAAACAGCCAAATGGGAAAAAGGATTTCGGCCTCAAAAAGTTGACTAACAGAAGTCAAGATGGTCGGGCAAAGCATTCAATCCGTGACTTTCTGAAGAAGGCTCAATTGTCTGAACTTGTGGCAGGAAACCTCTTCCTGGCTGAATACGATGATTATGTTCCTGAACTTTACAAGCAGCTCAGTGGATGAAGAGCAAAGTCAGTCCATGAAGATTTCCACTTAAATTTCAATGTGTAACATTAGTTGCAGAGAATAAGCTCAAGCTTATTGTTCATGTTTGGCACAGACCTTGAAGAGGCCTGGGCCTAGATTTTTTAAGCTCTCTTGGCTAAGATAGTCGTAAGTTAATGTCAATGTATGGCACTTACGACTATCTTAGCGCTAAGAGAGCTTCAAAAATCTAGGCCCTGGATATTATATGTTTGACTTGAAAAGGCCTTACAATCAAGTCTATTTTGCAGTTTCGTTTTTGAAAATATTTATTCTGCTGCTCTTCTAAGAATGTTAGTGTTTAACTTAAGATAGAGTTACCTCCCATTCACACTCGAGGTAGACTGGTTTGTCTGTCCTCCACACCACAATTCACCTGCTAGAGGTGATGGACAGGGATTTACTCAGTGTGTAAAAACAAAGCATTTTCCCTTCAATTTCTTACTTTGATAATATGTTTGGTTTTTTTTGTTTTTTTTGTATTGATCAATCTTAGTGCCAGAAAAAAAACCTGAATACTATGAATTTCCATTTATTGGTTATATGTTTGTTTATGTGACGGAGGTGATTACTACTAAGTATCCATGCACCTGCTGGGAAATCCATGGCTGACCATCTTATTCAGAGCACCTTGTATGCTTATTACCAGTATACAGATACTTCCAGTATTTATAGTACAGTATTCATGTTGTACAGTATTTATAGTACAGTATTCATGTTGTACAGTATTACCAAGAACCAAAGCTTCCAGTCAATGTAACTATGTAATAAATGTTATTTTTCACTCTAAACTACAGATGTGTTACTGTGTTGATATTTGTCGATACATTCCTTAAGGAGTGAGTGAGTGAGTGAGTTTGGTTTATCACTGCTTTGAGCAGTGTTTCGAGTTATGTCACTACATGCTGATGTAATGTTAGTGAAAACCCAAAGTGATGCAGGTCTCCGACATTTAGCACTATGCAGGATGGCAATTTTCCGCTGATCCGCAGATTTCCGCCGCTTTTATTTCAAATTGTTCAATTGTGAATCGTCTAAATCCATTGAGATACCCTCAACTCGATGACACAATATTACGTTTTCAGCTGATTTTCCTGTTGCCATCCCTGACTATGGTTAAACAGGCATGGCACTGACAAGCCTAGATCTAGGTTGTTGTTGTTGTTGTTGTTTTGTTGTTGTTGTTGTTGTTGTTGTTGTTTAACGCCGCACTCAGCAATATTCCAACTGTATGGTAGCTTAGATGTCAGTCTAAGTAAACTTACGCTTAGTATTATTTGTTACACGGCTATACTGAGTCTAACAAACCCTAGTAGAAGGTCGCGTCAGCTAACCTTTTTAATTGGCCAATTAGAACACAACTGATCAAATCTCGAAAGTTGACATTCGCACATACCTTTTGAACTTTTATCAGTATAGCAGTGAAACAAATAATACTGAGCCTAAGTTTACTTAGACTGCTTACAAGACAAGTGGCAGGTAGATGCTATGGAGGCCCCATACTTTTAAATATGCCCCACAGTAAAGTACGTTTGGATATATTTGTCACAAGCTGTACTCTTAATGAGGGCCTCTGTTTATTTTATAGCAGCCTGACATTTTCTCATACTGAAAAAACTGTTTGGGATCTTGAATATCTTTTTGGAACAATTTATGAAATTGTGTGGTCTTCACTACATGAAAAGATATATCTGATCTTCAAACAAAGTAGGCATCATATCTGTGCTGTCTGATCTTCAAACACAGTAGGCATCATATCTGTGCTGTCTGATCTTCAAACACAGTAGGCATCATGACCTTACTGTCTGATCTTCACACACAGCAGTCATCATATCCGAAACTGTCTGATCTGAAACACAGTGGGCATCATGTCCGTACTGTCTGATCTTCAAACCGCAGTCATCATGTCCGTACTGTCTGATCTTCAAACACAGTAGGGATCATGTCCTTACTGTCTGATCTTCAAACACAGTAGGGATCATGTCCTTACTGTCTGATCTTCAAACACAGTATGCATCATGTCTGTGCTGTCTGATCTTCATAGTCTGAGAAATAGCTGCATTACACAATTTGAAGTTATTATTGTCACCTTCATTTACACAAAACCGGGGATATAATGATTACATGCCCGTCTCTCTGCCGTTTCCAGAGCAAAACTCCTAAACTATTCAGTGTTTCTTGTTGAAACTTGCTAAACAGATCAGTGTAGTGGTGAACTGGTGCCATGTGATGATATTGGATTTGTGTATTTTTCTTTATTTTGTATTCTTTATATTTGGACCTACATTAAATCGCAAAGGTCACCTCTTCAGCCCCTCATTTGTTCATGTACCAAGTTGGGATGGAAAATGTGAAAAGTTTTATATTCTGCTATGGTAACGACACCTAACAAATAACAAGAGGCATCACTTCAGGATCTGTTTGATGTAACTGATAAGTTTTGTTGGAAAATATTGAACAGTTTTCAAGTTGTGAGTGAGTGAGTTTTAGTTGTACGCCGCTTTTGGCAATATTCCAGCAATATCACGGCAGAGGACACCAGAAACCGGCTTCACATATTGTACCCATGTGGGGAATCGAAACCAGGTCTTCGCGTGACGGGCGAACGTTTCAAGTCGTACTTCGAAAGTGAGTGATTATGGACTGATGGGCAGACAGACAGACGAAGCATTGAACATAGGCATAAAACAAGGAATAACATTGATAAACAAGGACCAGAACCAATGTAACAATTGCCACATCACTTGTACTGACATGTGACCCTTCAGCCTGGTCCGGGAGGTGGAGCCTGGTGACAGAGTCAAGTACATGGCAGCCAGGATGCTACATCCTCATCTCTGGCTTCAAGTGATGTCTGATGTGATCTGTGCACACTACTTTACATACTGGCATGTGACCCTTCAGCCTGGTCCAGTAGGTGGAGCCTGGTGACAGAGTCAAGTACATGGCAGCCAGGATGCTACATCCTCATCTCTGGCTTCAAGTGATGTCTGATGTGATCTGTGCACACTGCTTTACATACTGCTTTACATACTGCATGGCAGTCAGGATGCTACATATCTCTGGCTTTTCAAGTGATGTGCTGTGCACACTGCTTTACATACTGGCATGTGACCTTCAGCCTGGTCCAGTAGGTGGAGCCGGGTGACAGAGTCAAGTACATGGTGGATGCACACACATAACTCATGAAGTCCAAAGGTTAGGGGGAAATGCTCCTCAGGGGAAAAAATCAGGGGAGAGGTGGGGTGTTAACCCCTCCTCTGGATCCTCCCCTGGACTGGCGTGTCACATAAAGTCCACTATGAAAATGACAAGGAACCAATGAACTAAAAAAGACAGCATCATTTTATTGGTGAATATATTGATAATGATGGGCTATGAAAGTATACTACCGAGTACAACTAAATGCTGCTATTGTAAACAGGTATGAATCCACTCTTCCATCCTAGTGGTTAGTCCAGTTCTTGGTCATGTAGATGTTCTGCCCAACGCAATTCTCTCCTATCATCCAAGACTTGTTTAATACAGTGTGACTAGAGTATAGGCCATGGGGTCTGTAACCTAATACAGAAACATTTTCATGTTCTCAGGCCTGACCATACTAATCTGTTGTCTAATGTTTTAGGTTTGTTTTGGGTTTTTTTGGTCTGCCTGTCATGACAGGATACATATATAAAATATATCATTGCCCTGGTTGATTCGAGATCATTTTTGAAAAAAGATTGAAATAAATGTTTTAACAAATAATAGAATCAAATGATTTTTTTAAAAATTACTTCAGCATTAGTTTATTCTTTTGATAAACTTATCCCATAAAATGAGGGCTCTCCTGAATTTTAATTTGAAAGTTAAAATTTATTATTGCCTTGAGTCCCTACACAGTAAACTTGATTTTTTCAATTTCTGTCTAGGACATCATCAAGTCTTTCATTTAAAGAGAACTTCATACACAAACATGTGAGACAAAGCATTCAGACACAAAACCATTTCAGAATGTCACTGTAAATATATAAATAAATTAAAAAATACATCTCATATAGTTAAAATAACACAGACACAATGGAATGAATATAAAAACAAATTAATATATTGGCCAGGATGAATAAAACAACCAACAACACATGTTCATATTGCAATAATTTGATCCCAGATGACAAACAGTTGCTGGCAACCTGTGTTGTTACTAAATGTCTACATACCACAGACAAACACGAACACCATTATATTTACGTGGCAGTCAATGTGTCAATACATGAAATCAATATGGATTTATTATTAGTTCAATCGTAAAAATATTTTAAGCTCAGGTTGAAATTTAAAGAAAACATCGTACATTTTCATTTGACAGATTAATTTGCCATTTACCCATTAAGTCAGAAAGTGTCAGCATATTTGTATTTTATCTGAAGTGACTTTTTATATGAATGTTCCATAAAACAGCATGGATATAAACGAGCAGAAACGATCAGAGGAGAAAATGCAGGCAAATCAGCAGTTAATACAAAATTATACTGGGCCATTGTGGTCGCTATTGTCAAGTAGTCAAACAACAAAACACTTGTGTTAGTTGCATTCTCCTAAATTGTTCCGGTGAACAAATTGATTGGTTGTCTGTGATTGGTCACCAGCCAATCAGATCAATACAAAATGCCGAGTCAGTTACACTGCTAAAAATAAACAGTTGAAATGTTGTCTCATCTTGCTATGTATAGGTCTGTTCAACACACTGGCAAGTACTCAAACCATTACAAAATACTTCTACACATCTTACAATTCTTCATTTCAATTCAATTCAAATTATTCATTTACAAACGTTTAAGGAACCTATATAAAATACAAAACCCATCATTTGAAAATCATAATGACTATTGGCATTATTATCCCAGTACAAGATCTGTCACATTTCATTGTTTACAGAAATATAGTTCATATTTAGAAAAGAATTACTGACTCATTTTCCAAAAAATATCAACAATTTCTACATATATATCTTCAATATCATTTGGAATGTCTCATGATGAAAAAATATTATCATTGTCATTTCATATTCAAATAATAGTTGTTCACACACAATTCTTCATAGGTTTGCAAAAATACAAACCTACTCAAAATATTCCTTCATATTTCACAATGAATATTACAGATATTCTAGATAAATGCGTATCTGATAAAACTAACAATCCCAATATGACTAAGATGAACATTTCTTCCATAACAAATCTATGATCTAATATGTTTAAAATAGGGGAGACAATTGAGTTCCAACTGTGGTGCCATCATATAAAAATATAACATTTGTCACTACTCTTCAGTGAGTAAAGAACAGTGAAGAAATGTCTGAGATTACCCCGCAGGAACACAGGGGAGACAACTCTGTCCCAGACCGCCAACAACTGTAATGAGGATTACACATATCTACAGAGGGTGCACCCCAAATTTACTCATCTAAGTGACCAATGTGCTCTTAACAACTAAAATACATATTTAACAGAAAATCTTTAAAATCAGATATCAACGTATGACCCCCCACCCCCTGCCCCACCCACTCCCATGTGACAAGTAGAACTGTGGAACTGTCCTCAGCTGGGGCCAACCTCATCTCCGCCCCGTGGGCCGTGTGGCCTCAATCTTGTTCTGCAGGTCGTCGATGCGGATGTCCTTCAGGTGAATCAGATGCTCGAGGCGGCGTACTTTGGCCTGAAGTATCTGCAACATGACCGCAGTGTGTCAACACTCAGCTATGTGATGTGCACTTTTTTGTCAGGTGGCTCTGACTGAAGGGCAGCTCTAGTTCACTAACACACATGGTTTAGCCATCTTCTACACTTGAACATCATCAACCAACGGGATTTTGATACAATAACCCAGGATCTGGAATGTGCTGTAATACTGTCGAAATGCTTAAGTTTATTTCAAATGAAACAAGAATAAATGATTGGGTGAACTATCAATTCAAACGCTGCTAGCCTGACATGCCCTTTCAATGGTATAATACCATTTTCCCCTGATATCATATCAATAACAATTCAAATGTCCCTTCAGTTTGAAGGAAGCATTCATTTGCCCAGAAGTATCAACAGAAAAATCTTACTAGTATAAGGATATTTTTCAATGACTTCTATTATTTTTCCAAATCTATTCAAAGCCTCACGAATAAAAAGAAGTTGTTATCCATAAAGTTTGTTCTATATTGTACTTCCCAACTTCTAAAATGCCACTCAAAGAAGTTATTCCAAGCCTTGAACTCAAAACCTGAAATGCCATGATTTTTCAAGATACTGACCTGTATCGTTTCGTCTTTGGCCAAACATTCCTGTTCTTTCTCCTCCAGTAAGATTCGAGGGACAACATCATTGTCCATGAAACCTTTGCCCTTCGACCTGTGGCAGACATCATTACTCATTTTAAATTGAACACAATATGGAGTCACAAGAAAATTTCACTAAAATGCAATCTTATTAAAATCAGACCTTTTACTTCTTCAGACATCTACATACAGCGTACCACTATGTGAAATCTGGGCAGTCTTCACCAGTCTGTCCAATTGAAGGAAGTGAGAGTTCGCAGGTATGCTTCGCGGGGGTGGTGGGGTAGCCCAGTGGTTAAAGCGTTCGCTCGTGTTGCCGAAGACCCAGGTTCTATTCCCCACATGGGTACAATGTGTTAAGCCCATTTCTAACATCCCCCACTGTCATATTGCTGGAATATTGCTAAAATCAGTGTAAAACTGTGATCACTCGCTCTTTGAATTCTTTGCGTTCTTGTATAGAGGATTTAGAAGCCTAGACACTGACTGGGTCATGAGAATGTTCATCATGGCTCCTCAGATCTCCACACAGAGAGGTATTGTTTTGAAGTAAAACATCTGATTATGGTAAGATTGGCCCCACATGTCCTGGTGGACAAAGAGTGCTCAGAAATGAAAGTCACCCTTAGATCCTTCCTGTCTCGTCGACCAAATGAAGACAATATGACCTTGACAAACTTAAAACACTGACTTGGTCTGAACTTTGTCGGTAAGCTCCTGTCAATGGATACTAAATGCAGAAGAAACCTATTATCAGTTAGCTTTGTAAACGATGCATGGCTTCTACTGACAGTGCATGTAGACATGCTAGAAGACCGATGGAAGCTACGACTCACCCCTTGTACGGCCCAGCATTGGCTGCCACACCCGGACCTGTCTTGGCCTTGGGGAGGCGGACAGCTTGTGGCAACATGGCTGCAGAGGAGGAGAAGATGTCAGACACATGGTATGATTCACTATCAATGTTGGAAGCATGTCACGCTCCACTATCAAGGTCAATGTCAGACACATGGCACAACACATCAATGGAAATGACAGACGTATAGTACCCACCACCTTTAATGTAATTCATTCAATGATGTAGGCTGTTATGGTTTATTCAGTTGTCATGACAACCGCTACCATTTCTTCCCTAATTTATCCAAGAAACAGTGAGTGAATGTTATACTATAGTCATGATGTTAGCAATATGATGGAGGCTCCACTGACCCATGTTCTGGTCCACCTCGGGCTTGTCACTGCTGAGTCGGGGGAGCTGCGTCCCGGTCCGACCCCCATCATGCCCGCCATCTGCTTGTTCTTCTGCATCTGATGTCTGGCAAGGTCGATCTTCGTCCTCACCATTAACATGACCTTCTCTATGACCCCTGGCTTGCAACCTGACACACTGCGGATCACGTCATCCGACAGCTGGAAGTTCATCTTGTCAAACACCTTCCTGGTGATGTGGAACAAACATACTGATGTCTGGAGATTCTCTTACACATCTCACTGCATGTTACCACTCATCATCACAAATAACGTTAAGTAAAAACATAATTGTTTGATCGGCATGTAATACATATCAAAGTCTGTGAAGTTATACCCCAGTAAGCCCCATTTGACATTTTTTAATAAATACCGCTTGTCAACATCATTTTAGTCAAATGAAGAATGCTAAGAACTTTATTATGCTATCAATTAACATAACCTTTCAATGTATTCCTATTCAATCACAATGTTGTCTTGACCATCATGTCACAGAATCATAAAGGTGAGGTGAGGTGAAATTGGGTTTAACGTCGTGCTTGAGAATATTTCGCTCATATGACGACGTGCATGCGTGTGTATGTGCGGCTGCTTGTACTAGCCCAGACTTAAGCTGGTTTTATAGTGCTAGCCCACTGAGATACCATGCCGCAGTGAAGCATGAATACCCCACTCAGACACAGTATACTGACTCCGAGCCAACCAGTCCTTCTTGTACCCATTAATGCCGAGCGCCAGGCAGGGACCAACAAGTACCATATTTTAACGTCTTTTGGTATGACACAGTCGGGGATCGAACCCGCGACCTTCCGCTCTCCGGGGGGACGCTCTAACCACTACACCACGGAGGCGGTCAAAATCATAAAGAATTATACACATTTAACATGACTTTGTGGACACACACTGGTTTAGCCCTCCCTAAAAATTAACATACTTATAATTGCATATGAAAATGGATACCATTTAGAACCATCCCATGAAACTTGGTGTATATGAAGATAGGAATAAACATGGAGGGCAACATAGTTTCTGCAATAAAACAACCTACCCTGATCTGATAGAAGCACTACAAACATTGATATACTGCTACTTGAGTCAACACTACCGGATTCTGTTCAGTGTTGCTGGGAAGCATTACAACCTTGGAGAAAGAGAAGGTCCTCAAATATTATCCATGTGGGTTTCCGAGCAGCCCCCGTCTCAGAACTACCTACTTCTGAACATTCAGTGCACCCTGACCACCCTTCTCCCAGCTGTCTTATAACCCTGGCTGTGGCTTAAACAACGTACCCTTCACCCACATGGACAATAGTGAATACTCTCTTATCTATACTAGGTATCCTTTATAACCTTACATTAGAAAGGTCCACACTTGAGTGTGACCAAGCACTGGGTGATCACTGTTACCAAAACAGCTGTCGCTATTGTACATTTTCATGTGTGATCTATGTGTGTTCATCTGGAGGGGGTGGGGTAGCCTAGTGGTTAAAGCGTTGGCTCGTCATGCCGAAGACCCGGGTTCGATTCCCCACATGGGCATAATATGTGAAACCCATTTCTGGTGTCCCCCGCCGTGATATTGTTGGAATATTGCTAAAAGCGGCGTAAAACTAAACTCAGTCAGTCAGTCAGTCATCTGGAGGGTGACACTATACCAATGTTTGTATACATGGTGCAGTACAACATGCAGAGATACAACGTGTACAATTACAGGAGTGTGTGTAGTTCATGCAGCCTTACACTCCATCCACAGACACCAGGCTGACACAACACTGTCATACATAGATCTCACATATCTACAGGAGCCAGCAAGTTCCGTTACAGCAGGGAATGACTTAGTGAATATTGTGTTAAATAACGCCGCTTCACCAGTTTCGCAGCCATTCACAGCAGGAAGTAGAGTATGACATCATCATTGCATTTAATGAATATTTATACCACTTATCCATAAAAATTCATTTTGACTGACTTTCTGGCATTTGACTCTAAGTGTGGCACCCTGACATATAAATGACACTGCAACAATGGCTCTTCAACCAAGGACGACAGCAAGTAAGTTGTGTCTGGGAGATTGCTCAGTGCCTCTCCACCTCGTGCGCAGCTCGGATACCTGAAGGACTACACCTGACGACTATGTGCCGATGTATTGAGGGTATATCTGACCCCCTGTTGTTCTACTCAGTACAGTGTTGCCAGCCATGTCATAGTCCCCTCTACCCTACACACTTTCACCTCCCCATGAACGTTTTCAAAACAAACATAAAACAATGATTCAATATTCATTTATGATAGCCAAAAAGAAACTGAAAATCTTAGAAACGTTACATGAATATTGCACTCACAGTCCTTTACTACAGCCTTGATAACAACTGTCAAGAATCACAAGCGCTATAATGTTTGATAATGTTCTGGTAGTATCATTATTGTATCATACACACTGAAGTGATTACAAATAAAACAATATAATGATCTCATGTTAAAACCTACATTTTTGTCTGATCAGAACCATGTGTGATCATCACATTTTTAGAATGTAACTTGACTGTACATCATTATGAGAGACTTCTAACTAAGTATAAATATGATATCACACTGTATGATCTAAACTACAACACCTGATAATTGAAGACAAAACCCATTGTATATCCCGGTGTCAGGGGTTTTCGACGATGTAAGACAAAAACGTAATTTTTATCTGTAATATCATTTAAAGTTTTTATTTTACTAACCTCAAGTGATAAAGGATATATTCATCTATTTCACACAAAAATATCAAGTGTTTCCTACAAAAATAGCGTTGATGACATTGCATCTGCGAAACAGTGGCTGCCCATAACATCCGGGTATTTTGTATGGGTTTTCGACGATGAGCAATACTTTTTGCTCCGCAATAAATAATATTGATGTTTGTTTGCTTTTTATATAACTTTACTTCCCGATTTCCATTGTCAATAAAACATCTCATGACAGCGACTGGGCACCCGCCCTACCAGTGAAACTGTTTGTGTACACAGATCGCACACATACAGTCCCGATATAGCGCGTGCAATGCAATCGTCGAAATCACCAGAACGTCGAATTCAGCTCGTGTTGGGATATATCATAAGTTCTAGCCTAGAGACTGGTTCTACATAGATCTACAGCATTACACAGGTGAATTATACCAAAGGAAGAATATAGGAATCAGATACTGAAACAGAATTGTTAGCAGAATATCATATTATCATTAGACAGATCTGCTTCTACTGAAAATATAGAAACAAGGAAATTGAAATACAACTATAAATTCATTTCTTACACATCCAATTACAATGGTATTTCCATCAAATTTTACCTTTTCTAAAATTAAGCACCATTTGATATTGTCTACACATTAAAACATAGTTCCTGTACCTGACATAATAGGATACATGTTTAGAATTAAAGTTAATTGTCATTGTTCAGCATGATGAAGATCATAGCAGCATTATTTCTCTCAACACAAATCTAGTAAAGGAAAAGAGATAGAGTTCCACCGTATTCTGTATTGTACTTAATATTACCTGTTTAACATGAACCAGTTGGACAATTTCTGCTGTGTCGAGTTGGCTGGTGGGTAGTTATGGAGATCAACAAAATGTGGCAGATAATGTTTCACAACTTCAGCAACTAGCACTGAAAACAAGAGTCAGGGACAGGATGCATAGATGACGATGTTGAGCTGAGAGAACACACAAGTGTCTAGCTGAGAGACAGAGACATGAACATGAACTGTGGACAGACACATTACTTAAAAGTGGAAGAGCTGTTTAATATCAGCTGGTAGATACAAACTAACAAAATGCTCTTTCTCCCTTTTCACTAATTTACCAGATGGAATTTTATCTGAAATATAATACCGGGTATTAAATACCAAGAATATAGTTTTCACTTCTTTTCTTTTGGTGGAGAAAAGGGTATTGGTGTTCGAAAATGTGCTTAAAGCAAAATGTCATTCTTGATAAAAAAAAAAGAGAGCATGTGCAAAATATGTTAACAAAGCTCAAAAGAAAAGTTATCATGAACAAAAAAGATTTGATCAAGAAAGTTCTGTAACAAGTAGCCCTAGAAACAGAACGTCTCCACTAAACAAAACATCAGGTTGTTGTCACACTTACAATTAATAATATATCAGTTTTGGATAGAATGGTTTAACATTACAGTCTAGCAGATCACATGTCAAAGGAGAACAGCTGTTCAGTACGTTCTGTAAATTAAACACAGCTATGTTTACAGGTTAATAATAGCCCCATAAGGAGACCAGTAGCACTTACTAAGCAGTCAAAGATTTAATCCAAAGTCTTCACCAGTAGATCATGTCATGGCTCTCTCCCTCATCACAGATATATTGACAGGCAAGAAACACACAGACCTGGCTAACCTGCAGTCTGACTCACCTGCATCACAACATCGACAACACCAACATGCTGTAAACATGCTTAGCTCACACTAAGTCTTGTATTGCTAGATGTGACAGACAAAGGCACAGGTGCACAAAGTGAACTTAGCAAAAAACATGACTTAAGACTGTTCCAACTCTTTATCAGGGATGTAATTAAGCAAGAGTTCTTCAGTCATAGCAAGTTGTCTCATGTTTAAAGACTCAGTGCTTTAGAATTTCAGACAGCTTGTGGAAGTAACATAACATAATTGGTAAGGTCACTTTGTGCTTCTGTCACCATACCTGCCTGATTCTGTGTATCATATACTGGTGTGTGTGCAAGCAACTACAGGAATACTACAACTGACTACAAGCATACAGCTGCCACTGCATCCTGCCAACAGATGGCGCCACAACAGCGTCAGGAGCAAGTGGTCTGCGGTACCTATTGAGCAAATTCCAGTTCTCCAGTTTCTGCTTCATGTTGTTTGCGGGGACATAATTGTGGATCTGCACGGCCCAGGGGAAGAAGTGCTTAACGACCTCGGCCACCAGAACTATGACATGTAATCAATTATTTACTACAGACTCTTGATTCAACATAAACACAACGTCAACAGGATATAACACGGTCTATATCACGTTACAATTACTGCTTCTATCATGATGTTCATATTTATCAATGTAGGACAATAATAATGATGATCATTATAATGTGCATATCTATAACGCAGGAAATCCACATCCAAAAGCAAGTTCAAAGGATTACATATTCAAATGGTCAATGAATCATTGTACATTCAGTTTTCGTCCTTTGTGGGGATAAAATCTGGCAAGCATGGTAGAAATAGTTTAGCCTGGTAAGCTATACTTATGAAACATGTTAAATACAAAATGTGAAGAGTAAAAGACAGATGAGGATGGGATAACTTCAGACATACCATCACTCAATTTTTTTAATATAAATTATAATTTCTTGCTGGGACATTGAAATGTTTGCAAGTGTGACATAAGTAGTTGGGAAAGCCAAGGACATTTTTTTAAATGAATCAAAAAGTGCTTGAAGGTTATAGCATGAAAGGAACAAGGTACAATAAGATCCCACTAGCCAGCTGTGAGTTGGTCTACATCGGTTTGGAGCCAAGTGTCATTTTCTGTTAGGCAATAATCATTTACTGAGAACTATTTGACAAACGTTATTGGTGTCCTGCTCTTTCAGAACTCACCACTGAGCAGTGTTGGATATGAGGGATGAACGTTAGGCATGATAAAGGTTCACTGACATATTCCTTTTGTGTATTAAGACTTAAACTGAATGGATCCTGGATGAAATAGAACCTGACACTCACAGCAGCTAGAGACATTCCTTACTGGGGGACTGGACTCAAGTCAACTGGTAATCTAAGTAACTGTGATTGAAGTCATAATTGGTTGTGATTCACTGATGGTACTCTCAAATTTTAGAATGTATCTATATAGCAGTTTATGATCATTCTCATTACAGACAATGTCTTTGACACAGGTCAATAACTACAATATCTAGCACGTCACCAGATCTTAAAGTCTAGTCCCCCTTGAATTACTAAAACTACTTTCTTTGACAAAGAGTGTCATACACTGATAACCAAAGCAAACTGATAGTATAAAGTTAGCCTTGTCAGATGAAAATGTAATTCACTGAACTCTTGGAAGGTTTGTTTTCATAATAAACACAGCAATTACACTTGAAACAACCTAAATAATAAGCGATGTTATTTAATATCCCAGCTGTCATGGTGGTCTATAAAGCTTTGCTCCACCAGTGGAGGATATTAATAACATATTATAATCATAATATTATATGATAATGTGAAATGTCCCCACCCTCTGAGTATAAAACCCATTCCATATAAAAATATGAACAGGAATAGAGATGAAATATTTCATTAATTTACAAGCAGTTATGTGTTTTTGTATGATTCCAGAATGGTAATCGCCCTGGAAGTATCAAATACATAAAGTTATACACTATTAATTTCAATAATTACAGAGTCTGAGTGTACTCATCATGATATTTTGATGTATTCATATATACTACCCATCAAAAGTTTACACTCACTAGTGTAAATGTAGCCACTTACTTGTCCACTGTTCTGAACTAGCTTTTTGCAAAATATTCCATACTGTTTAAAGGTACTGTTTAGTTATGAACTGGTGTATTGTAAAACATATTCGTAACATTGAAAAGATTATTGTCATGAGTTCAGTAAATGATTAAAATCTGTGAAAAAACTTAACAAAACTTTACACCAAAACGAATCTGTTCACATGATTTGCTCATGCCTTTCGCAATTTGAAGCATCATGTGCAATTCAGGTTTTCAGTTGGTTCCCCAAGTTGGTGGAGCATCTTCGATGTAACCACATACATATACATAACATATAGTGAACAGTGAGTCTAAACTTTTGATGGTAGTTTAAACATCACAACAGTCACCATGATCACCTCACAAGACATGTTCTCACGAGGCTCTTCTGATGACACTAACAGTGATTTGGGTTTAACTGTTTAATGCCTTTCTCAACAGTATTTCAGTTACCAACATAAATGCCTTTACTTCACTCTCGGCTTAATTTCAAGGAAAGCTCAACATGATCAAAGTTGCACGGGTCAACTGAGTTATTTTCTCATCTTCAACCTTATTGAAACAGTAGTTCAGATGTCATGGGGTTTCCGTCATGTTCTCAAGTATGAATGCATGAAAAATGTCCCATACCTCCATCAGAGAAATCTCTATTCATGTTTCGTTTTGGTCGTGACAATTGTATCTCATCGATCCATGTGTATAATTCTTCAAGTTGCGCCTCGTCCAATTCCTCCATTTCGCTCTCACTTTGAGGCATTATAGCCTTTCCACGTCGTCCTTTGTTTGAATCCAGAGTTTGCAATATTAAAATAAAATACTGACTGACTGCAAAATCCTATATAAAACATATACCGAGAATACTGTTTCACTACGATAACTCGGTGTCAAATAGTTTACATTGTTGTCAGTCGATACCGTATCCCACAAGGCAACGCAAACCGGAAGTTATATTTACCAACAGCAAATGACCGTTTTCTGAACAATATTACACACTAACACTACCCGAACAAATTGCTGATAGCCCTCCCAGAATAAGTGCCATCAGCGGACTAACAACGTCTTGAAGTAGAATATGTTGTATTTCTTTTCTGGAGATAATCTCAATATTATTAAGACAGTTTGACTGCTTAAACATGATAAAGTATCTTATATACTTTATACTTTTGGCAAAGCAAAGTAGCCTATGGGACTTTGGTATTAAACAATTAATGGAATGTTTTTGATGTCACAATGAAATATGTCATATTGTTTTCACAGACTCATTTTATCTGGTAGGTCAGGTGAAAACACACTTGCTTTCCTGTCCTTAAGAATAATGGAACTCAAAAATAATTTCACTACATTATTGAGGAAAATTGTAAACGATTTGAAATATGAAACAATGGAACACATATTGGAAGACTGATTCAATGACTGTTTTCCAAGTGGCCAAAGAGTGTCTTGGGTTGAGGCAGTGGGTGATAATGTTTAGGTATATAGACTATATGTTGATTGTTTTAATGCATCTGGTTTAAGGTATATCAGTATAAAACAAAGTCAAGAAGCTTTCACTTTCTAAAACAAGGTCTTAAAATACAAAAACAACCTATATTTAACATAATTATTTATATATCATATATAAAGGAATATATATAGGAATACTGTTATGAGGCAGTGGCTATACCTTATGCAGCAGTGTTTCAACTGTTCTGCATTGTAGGTGTAGGTTCAATCAGAGGCGGTTGTGTGCTATATTTATTTTGTGCCATATTTAAACAGAGTTCTTGAGGCTGCCACTGTGTTCTGAACCACAGAAAATATTATGTAAGATCAGCATTAGAATAGAATGTTTTAGCATCATATTCTTATGTATCTAAGTGGCGCTGGCTGTTGCCTCTCATCTCATAATTACTGTAAATCATGAAATTAATGCTTCACGAATTTAATGCGAGCTCAGGAATCGTGACACCCTGAATCTTTGATGTTGTTCATTTTCTTTTACAATTGTTATTTACCAAATTGTTACATAATTTGCCGATGAATAAGTTCAATGGATATCAATTAGTGTCATGGAAATTAGTGCTTATTTGTCAATTAATTTTATGAGAGATGTCTAGATTGTTGTTATATTCTGTAGACGACAAGAGATTTACGTTTTCTGTCTTTTATTAAGTTCTCAAAAGTAGACATGGTCAGACTGAAATGCTTCATTATAATAATGCGAGAAGAGTACAGACGCATTTTTCGCATTAATAAAGTGCTCGCATTAATTTCATGATTTACAGTATATAAATCACATTTTCTTCATGTTTGTTGGTTTCAAACCTAGTTTTTTACCGACTGATTCAAATTTTATTACTGATCACCAAATTATCTGCCACACTGTCCACAGGGGCAAAGTACTATGAGCAGAGCAGAGAAAACATTTGTCTCCAAGAACTGACAACAGATATAGCATGTAGATCATGTTTCAGGTGACCGTGCCATTTTATGGCACTGTGAAGAACATTTGGGTGACATGTCTTTCTTTAATGTTTACAATCTGTAACTAACAGTGTATAACTTCCTGTAGTCACTATTCACAGGTTCAAAATTACCATAAGTTAACTGGTCTGGAACTTGTAGAAATCAGGAAACACTACTTGTAAACACCCATGTATTCATAGTTAGGTCAATGGCAGATCATTTGTGAAGACTAGTGACAACAAAAACAAGTTGTTTTAACCCTGGGTCTTTGGATGGTGCAAACTAAAAACATAACGAAGCACACATAAAATATAAATGTTTATTTGTACAGAAAGTCATTGCTATCAATGAGTACAACATGGGTACAGGATATCACAGACATGGGTACATAGTATCACAACGCTGCTAAAACAACATTCAGCTCTGTAGCACGGTACAGACAGTCAGATCTGAAGGTTTGACAATATGGCACAATCTCATCAAACTTGAGTTTATGTAAAACATGTTGGTAAGTTGTTATGTAAGGCCAATATAGATCAACTGTCAGATTATCATCCAAATCTTCCTTTAAAAAGTGAGTATCTAGTCGATTTATATTTTAATATTTTATTTAATGCAGACTCAGCAGATATTCCAACTAAATTATAACAGGCTGTAAATCAGAGATTCAAGTCATTGATATTATGAGCATATGCTATCAACCTGCGTCTACTCACACAGAGCGATCTTAGCACTACGATGATTGTAGCTCATACCCAATAACATGGCCTTAAGATAGTCGTTGCACTAATAATGCTTTGTGAAAATGGACCCTGATCACAAAGACCCCTATTATGACATAAAACATGGGTTTTAAGAAAGAACAAGTTGAGGTAACTGACAATTTTGGCAAACATTTTCCTTGAAATTGAGTCCAACAAATGCAAATCACAAACAAGTAGGTCGGTGGGCTCAGAGTGAATGTGGATGATAATCGTGTTTTACCTATACTACACTTAGACCTAATTAATGTATATATCACATATGTTTGTGACTGTCAATACAGACTGATAGAAACATATCTAGCTATTCATACTTTATCTACCTCAATAATCAGTAAATAACAACTAACCACTATTTCTTGTTTGATTTACGGTATCAAGCTTGGCAAATACATTCATTATTTAATAATCCTGTTTAATAAAAAGCACAATGATGAATCAAAAGCACTACATCTGAAATCTTCCTATCAACTTGTATGTCTTTGTTGTACTAACAACAATTAACATTAAACTGAACATAACAAACTATCGGGAACTCGATAAAGGAAAGGGCAAATGAAACATCAAATTTTACACATTAACAAATATTCCACTCAGTATAAACAAACAACAGTAACTAATGCTGGTAAACTGATCTTAGAACTAAGATAATGCAAAATCTACTCATGATATACTTTGATTTGTTTTGCTCAATAACACAATAACTAATCCATGATGGTGAAAATTCAAACTTAAAAAAGTGACATTGCTCAAGCACTTCAATACTCCTTCCATGATTTGAATTTACAAATAATGTCTGTCATAATATGTTGGTGCATGCAGAACAAGTAAGCAGTTCATGCTTGATGAGATTAACAGCAAGGTATTCAAACATGTTTAATAAAGTGGTCAAAAATTTCATTACAGGCATAAAGTATTTGAGTAAATTCTTTTAAGAAAGCCTTATTGATTTGTATGGTGATTAGCTAGTGATCGTAGCATGGTGAAATCCAAGGCGCACTGTGAAGAAAAGAATCATGCAGCCTTGTGTCATACTGTAGCCTGTAGTCTACACAGATGACAGAGTCCATCCACTGTATCTCACATCTCAATACCCTGATTATATGATCAATTCAACTTCAAATACCATAAATCTGAACAAAAACTACAAAATACATTAGAATAACAACATGTATTAAAGGCAGCTCATGAATGTTGCGTAGCAAACAGTCCACAGTTCATAAGTAAACACATTTATCCATTGAAACAAACAGTAAACTGTTCTGTAAACAACGTGTAAATATTTTCACTTCCAGTTCAATTTATCCTTCAAATATCATTTCTCTGTTACTGATCAGTGTTCCCTCTGCAGAGCACCTCCCCACACAGAGTGTCAACCACCCATAGTCTCCTGCACACACTCCCCGCCGATGTCACAGGTGCCCTGGGTAGATGGATCCTGGGGGTCGTCATGACTACAGTCTTCCAGTGTGTTGAGTCAACTGTGATTGTTGTAGATTACTAAGACGTGTTTCTAAATCTTCAATTCTCACATCTTTTAAACTTAGTAAGTGCTCCAATCGACGTATCTTTGCATTCATAATCTGGATCGAAACAAAAACGAGAATCATTAGTATTCATTACCGTAATTACTCTATTAATACAGTGAAACAATATATTTTTAACTGTTTTAGTTTTGGTGAATATGCATTCTGGCTAGCGAACAGTTATCGCCATATTATAGCAGTAAATACAAAATTTCTCCGCCATTCGTTAAATTAATGAAACAGAATTAATTATGATACTTAATTAGCCATTCACTGATGTGTCCAGCCCGTTCACTTACGCCGATCATGTTTTTATATAATGCAGCGGAAGGGAATCATGGCGGTATAAATAGATGTTTTCTCACAAATAACTGTAACAGTTATTGCCATTCAGAATTTCTCATGCCATTTGTGAAATAATATATATTTATATCATACAGTAACCTTGAATAATTGATTGTGTGACTATTTGAGTGTTTCTTTTACAGTAGATTGATAGGGAATGAAACAATTAACGACTTGTGAACTTGAACTTGCTATGATATAGGTCGTGGGACATCCCCCCCAACTAAGTTTAAAAAAAATGATAGGGTTCATAACTTTATCTTTAATTTTTCTCTTATGTTACTTGCCGTGAAGAATTTTCTTTTGCTGTCCTTTATTGTTGTCAAATACTGAATACTGAACTGCGCACGTGTGATACTGATGTACTTGCAATAACTGTTACGTGGCAATAACTGTTCACTAAGCCAGTAGTTGGAGAGTAAAGATGTAAGACTGTGCACAAAGAACATTTTTCAGAACACTGTACAACTAAAGCATTTGTCTTATACATTATGTCTTGACCCCATGGTCTATCAGCTAGACAGACGGTCTATTCTATTCACCAGACTATGGCAGTGGTCTTGTTACATTCATTGTGTATGTCATAGTAACATCTGTTTTGTGCATCAAGATTCACCAAGAGGCTGCAGTTTTAATGTGGACCATGCATCACCTGAATTGTTTCCTCCTTTGCAGCTGCTTCCTGCTGTTTCTCCTCCACCAATGCCCGAGGTACATTGTCCATTATTGGAGCAATCAGAGGCTTGTTGGAGGTGTAAGATCTGCAAGTAGAACACACGACACTGAAAACAGCTTCCTCTTTCACACACAACCACCTGACACAAAGCTGACTATATGACCAGGTGGTACAGAAACATCTTAAGGATCAGACATGTTATTTGTAGGCTGTCATCATTAACATGATTCTGTTTTATGCTTCAGTCTTTTAAATCAGTAATGTAATAATTTTATTTAAATGTAGTAGGTTTAAGGCAAATTTTCAAATTTCTAATTTTCCAAATGACAACATGTTTGAGCACTACTTGTAATCCGGCCATACTATTCTGGAACCAGATACAATATAACACATACTCCCTCCTGGTGTGTGGAATCCGGCGCCTCGGAGACAAGTTGGACTTTCCTTGTTGAGAGCCATTTGAGCTCAGGGGCAGTAGCCGTGGGCTGACTGAAGGACATATTATGTAGAGACAGTATTAGTTCATTGTAACATATATTGTCAGTATTGGAAATCTTCCAGATTATGCTACAACAGTAAATTACAGCAAATCAGTTTTATTAAACAGTTACAGTTTCCAGCTGAAGGAAGCTCTGCTTTCAACACTATGGCAACAAAGAATTTACACTGACATACTGAAAAAATGTAGTAATGTGTGATGGATTGATATGTTATTCAGATGAGTGAGTGAGTACTTGGGTCCTGAACACATGATCCTGATCTCAGCTACTTGAAATGAGTTCTGTGAAATGGTTACAGCTAGTCAACTGGCCACTGTTACTAATAGTCACAAGAGCCATTCACAGATAGCTTATCAGTAGCCACAATTCATCTTAAGTCATAAAGACTGGTCAAACATAGTCTTTCACTCACAAAGATCAACCACAATAATAAGCTTTTGACAGAAGGGTCCAAAAGAATATCAAACATTTATTATATGCTGAGATTTTTTGTATTTAGAATGCACAAAAACCCACTCTATCCCCGACCCTTTCCTTTCAACAAAAGATGTGATATCTTCTGAATTGACACAGAAGCAGAAAGACAAGCTTGAAATAACACTCTGCTTGTGTTAATGTTATCCAACATTAAGTCCCAGAATAGCAACTGTTATTATCTACTGGCCTCACCTAAAAACTCCATATTATCCATGGACTGTGACAAGTTGTTATTTGGAAATCGTTTTGAGAAAGTGACAGATTTTTCCAGAGCTCTGTCTATCTGGAGACGAAGCATCATCAGTACTTTCTCCGCCACTTTAGACTTGCAGTAGGAGAGTGATCTGATGATGTCATCGGAGAGATCAAGGTCAAGCTTCTTTAACACACGCCTGGAAGGTAATCAGTTGAGTTCATTACTATCAAAGTACTTGTATTTGGAAAGCAAATTGTCTCATGAAGAAAAACTTATACTAGACTTTTTTCCATGCCACTGACTACCCAAATAAGAAAGTCATATGCACGTCCAGTTTAATGACCTTCACCTTGACCTCAGTTACCCATATGCTGGATTATTTCTACTTAGATGCAAGAAGAACTTCAGAACTACCTTCAAACAACCATTCTAGTGACCTTGACCTTGGATAATGGTCACCGAAAAGATTATATCTACCATATTTCAGTTACAAAGGTAAAAGCATCCCAAGTCAATATTTATACGAAACTATACTTCCTTTAGCATTGGTTGCAAGTGTTTCAAGACAATTTCAATCCTCTAGCAAGAATATGAAATTATCTGAGATGGCCTTGGGTTCTCATGGAAAGTAGGTCACCATGACCTTCCGCTGATGTCTGAAGACTGTTATCAAGTATTTGAATATCATAACCAGGGCATGCACAACACATAACAAAAGAAATGAAGAAAATGGCATTTCAGTAAAAATAGCAAACACTTAACAAATGAATATCACTGTGGCCATCATCATATTAGTAGGTCGAGTAAATCTTTTACATTTTGGCCCTGCTCAAATGGATGAGACTTACCAACTTCCATTAACCTAACTACAGATAATCCTTCTCAGGTAAGGAGGTAAACTTAATGACATTGATGATGACCTTGACCTTTGACAAAACTGGGAGAGTGTTAAAAACGCTTCAAGAAGGTGTTCTTCAGAACTGAACTTCAGTGCCAAGGGTTCAAGTGATCATTCACCTCAAATATCAAGTCAGCAAGAAAATATATCAATATCCTATTTTGAAAAAAAATCATAAACTCAAAAAATAAAGAAAACATATGTTTATGTTATATATCTGTTTATTACCAATACAAACAGTGGTTACTAGTCCTAAAGCGTGTGACTGCAAGTGATATTCTAATGGTTCCTGGCAGAATGTTGAAGAGTCCATGATGATGCTACACCATGTGGTTTTGCATGTTATTCAGTGAGCTCTAGGGCTTCCAGCCAGGAGAATTAGTATTGGGAAAATTTATACATGTCTCTAGAAGTGACTGAGTAAATATTTAATGCCACATCAGAAAAATTTCTTAGAAGTGGTTCACAGTGATGTTACAAGGGATGACATTTCCATAATGTAGATTTTAATTGTTAATCAGTCTGGCAGTGTTCACGAATGGTGTTTCAAAGTAACAGGACATTGGGTCCTGTAAGCCTCAGGTGTCTGTCTGACCCATTGAAAATTCACAGGACCCAAAGAATAAAATTAAACACACATTTCAGACTTAACATTTCTTATAATTGGCATTGAAATTATTAACAAACATAAGATTTATAAACAGCAAACAAGTGTCACATGTCACATATAACAACTTCAGTCAAAGTCATTGTGAAATATACAGTCAGACACTGGGGCTGGTGGGTTGTAGACCTCTATCAGACCTTTGGCGAATCTGTCGGATTTGTCAGAGGGTCAGACGATATTCATGAACACTGGTCTGGACCATAATAGAAACTATAAATTAAACAATTAGATAACTCATGCAAGGCATTATGATGTGCATACAAAGTATCAGCTGTATGCATATCCTGGCAGAACAAAGGGACATAATTCTGCCTGGTGCACCTGAAGGAGGTGAGAAGACACTAACCTGTTGAGGTAGTACCAGTTCTCCATCTTCTGTTTGGGTGCGCTGGCCGGTGCATAGTTGTGCAGCTGCACCAGTCTGGGGAAGTAATGGTGCACCACCTCCGCGACCAGCACTGCAAACACACACCATCATCTGTTCATATGTACACATTGTTGCAATAATGGTGGTTAGTAGGTCTTAACTCAAAATTATAAAAATATGATAATTCAGATTTGTTTTCTCATCGTCTTAAAAAATGTTAGATATGTTGTGATGGTCATCATATTCAAAATTTCATTTTGCATTCTGTACCAAAAATAATTATCAGATTGATTTATTTTCACTTTTCATTTTTGTAGGTTTGGTGAACATGATATCCATCGTGAAGGTTAATGTTACACCAGGGAAGGAAACGACGACATTGTTCACAACATACGTCCAGAATTAACCATCACCCTGTGTACCTTGTCCTCAATCCAGAAATACTGACCTAAAATTTCTGTACAAGAGGTACCGCATTGTCTGGCTAAATAGTAACATGATCAGCTGATGTTTTCTCATGTTTAATTAACTCAACAATTCATAAAAAACATGGATCATTAAAAAAGTTCAGAATGACACTTGAATTATTCAGCAGCACCATGGTGTCACACCCACCAGTGACTCACAGTTACAAAAATTCCTGTATCTAGAATTACACTGGAACGATCAATACTTCACATTAAACTTTAACCAGCATTAATAAAACCCAAGTGCTAGGAAAGCCTGTAGATGTTGTATTGATTCCTCACAAAGACTCCCAGTAAATAACACACTTATCATACCCTGAATAACCCATACCGTCACTTCTCACATAATAACATGGCCACCTCAAGTAGGTGGTATAGATCACTCACTCAACCGTCACTGTTCCTCACAGGACCTCACAATCCCTGGGACATTATCATGTCCTGCCATTAAGCTTTGTGGACAGCAGGGTTCTATATCTGTAAACACTTTTCTGTCCACCTGAGCAAGGATATTGATGAGAACAACCTTTGTGGGAAATAACAGCAATTCACTGGTTCCAGCTATTGGTGTGGTGTGATTCCTATAGACCCTAGATCTACATGTCCACTACATGAAAGACTTCCTTCCACTGCCCAAGGATTGCACTGGTCGTGACATGTAATATGGGTGTTTGGAAGCAGGTGTGTCCTAATATCCAGTGTTTTTGGACAATTATGGTGGGGGCTCTAACTCCATATTATTTATCATTAAGGTTGTGACCATGGGGAATTGAGCTTCTACTTGTTTACACTAATATCACAGGTGCATGGACTCCTTGTGGTGCACAAAACACTCTGAGTGTGGGAAAGTCTTGCCAGTCTTCGACCTTATCCACTACCATGTTCCTGTCTACTAAGAACATCAAATCACTCTATACATTTACACTATGATCTACAGAAATTATACAGAAAGAGAAATTTGGACTTCCTGACAAATAACAATTTGAATAAATTGTATTAAGCATTTGTTTAAAATATCCATCTTTCAACTGACCAAAAATAAAATTAAAAAAAGAAAATAACACATGACAACAGCAAGACCTCCAGGTCCAAAAGCATCACAATATATTCAGACACTGACAGAAAACATCCTGAAATATGCTTGTCATTAGATTATTTGTCCCATCACAAAAACACCTCTAATGAGTTAAAAGACAGAATCCTTCCCAAACAGTTGACAAAAAAGTCAGTATAACTTACAGATTATAACTTACACTTGACAATCTCTACCTGAGTTTATATTTTACCTTTAACCTCATCACCCACTACAACAGAGTGAAGGGTAAAGTACTGTATATAGTCCTTGCTGCCTTGTGAACCTTAAGCACCCTTTCTTCTTGCCTGTCTGTATTGATTTATAAACACACAACTACAAACCTTGTGTTTGACAAGGTCTCTCGTGTGTATGGTGACAAAGCTCATTTGTATACATCTAAATACGCTACTCAATATTTTACCTATACAATTTATACCACAATAGAGCCAGCTTGCATAAAAGACATGTCAGGCAAACAATAGATTCGGTTTACAGTTAGTACCTGACAAAACGTCATAAAACCCCGGGGTAATTAGGCTCTGAAGGAACATAAATTGGGTCAATATTGCTGCTGAAACTTACATATAATATCAATTTAGGTACATCAACTAGAAATTCAATAAAATAGATCAGTTATTTGCAGCCGAACTACAGCGTCTCAGTGCTTGTCTGTTGTCATAAACGTTACAGCTTACAGTCAGGATATCCTTTTAGTCACTCAATACCAGCCCGCTGAGATAGGATCTCATCGCCACGGATATCTAAAACATTTGGTGAGAATATATGGGGTGGAGAGAAAGACTTCAAAGCCTTGGCTGATCCCACTATTGTTACCTGTGGGTTCACATCAGTTTACATATGATAATTTAACACTCTGTTTACATTCACAAGAAGACATTTTTACATTGTCAGGCAGCAGTACGTTTTTAGCATTACTTTAAAGTAGGAGAGTTTAGAATGAGACAAAAATTTAAACATCACAATTAAGTTGTACAAAGGGTGAACAAAGCTATTTCTATTCTAGGTTAGGCAAGGGACTTCTGCATAAAGTTTCCACCTATTTTGAACTTATAGAGCATAAAATATACATACATTTGACAGAAATGTGTTGAGGGTGCCATATTTATTGGGGGCTTCTTCAGATTTGGTCAACAAGCATCATGCTATTGACTGCCATTATCACAGTGATCACCAATAAAGATCATATCATACACTCCTCTATCAATCATCTCTTAGCCTGCATGACTTCAAGTACCTGTTAACCAAAATACACAACTCTCCTTCAGAAGAAACACTTCCAACCTTGTCATAATTTGTTGATACACAGTTTTCTGTTGAACACAGTGTGTAAATACAATGTTAAAATACCTCTGAATTTAAGAAAATAAACATAATATTTCTTAACAAAAAATCTATTTTCCCAGTTTGCCTGCAAGGACACCTAACTTCATAGACAATGATAGGAATCATAGACAAGTCATGGCATTATTCCCAGCCTGCCTGCCAAGGCTCCTGTTTGATGTCAGAGTTAAGGCTTACATCGGTAATCATAGGATCAATCTTTTCCTAACAATACAAAAATTATAACCCTGATAAATCTCCAAAATGTTATCTTCATAGTTTTGAGATAAAACATACTACCCATTAGGATCATGTCACTCTGGACCGACGTGTACCAAGTGATATCTTACCACATTATACTCGCAGGTCTCAGGATATAAGTCTTACTGACTCTAACCAGTCTCCATGGAATAAGTAAACAGGCTCAATATTTTTTTCACTGATTCAAAAATGAAACATTACAACTTTATGGATGACAACTTCTCTCACCAACTTCTAGAATGACGATCAAACAATTAAGAACAAATAGTGTCCCAGAACAGTGTCCCCAACTTCAGTGGTACCCTTCTTGCACAGAATGGTTCACCAGCTCGTCACGTTTTACAGTCTAGCGTACAGACTTAAAAAGCATAACAGAAGGGAGTTTATTTATCTAGGAAGGTCATCAGAGCCTGCATTTATTCAGTATTCTTCTCATTTTGTTTCTGTGCAAATATACCAACATGCAGGTGGCAATAGAGGAAAAATAAACCTTTAAAACCTGTGAATTTTTGTTTATATTATGCAGCCTAAACTTTCACTAAGCTTGAAGTTTCATTGTTAGGGTTAAAACATGCATTATATGTTACTAGACTGTCACAAAAGGGTGGCAATGTATCTTTAATTCAAAGTAATAATTTAAAGTATATCTTAATGTTGTACCTGAACAATTGGAAAGTTGGCACTTCCTCACAAAGAAAAGTATGCTCATAAAATTTCCTGGCATTTTACATTCATTTTTGTGGAGCTCATGTGTCAGTACATTGACTTCAATTACTGCTGTTGTTTTGTTTTTTCCAACATTTGGAATATCAACTTCACAAACTTTGGCATGAATGTTAGGTATAATTGTGATTATGGAAACAGGTGATTGTCAGACGCTGCTATTGTCTACATGAGTTTCATAGTGTCCGTATCCCTGTGACTTTTAAGAAATCAAATATCCCTGACCATTTGTGCTTCAGTATAGTGTACAGCTTTTCCTATGCAAATAATCTCAGGGTGGAGCATTTTGAACTACCTCACATCAACACCTGTGGCATTGGAGAACAATTATCTGTAGCCAGGGTATGAAACTATCCAAAATCTCAGCCAGACCACAGGGCTGGTTAGATGTAAAACTTGCCAGCCCTGACCAAAACTTAAGGTTTGACAAGCGACGTGGTTTATCATCCAATTAGAATTCATAATATATTTTTACGAGTGAATTAATAATAATTTATTATCCTGAAATATGATGAATATCTTCATATACATCTCTAAATTTTAACCCGACCATCGGACAGGTGAATTCGAGAATCTGGCAGTCTGTGTTGAAAATACCCCGTCCGGGGCGGTCGGGCAGGCAGGTATTTCGAACACTGCTGTAGCCCTGTAGTGTCCACAGCCCCTATATTAATACCTGGTATGTTGACTGAATAGTTCAGTTAATAACGAAACCTAAAGAGCTCAACTTCAATATGATTACCATGATTAGAAATCTCTAAGAGAGAATTCTTTGAAAGCAGCTTGTGTGTGATGTGTTGACACACATCAGTTGGAACTTGGAAACATTCCAAGTTTCTGTTTGGCAAGCTAATCCAAACATGCCTACTTGAAAATACACCTGTGAAATTTGTACTACATGATTTACATTTATATAATGAAGTTAAATTTTAATCCATACAAACTAACTCTTATTTAGGAGCTATTAATTAAACAAAAACTTTAAAGTGGAATTTGTGACACATGTATACATGTACTCAAGATTACAGCAGATCTGTTTGAATATCTGCCAAACTATAAAAAAAAATGTTCTTGTATCAATAACATCTACTGTGTGATTAGCATTAAAACAATGGTAAAAGAATCTGTATCGAAATGTCACACTCAAAACGTTTGTTCTATAATGTCCATGAATGGCTTTCTGTAGTAAATTCAATAATAGTTATAATGAACAGTTTGCATTTGTTAAATACCTAGGTTTCAGTATTGTAAACTGCACTGTAACAGCTAAGAAAGGCAATTACAAATACAACTGGACTATTAAGATGGTCATTTTCATTAGAAAGTATATTTGGTTTCAGCAGACAAATCAACATATTATAGAAGAGTTGATTTGAAATATGGGAGTCATGTAGTCTTACAATTTGAGAAATTATCAGTGAACAGTCATTTGGGACCCTGATTTCAATCTCAGTGTAAGAATTCTAAAGTTGCTGGAACAACGTATAGTTTCTGATGGAATGTAGGTCAAAAGAAAATGCTTTTCAGTACCGTATATATAAAATTAAAGAAACATTTGCTTCTGTCCTCCAAAGTCGTCCCATTCACAGAGTGATCACTGTTTCGGTTAGCATAATCAACATAGATCCTACTGTAAATTACAGTGTAATAATGTGACGATCATACTGTTAACGTGTTTTCAAAATGTAGAAACCTATTCAAAGAAATATTTTCACCTCCATCGGAAAAATCCTTCCCAACATTTTTCTTCGGTCGGGAAAATTCTATCCTGTCCAGCCAACTGTAAAGGTTCTCAATCTCGGAATCGGCAAAATAATCGTCCATTTCCATTCGGGTAACTCCATTCAAACTTTTTTTGGCTAAAATATATTCCGTCATATCTAAACGGCGCTTTCATTTCCCAGAATATCCGTGCCACGGAAATCAAGCGGTGTGTTTAGAACAATCATACGATAAAACTGTTCTACATTGTTAACAACCACTGTCATTTCTGCTCACAGCGTGCCCGTCGTCTGGTAACGATAGTACTAATCGATAGAAGTATTCGCGGCACTATAACCTCCAAAAGAATTAGAGCTATGCGCCCGCTCAGGACTTGGGGGTACTATTGCTGAAGGGGTCGTTGTCGGCACAGGTACTACAGATATGTTCCCCAGGTACGTTTCTGTATACAGACATGTACCCTAAGCAAAGACAAACTACAGAAACGTACCCGGTACCCTAAACGACGGACGAGTCCATATTCCGCAACCCAAAACCGAAACCGTAGTTGTTCGCGTTCAGCTGATTGCGAGTGGTGTACGTTGTGCACCGTGACATATTCGTTACTGTGTGTGTGCTCTTATATAACGATATCAAATGCATCTAATACAACAGTATGACCGTTCCGATGAAGAAAACTCCACAGTGCAGAATGGAATCGAGTCCAAGGGTACGTTTCTGTATTCTGATTTTGGCTAGGGTACATTTCTGTATACAGAAACGTACCTTGGGTACACATCTGTAGTACCCGTGCCGACAACGACCCCTTCAGCGGTACTATTTGTTGATACATATACTACAATTTACAAGCAAGGGCGTTATCTTACATGTACAACAATCTTCAGTTTTGAAATGTATACAAATCGGTATAATTACACTGTATTATGTGAACTATTTGTACATGCTGAGCGATCTGTTTCTTTTATAAGTTTCCATTGGTAATTTATGTGTAATTGTACATATACCGGAAGGAGATCGGAAATATGTTTTACTTCAAAGATAGGGTGATTCCAAATGCATTTTAACAAATCCTGGTATTCTTAATTCAAAGAAGTTGACATATATGGCGAGGGAACAGTTCTTGGATCACAGGATCTACATTATCTGAAAAAAGAGCAGATATTTTTTTAATTGTTATGAAATCGTTTTATTCATATCAACGCCACCACGCACAGTACCAACAGCATAGGTGAGACAGTATGTATGCTGACTTAAAATATTGGTCATGAGGCGTGATAGATATGAACACATTGAACACAAGCAAGTCTGTTACAGGAGAAGTAGGTTAAGACAGAACCAAGAGGTGAGGTGAGGTGAAATTGGGTTTAACGTCGTGCTTGAGAATATTTCGCTCATATGACGACGTGCATGTGTGTGTATGTGTATGTGCGGCTGCTTGTACTAGCCCAGACTGAAGCTGGTTTTATAGTGCTAGCCCACTGAGATACCATGCCGCAGTGAAGCATGAATATCCCACTCAGACACATTATACTGACTCCGCGCCGACCAGTCCTTGTACCCATTAATGCCGAGCGCCAGGCAGGGACCAACAAGTACCATATTTTAACGTCTTTTGGTATGACGCGGCCGGGGATCGAACCCGCGACCTTCCGCTCTCCGGGGGGACGCTCTAGCCGCTACACCACGGAGGCGGTCCAGAACCAAGAGATGGTTATGGAATCGGTTCACGGAATTGGTGGCATTGAAACATCCCGTTGTCTCGATTTCTTATTTTAGTCTTACTAATGTCAGCGGATAAAATTTTGCAGGTGTAAGAAGGAAAATGTGTTAGTTGTCAGTCGTGGTAAAATATCTGATAGCGTTCAACCGATATTTATGTTTACCGTAATAAAGTGATACACGTAAAGCGGGATGTGTATGGATGTCAACTTCTGTTGAAAGCGTTTCGGTATATATTCTTAGTCTTTCAACAGATGATGTAAGTTGGAAGCAGGTAGATAACATAATTACAGGTGAGAACAACCAAAGTGATAAGATAACAAAGGTGGGCACGAAACACTGAGAAGATAGGGTTAATTGGCGCTAATGCGCTAATTGGCAATAGACAACTGGAAGCCAGGAGTAATCCAATCGTAATTAGTACTGATATGTAATAATCATTTACGGGTAATTAAGCACTGATTGGACAAATCTATTTGTTTAGCGCCGAGTTCCGGCTAGACAGCTCAGTGATTGCAGTGTTCTATCATTTGTTGAAAGTATCTTGATCCTGCTATAATGATCCCCGTTTTGCTGCCATGAACTTTAGGTTGTTAATTTTCATCCATATCCTGATCGTTGATACAGTCTTCAAGCTTCACGATACTGTCCTGTATTCTAGAGATACAAGTTTAAAGGCTGTACAGCTCAGGGTGTCGTCAGTATAGCAATGGAGGGAATGTAAAAACTTCTGAAAATGTCACCTGGTACGACGAACAGCTGGTCTAAGTACAGTACCCTCTGGGACTCCATATGATAGAAGGTTCTCTTCAGACAGTTCTTCTACAGTCTATACAGTTTATAGACATGATTTTAGCCACAAGAGTGCAGGGCTGAAGGGGGGCAAGGGGTAATTAAATTTTGACGTTTTTCAGTGGGACAATGAGGACGGTAACATTTGCACCAATTTGGTGGTTTAGGGTTGGTGGGGTAAAGGAATTCAGTTCTATAACACACTGAACTTATTCTAAGTTTGTTTCACCTTCAGGAACCACACAAGAATAAGTTTTAGCTCACAACTTTCTTAAAGTGTAATAACTGAATACGTTCGCTTTTTGTATTTGAAACGGGAACGTCCCATGACCACGTGAATCAAACAGTAATAACAAACATCAGCTCTTCAAATATCAATATTCATCTCTTTTAGTCGGCGTCAAAACAATTGAAATTATCCAAGAGCCACTATTGAATCAGGCCCCCGCAACCCAGGCTTGTCCTAACAGGCATTAGTGGTCCAGCTCTCAAGCAAACCATGCTTGTCCCAACAGACACTAGTGGAACAGGCCCCCCGCAACCCATGCTTGTCCCAACATGCACTGGTGCATCAGGTCCCCAGCAACCCATGCTTGTCCCAACAGGCACTAGTGGGTCAGGTTCACAGCAACCCATGCTTGTCCCAACAGGCACTAGTGGGTCAGGTTCACAGCAACCCGTGCTTGTCCCAACAGGTACTAGTGGGTCAGGTTCACAGCAACCCATGCTTGTCCCAACAGGCACTAGTGGGTCAGTTTCACAGAAAACCATGCTTGTCCCAACAGGCACTAGTGGGTCAGGTTCACAGCAAACCATGCTTGTCCCAAAAGGCACTAGTGGGTCAGGTTCACAGCAACCCGTGCTTGTCCCAACAGGCACTAGTGGTTCAGATCCTGGCAACCCATGCTTGTCCTAACAAACACTAGTGCATCAGGCCCTCGCAACCCATGCTTGTCCAACAGGCACTAGTGCATCAGATCCCAAGCAAACCATGCTTGTCCCAACAGGCACTAGTGGATCAGGATCACAGCAACCCATGCTTGTCCACAACAGGCACTAGTGCATCAGGATCCCTGGCAAACCATGCTTGTCCCAACAGGCACTAGTGCATCAGGTCTCCTGCAAACCATGCTTGTCCCAACAGGCACTAGTGGTTCAGATCCTGGCAACCCATGCTTGTCCTAACAGGCACTAGTGGTCCAGATCCCTGGCAACCCACGCTTGTCCTAACAGGCACTAGTGGTCCAGGTCCCCAGCAACCCATGCTTGTCCCAACAGGCACTAGTGGGTCAGATCCCTGGCAACCCATGCTTGTCCTAACAGGCACTAGTGGTTCAGATCCCACAGCAACCCATGCTTGTCCCAACAGGCACTAGTGCATCAGGTCCCCCGCAAACCCATGCTTGTCCTAACAGGCACTAGTGGGTCAGATCCACAGCAAACCATGCTTGTCCTAACAGGCACTAGTGGTCAGGATCCACAGCAACCCATGCTTGTCCCAACAGGCACTAGTGGGTCAGATCCCCAGCAACCCATGCTTGTCCTAACAGGCACTAGTGGGTCAGGTCCCCAGCAACCCATGCTTGTCCTAACAGGCACTAGTGGGTCAGATCCCCAGCAACCCATGCTTGTCCTAACAGGCACTAGTGGGTCAGGTCCCCAGCAACCCATGCTTGTCCCAACAGGCACTAGTGGTCAGATCCCAGCAACCCATGCTTGTCCTAACAGGCACTAGTGGTCCAGATCCCCAGCAACCCATGCTTGTCCTAACAGGCACTAGTGGGTCAGGTCCCCAGCAACCCATGCTTGTCCTAACAGGCACTAGTGCATCAGGTCCCCCGCAACCCATGCTTGTCCTAACAGGCACTAGTGGGTCAGGTTCACAGCAACCCGTGCTTGTCCCAACAGGCACTAGTGGGTCAGGTTCACAGCAACCCATGCTTGTCCCAACAGGCACTAGTGGGTCAGGTTCACAGCAACTCATGCTTGTCCCAACAGGCACTAGAGCATCAGGTCCCCGCAACCAATGCTTGTCCCAACAGGCACTAGTGGATCAGGTTCACAGCAACCCATGCTTGTCCTAACAGGCACTAGTGGGTCAGGTCCCCAGCAACCCATGCTTGTCCTAACAGGCACTAGTGGGTCAGATCCCCAGCAACCCATGCTTGTCCTAACAGGCACTAGTGGGTCAGGTCCCCAGCAACCCACGCTTGTCCTAACAGGCACTAGTGGGTCAGGATCCAGCAACCCATGCTTGTCCCAACAGGCACTAGAGTGGGTCAGATCCCACAGCAACCCATGCTTGTCCCAACAGGCACTAGTGGGTCAGATCACAGCAACCCACGCTTGTCCTAACAGGCACTAGTGGGTCAGGTTCACAGCAACCCATGCTTGTCCTAACAGGCACTAGTGGGTCAGGTCCCCAGCAACCCACGCTTGTCCTAACAGGCACTAGTGGGTCAGGTCCCCAGCAACCCATGCTTGTCCTAACAGGCACTAGTGGTTCAGATCCCTGGCAACCCATGCTTGTCCTAACAGGCACTAGTGGGTCAGATCCCCAGCAACCCATGCTTGTCCTAACAGGCACTAGTGGGTCAGGATCCTGGCAACCCATGCTTGTCCTAACAGGCACTAGTGGGTCAGGTCCCCAGCAACCAATGCTTGTCCTAACAGGCACTAGTGGTTCAGATCCCTGGCAACCCACGCTTGTCCTAACAGGCACTAGTGGGTCAGATCCCACAGCAACCCATGCTCGTCACAACAGGCACTAGTGCATCAGGCCCCCTGGCAACCATGCTTGTCCTAACAGGCACTAGTGCATCAGGCCCCCCAGCAACCCATGCTTGTCCCAACAGGCACTAGTGGGTCAGATCCCACAGCAACCCATGCTTGTCCTAACAAACACTAGAGCATCAGGATCCTGGCAACCCGTGCTTGTCCCAACAGGCACTAGTGGGTCAGGTTCACAGCAACCCATGCTTGTCCCAACAGGCACTAGTGGGTCAGGTTCACAGCAACTCATGCTTGTCCCAACAGGCACTAGAGCATCAGGTCCCCCGCAAACCGTGCTTGTCCCAACAGGCACTAGTGGGTCAGGTTCACAGCAACCCATGCTTGTCCCAACAGGCACTAGTGGGTCAGGTTCACAGCAAACCATGCTTGTCCCAACAGGCACTAGTGGATCAGGTTCACAGGAAACCATGCTTGTCCCAACAGGCACTAGTGGGTCAGGTTCACAGCAAACCATGCTTGTCCCAACAGGCACTAGTGCATCAGGTCCCCCACAAACCATGCTTGTCCCAACAGGCACTAGTGGGTCAGGTTCACAGCAACCCATGCTTGTCCCAACAGGCACTAGAGCATCAGGTCCCCCGCAAACCGTGCTTGTCCCAACAGGCACTAGTGGGTCAGGTTCACAGCAACCCATGCTTGTCCCAACAGGCACTAGTGGGTCAGGTTCCCAGCAACCCATGCTTGTCCCAACAGGCACTAGTGGGTCAGGTCCCCAGCAACCCATGCTTGTCCCAACAGGCACTAGTGGGTCAGGTTCCCAGCAACCCATGCTTGTCCCAACAGGCACTAGTGGGTCAGGTTCACAGCAACCCATGCTTGTCCCAACAGGCACTAGTGGGTCAGGTCCCCAGCAACCCATGCTTGTCCCAACAGGCACTAGAGTATCAGGTCCCCAGCAACCCACGCTTGTCCCAACAGGCACTATAGTGGGTCAGATCCCCAGCAACCCATGCTTGTCCCAACAGGCACTAGTGGTTCAGATCCCCAGCAACCCACGCTTGTCCCAACAGGCACTAGTGGTTCAGGTCCCCAGCAACCCACGCTTGTCCCAACAGGCACTAGAGTATCAGGTCCCCAGCAAACCGTGCTTGTCCTAACAGGCAGTAGTGGATCGGAGGGCCATTCTCTTTGACGTGGTTAATTGTGTATCATCGTATCTCAGTTGCAGGGATGGATGCCTCATGATGCAATCACTGGATTGTTCGATACATACTCGATCATTCACAGAGGCCGTAATATTGTTGATTGCAATTTTCGTTGTGCATTATGGGGCGCTTCAGTCATGCACAGTAATATTTGTGAGGAGCTTCAGTCAATTGGTTGTTCGATGATAGATCATTTAACTAAGAATAGTAATACGCCATATTTAGCAATATTCTAACGACGAAAATGTTTGAATAGATTGTAGGGATTAGAGCCCGGACCAACGCATAACCACTAAACTGCCCTCATCACGCCAATGGTTATCTCAGCTAATCGTATGGTTCTGTCAATATCGTTTTTCAGCTCCCCTGTTTGATTGAGGAAGAGGGTACGTAAACAGTGAGGTTTAGCGTTTGTGGTCATTTAGAACTGACGGCGCAAGTTCAATACTCAATAATTACCCACCTATGTTTGTTTGTTTTTTTATCTATTTATTCCTTTCTTATTTTTATCGTTGTTTACCACCGAACGCTATATGACGGCGGTCTATAAGCAATTGAGCCTGGACCAGACAATCCAGTGACTGACATCACGAGCATCGATCTACGCAACTGAGATACGCTGACATGCATAAATAACCAAGTCAGCGAGCCTGACCACCCGAACCCGTCAGAGACAAGAGAATTCTAACCCAGATTTGCACGGATCACCCACACATGAAAAAAATGTGTATGGACAAAGCTGAAAACATAATTGATGATTATATAACATATGACGTTCGCCCGGATTGCTCCATATTTTGTCGGCACCAGACGTCACCAAATACGTCTGAGATCTACATGCATCAAGCTGAAATTATGTGACGTATCTGGAAAACTATTCATTTGAGGCGGCGTCAGCCAAACCCACTCACTCACAGCCTGACGTATATCGGAACAGGACAATCAGAGTGTAGGTATCACGAGGTAGGCATCTCTCTTCACTCACTAACTGAGAAGTAGCTGAATTATACTCAGTGTGAATATTCACTTACTCGACCGGATATTTCCATTAAAATACCCCAGCAACTCATACGCCTCTGTTTTGTAAATACAACTACGCCTCTGATAATTTACATGGGCCTACTAATCTTCATGACTACCCACAAGTTGCCATGTGGTCACTCCGTGCTACACTTACAAGTATCACTGGCTGCTTGTGTCAACACCCACTGTGGTTCCCAGTTTGACGATACAGAACGCGGTAGGCTTTAGATTGCAGACACTCCTATCTGCTTACATACTATATAAACTATCAAAATGTTATAAAAAATTATATGCGGAATTAATTTTATATTTGAAAATGTAGATCACACCATGCAGTTTTTAATATAAACTTTTTGAGCCTTCTTGATATGAGGGGTGGTGGGGTAGCCTAATGGTTAAAGCGTTGGCTCGTCACGCCGAAGACCCGGGTTCGAATCCCCACATGGGCACAATGTGTGAAGCCCATTTCTGGTGTCCCCCGCCGTGATGTTGCTGGAATATTGCTAAAAGCGGCGTAAAACCAAACTCAGTCAGTCAGTCAGTCTTGATATGACCAAGACATGGAAGAAAGTAATGAACTTATAAACGAACGTAAATGTGGACCCGCACGGTGGAAAACACCCTTCATACACACTGTCCAAATATTTGATAGCGAGCTTGTGGTATATTACATGTTTTTTGTGATCAGACAAAGTGATTAAATTAAAGTAACTGTCTTTAAAAGACGATTAGCACAACAGTCAGTAGTATGAATTACCTCCCTTTATAACTATTCCTCTTGTGAGGTGCAAAATTACACATACCAAAATAATCAACATGGCTTCCTCTTTGACCGAGGGCAGCTGAATGTGATTTGAAATTTGAAGATATTTGATACCATAGAGTACCACGGATGTTTTGATGTAAAAGGTTTGATAATAAGACACTTTGTGACCTTGAACGTGTGGTTGTCGGTGGCAAATCTTGTCTGAGTATGGCAGATTTAACAATTCAGTGTAAGCTTCATAATTTGATGGCGTCAGAACGGTGTCATTCTAGGGAATATTGATTAAATAATCAATCCTGGAGACATGGTTTATCGTCCTTGTACACACCAACCACCATTAATTATGCCAAATTTTTCCACCATGTTTTTATCGTTGTAAAACTTTAAGAAAGGGATATTCCTACTCGAATTTCATGGTCATTTTGACATTTTGAGGATCGCGTGAAAGCACATGGCGCCATTTTGATTGACCTGGAGCCAGACTTCGTCATTTCTATATACATGTGGTTGGATCGCTTGGACAAATCACTGTGTAAAATAAATATTGAGAGGTGTCTTGTTTCAAACACTGGACCATGCTGTCAGATTTTTTTTACGTCTAAAGGGGAGTAACTCTTGATTGTCTGCTCATGCCACCAGTATATCTGAACAATACTATGAATGTTATTCTTGTGTCAGTGTTTGACAGTATTATGACTGTTGGTATACCATGGCACCCACTTTTGTTTATTGTGAATTTTAACTAATATATATTTTTTGATAATTCCATTTTTGTGCCTAAGAATATTGAGCTAGGTCAAAGATGTTATTTGGCTAGTCATGTGATTTTGCAAATTTGGTGTGTGGCAACCAAATACTCATTGTATTAGTCAGATTATCTGTATCATTTGATGTTGTGTAATATTTTTGTATGTGTCTTCCCTTTTGACATGTTGCTGAAGTTGTGATATTGTGCCAGGAAATATAAATAATTTCCATGGATATGTCTTCAATGTGACAGTTTATTATTCATGTTTCAGAACCTGATTTTACTTTGGGAGACATTAATTGATAATGTAAATGTATAACATAAATTTCACATTTAGAGATAAAAGTGTTTTTTATTTCTGAGGTTGTCTAGTTTTTTCGTTTAGATTTGGATCCTAGCGCTTAAGCAGTGTTCCATATTGATTCATGATATTTATAATGCTAGCATGATAGCTTATGTTGAATCTGTAGCTCTGTTTCTGTTTAAAGCCAGAATTTCCCTGGTCATTAAACCCTGAACTGTTGAACTAAATAAACATACTAAACACAGAACATACAAAGAAACAAACCTAAAGGATGCTGAAAGGATGCTTCTTTTGATGTAAGTTAAAGCCCCAGGGCTTCTAGGACAGTGTTAGAGTTGAACTCTTTTCCTTCATATTGTGATATTGTATGCCTTGAAACTGTGCATCAGTCTCCTTAGTGAACCACGTGACTGGGTAAATACTGATGATGTCACCAGGCTGCTACTTGCGGGCATCTCCGTTTGTGCCCCCAAATTACATAATTGGAACACATTTTGTGTAGAATCTGTGTACAGCTTCTGTATACACAGTAAAGGTTGTGTCAGTGCTAACCTTGCAGCATGGAAGGGTGTTTCTCCATGTGGGAATCTTGTGGCTGTCATCATCACCTGGTGTTCTTGTATCAGGGAAGGAAAGAGAAATTGTAGGAGTTTCCAGGTTTTAACAATGTGATCTATGATAGTTGGGTAACTAATTGGTAAGTGCTGTGCAAACTTATTAATCTTCACATTTCTATTTTATTGTTTATGTGATAGATGTAGATAGTAGAGTCTTCAAAATGTTTGACTTTCATGATGTATTGTGTTCTCTTTTTCAAGTAAGGTCTGGTGTTTCATTTAAATTTTCTCACGTCTTGGCCTAATGGACAAGTGATCATGGGTATCTCTGGAATATGTTTTTCCTTCCATTGTGTGGTGCTCATTTGTCATGGAAATAGTTTTCAGCCATATGATAAGACCTGAAAGAATGATTTTGCAAGGATGTCTCCATGGGGGAAATTTGTTTTAGGAGTTAATTCATTGTTTGTCTGATGATGTGTGTTGCATAGGTTGAACAAACCTGATTATGACCACAAATGCTGATGAAGGATGTTGTGTGTTTTAGATGGGTTGAACAATGGCAGAGGTCCCAAGGGCTGATGAAGGATGTTGTGTGTTTCAGATGGGTTGAACAATGGCAGAGGTCCCAAGGGCTGATGAAGGATGTTGTGTGTTTCAGATGGGTTGAACAATGGGAGGTCCCAAGGGCTGATGAAGGATGTTGTGTGTTTCAGATGGGTTGAACAATGGCAGAGGTCCCAAGGGCTGATGAAGGATGTTTTGTGTTTCAGATGGGTTGAACAATGGCAGAGGTCCCAAGGGCTGATGAAGGATGTTGTGTGTTTCAGATGGGTTGAACAATGGCGGAGGTCCCAAGGGCTGATGAAGGATGTTGTGTGTTTCAGATGGGTTGAACAATGGCGGAGGTCCCAAGGGCTGATGAAGGATGTTGTGTGTTTTAGATGGGTTTAACAATGGCGGAGGTCCCAAGGGCTGATGAAGGATGTTGTGTGTTTCAGATGGGTTGAACAATGGCGGAGGTCCCAAGGGCTGATGAAGGATGTTGTGTGTTTCAGATGGGTTGAACAATGGCAGAGGTCCCAAGGGCTGATTATTTATGTTGTGTGTTTCAGATGGGTTGAACAATGGTGGAGGTCCCAAGGGCTGATTATTTATGTTGTGTGTTTCAGATGGGTTGAACAATGGTGGAGGTCCCAAGGGCTGATTATTTATGTTGTGTGTTTCAGATGGGTTGAACAATGGCGGAGGTCCCAAGGGCTGATTATTTATGTTGTGTGTTTCAGATGGGTTGAACAATGGCGCGGAGGTCCCAAGGGCTGATGATTTATTTTGTGTGTTTCAGATGGGTTGAACAATGGCGGAGGACCAGCCTCACCCACCAAGCAATGAAGCGAAAGGTAACCCTGGCCAGGGTGCTGTTGCCCGGCTTCTTCTGGCGAGTTCAATGATCGCCCAGGAGGAGGCAAGAAGGGATGGCAGCAACACACACGACAAGCCCATGGAGGTGGTGGACCACCGTCCAGCACGGCTTGACTGTCGCATGCTGGACAATAACAGCCTGGCAGATGGCACCCCTCCTCCAGGCGACCTCAGTGGAGGTCAGAACGACCTCTCCCCCGATGTCTACATCACCTACCCCCCGTCATCGTCAGGTTTGAACCCCTCCGGTAGACTTTATAACTGTAGATTCTGCAATTTCTCCACTGTGACGTACTCTCATCTACAGCTTCATATGCCCAAACATGGAGGTTTGTGGATTTCCGGTCCCTCTCCTGTACCCATCCTCAGAATTGAAATATATAGAGGTGGCAACTGTGGAACTAGGACACAGTCCAAGCTTGAAGTTAGAGAGGAAATCAGAGAATATCAAATCTGGAAATTCAAGATAATTAATTTAAATGAGGTTAAATATTGTAATTAACAACCAGACCTTGAAATTATAGGGGTTCAAATATAAGAATTATAGATCAAATTTTGAAATTAGAGCCGGGGGTGAAGCACCTAAGGGCAAGCATAATATTTCTTAGTGTATATAGAAGTAGGGTACTGTGGGAGTCATGATATCATGATACTTAAGTCATGATTAAAGTGATACTGAAGTCATCATATGATATATGCAGACATGAGAATTATCTGTAGAGTTCCCGGATTTTGGTTTCAATTTGAAAGTTTTTGAAATCGATGTAAATCTGCAATAAAAGACCCCCGGCTAAATTATCAGTGTTTTTTGTCCTTTGCGTTCTCATGTCTGGACATGATGTACTGTTTGAATCATGGTGTTTGTTCCAATACTTGATGTTTTACTGGACCTCTGGCACGATACTTGAGTCATAAAGTGATATGTGACAAGTAGATTATCTTATAGACATGACAGAGTTCTTTCCCTTGGACAAGCAACTAAATGATGATAATATTATAAAGTGTAACAATGTTCATATAGTGAATCGATAAAGGAGGTTGTTACAAGATTGATATAAAGTCTTAATAGATGGCTTTCAAATGGTTCCATGCATCTCTGTTCATTATCTGTGATGCATGTGCTTGACACTGAATGTTTAGTTGGACCGTATATATGATATCTAGTATTTCATCAAATGAGGAAAGAAGGAAATGCAGTGATTTTCTTCCTCTGTTAGCTAGTGTGTGGGAACAGAGAAGTGATACTGACGGGTCGGTACTGAGGCTGGATTTTATGAACATGTGTATGCTTATTTAGGTCTACAACACATACGAGTCTACGTGTTGTGTCGGAACCTCGTGACAATCTGAAATACCCTGAGATTTTGGGGATTCAGTGACTTTCAGTTACTACTGACCCAGTAACATTTATATTAGACACCTAAGAGGTTCTCTTTGTTCCTACCAATCATCATATTGACTGATTTAATACTTCATTCATGATGGAAGGTCAGAGTTATGTAATGGGTTGATACCAGAAGCAGTATTTCATTAGTGCATGTATGTTTCAGGTTTGAAAGCCCTCAAGTGTCCGATGTGTGACTACTCCACGAATGACAAGAGCAACTTCCGCCGCCACAAGCGACTTCACATGAGGAACAACCCTGCCACCGTTTTGCGGTGTGGCAAGTGTGACTTCTCCACTGTGTTGCCACGTAAGATCCGCGAACACTACAGCCAGGACCATGGGGAGGACTACGGTCCGCCGTTGCCACCAATGCAGGAGGCCACTGCGCTCAGAATCCAGACATACGGAGACAACCACTTTGGAGGTCGCCACATGGAAATCCCACATAACCAGTGCACCCAGACAGCTATGCCTGTTGGTACGATTCACACATTACTTGGGGCAGCTCCTCCCAGCATGCAGTTTGCCCGTGCCGAACCACAGATATTGACTAACTGCGTCACTCAGTATCGGCCCTATGAGGTTCCCGCTCAGCGGGTTACACAAGAAAATCACATGGCATCGGATTACTTGAGATCCATTGTGTCCAACATCATCACTACCCATCACACACCTCGTGTGCCAGCCACAAGCACCATCACATCATCCAGCTTCTATCTTCCACCTCCTGTAGAATCTTCACAGGGATTGTCTCCCCTCAATCACCCTTTAACAAGGCAGCAACAAGGGGAAGAATCATCGGAAGAGGAGGTGAAGGTGAAGGTCGAGCCAGTAGATTGCGACGGAGCATCAGATGTGTCAAGTTCAGCCACGCCGGTGCGTAGCAATGCACCCAGACACATGGAAGCACAAACAACGCAAAGACTCTCCATGGAAACGTTGGAACCAGCTCCTGCTGGAGATCGCAATAATGAAGCAACGCCATCTGGTGAGCAGGGTATTAACAATGTCAAGTCGACTGAGGCAGTAAGGCCTCAGAATGAGGTTCGCTCAACAGTTGAGTCACATGATATTCGACCATCAGTTATACCTCGTGACATTCGCTCAATGGTAGATATTCATGAAAACAGACCCATCATTGAAACTCGTGACATACACCCAGTGTTTGACTCACGTGACGTTCGTTCAGCTATAGAAGCACGTGATATCCGACAAGTGATTGACCCGCGGGATGTACGAGGAGGGATTGACGTTCACTTCACAAACAGACATATCAAAACGGAAATGTCAAATATTGGTATACAGTGTACACTGCCTGCTGTGAAGACTGAAAATGCTTCAGTATCAAATGACAATTATGATCGTCGGCGTCAACGCTTGTTTCTGGTTGAGAGGTCAGTTCAGTGTGAATTGTTGTCATCAGTTAGACGGATATCTTCAACGCGCCTTGTGTCCGACACAAACGAAGGTGATCAGCCACTACTGAGACCAGGGTCAAAGTGCACTCATTGTGGCGTGACATTCGAAGATGAGGTTCTGTTTTCGATTCATATTGGTTGCCATAGTCACACTGATCCGTTTGTGTGTAATGTGTGCGGCAAGCAGTGCTATAACAAATATGGTTTCTATTCTCACATCATGAGAGGTCATCAGCTGTAAGAACCCATCTCTGACACTGTTGCCATGGATACACGTTATTTCTAGCCAGTGCATGTTTCTGTGACATCTACCTTTCTGAGAGTTTTGAAAAGTAGTTTTATTGTACTTGTAACTTGTAATCTTTACAAACTATATGCAGATACTTGCCTCATATTTCGGACTCGGGCTGTAAAGATTCCAGGTGAAAGGAATGATATTCTTTTGATTATTTTATAATAAATGTCCTTAATTTTACATGTTTCTACTCTAAATCATTTTTCTTGTATAAGCCTGATATATTAAAAAATGAAAGAATTAGGATTGTGATGACGATACATGGAAAGATATAAGTTACGGGGCAATGAAAGCTGTAAGATATGAAAGACAACTGCAGTGTGTTGTTGCACTTAGTTTTATTTCAAACATGTTTTTAGTCTTGAGAAAATACAAACATTAAAAGTCAGGTAGATGTTGAAAGTATACTATTATCAGCTGTGTCTACCACCATGCTTGTATCCATGGCAACATGTGTACCTTGTTATCAACTCTGCTGTCTTGAAGTGACCTATGATCTGAAGCCTGACGAGAAGTTTGACATGTATTTTATCAGAATGCAAGTAGTCTTGACGATGTTGGAGACACTGAGAAAAAACTTGCTGCATGAAGTACCAAATTCATTCAGGATATGTTTCATGCTTATTTATATTGGGTAGATATGTCAATTTTGGTATTTATTTTTTATGTTAAAGAACTCAAAGAACTCTAAATAGGAAGCGTTGAGCTATTGCAATATATAAAATGGTGAAGATTTCACATCAGATCATGGATTATAATCTGTGTTGATGTTATTACTTCTGCTGCACAGGAATTTGGCAGTTCTTCCAACAATTTTTTTCTCAGCACCCAATGTGGTTTGTGAAGGTTGTTCTGTTGAACCGGATCAGTAGTCTCTGGTAACTATGGTTACCTAATCAGAGTTGATGACATCCTCCTCTGAAGCCTAGCTTGTCTGAATGTCATTGTTGATTGAACCGGAATGTTTCCACACGTGTATTGGTTGGGCAAACAGTCCTGACTACTAGCTGTGTCGTAATTAGCATTGTTACCATGGTTATGAGAAGATGGATGCACAGGCAGGACTTCAGTTGTCACAGTTGATGAAGGTGAGTTGAACACATGACTTACATTAACCACTACAGCCAGGTATTGAGGCAGCAGGGAGGAGATTGGAATTGCCTCCCGAAGAGGCTGTTGAAAATGCCTCCCAGCACAACTTGCAATCTTTTACTATGTTGATTTAACACTAAGTGTCTTTTATATTACAGTTGTTATTTCATAACTCTCTGTTCTGTACGTACTTAAATATTTTCAAAATATTTATTTAACGTTTTTCTTTGTGGTGGACAAGTGTCTTGTTGCTGTTGCATTTACAGAATATCTTGTGTAATTTCAGTACATAGTGTGTTCAGTGTGTGTTCATGTTAGCATACGTCATGACATATCAGTCTAGATAGACCCACCCTCTCCTGTCAATCAACTCTTGTGGGTGTACTTTAGCCAATCAGAATGCTGTGTTGCTGGCACATGTGTCATTCTGACAGGGATATTTCTGTTTGTCAGGGTTGGTGTAGATGACAGGTTAATAGAACAGCCAATTAACACTTATCAGAGGGGTATACAAAGTCCGCAGTCTAGACTACCAGTTGTCCGACTTCCATTTTTGTGGAAGCCGCAGTGGCTGAGGGTCTAGGCGTCTGACTTTGTGTGCTGGCGATTAGGTGCCTGACTCTGAGAGTGCGGGTTTGAATCCCGGATGGGACTCAACCCAAAAAGTACTAGAATCTGTACTTTACTAAGAAAGTGTAATCCCAAATATAACATATGTTACATTTGACCACTTTCTAAAATGGCATTGTGTATTTCATAGCCATTTTTTGTTCATAACAAAGGTGAATAGCACTTGTGTACCAGTTTGAAATACCAATATTTGGGTAGAACACTAAACTGATGCAATGTCGGGTACAACAAAGCTGTTGCCCCTCCTCCACAGGTGACAATTAGTACTACAAAGTACTGTTAATGATCTAAACCTTGGCTGTAACCAACCATTTTGAAGACTGACACAAGTCAAGGAACTGATTCTTTCACATTACGTGGTTAAGCCACCATGACAGATGAACTGTGGTAATAACTATAGCAATATTCAGTAAGGCCCATCAACTTTTTTGAGTAGTATATGATGTCAACTGAAGTTGGATAAAGCCATGGAATTTTTTTTATAGTCCTCAGATAAACTGAGTGTCTCAATGGCTTAAACATATTACCATGATTAGTTAGGATGCAATATTTGAGGGAAGGTCAGTGCATTGGTCTGTTTCCATGGTTACCTATAAAGTTACTAGGAAGGCCACAAATTGTGGGAGCATCTGTGGAATGGTCTGTTGCTATGGTTACTTTGAAGTATATCATGGGGGACACTAATTTGTGGAGATTCTATCAACACTCCCAAAATACAACATGTTGCCATCTGTGGATTGGTCTGTTGCCATGGTTATGAAATATGCCTTGTGTGATGATTGCAATTATTTTGAAAGCCTTGGTACTAACTTCCTAATTAGAAAACACTTATGATGAGAGTCGTCAGCTTTTGTAAATTTGATGATTTTGGAATATCCTCACATTTGAGTTATTTCCTCTCCAGAACATGATTGAGTCGTTCAGTAGGGTAAACTTTGTCTCAGATGCAGGGGTCAACACCTATATTTTTCTGCAGAAAAATCAGCTACAAAAGATCAGATTATATTTTATAGAGTCAGACCTTTACATCAAATATCAACCACTGTCTGTCCTTTTATTCTGATGAACATAGATGAACATAGATGAACTATGCAGACGTACAGGTCATATTTCCAATGACAAGTTGAACAAAACCATGAATCAAACTTCAGTGGCCCTCATTCATTGCACTGACTAGCATTTTTCCGGTGAACTAGCACGTGAACCAGTGTATATGGCTAGCATGTATATCTCACCCTGGAGCGGTGTGTGTTGGTCTCGTGCTTGTTGACCCATTGTCTTAAGTGAAGAAGACCATCACATCAAGTAGAATGTGTTGAGATTTGTTCACTTGTTATAGGAAACATCTTTGTTTCCCTCTACATGAACATACCTCGCCATGAGCGATGGCTAACACTAGCCACCTCAGGGTGTTCATCAAGATGGCTGGAAATACCACTGCTATTGGTTTGTAGTCATCTTACTGGCAGCATATCATCTATTGGAGGATGAGATAAGCCTATACTGTCATTTAACTTCCCAGTCTTTATTTCCCATGATTCTCTCAATAACGGCTACCTTGGTTACCTTGGTTACCTTGGTTACCATGGACCCATTCTTCATTGTCATTTCTGGTGTCCCTCTCCCACCGTGATATTGCTGGAAAATTGCTGAAAGTGGCGTAAATCTCTACACTCACTCACTATTTAACAGAAACACTGCAGAGTTTAACCTTTTTGCTGAATGATTTATTTACACATAACATACACAAGTTTCTTTATATTTTTATATTTCACTCTGGGGGAATATATACCTTCTGTAGGTACAACCATACTGGTCACTCAGTGCCTGAATACAACCTTCTGTGGTTCTCTCACCTTTGTGCCATGACCAGAATACAACCTTCTGTAGGTACAATGTTCCATACTCACTCACTCATTGTGCCATGACCAGAATACAACCTTCTGTAGGTACTATATACAGTAGTCCATACCAATGGGATACTAGCACTCACATCATTTGTGCCTTTGGGTAGGGATCAGAATCATCTCACCAGAATATTCTTCCTCTCAACCTGAAGTGATGTCTTGCACACTAATAAACTGATGTGTTAGGTACATCGACTTGCTAGATTATGTTTTGGAAATTTTGTTGTTTGAACCTCCCCAGTTACCAGTGCCTCAACTCACAGCACTCATGCAGTAGTGTGCCATTCAAATCCAGTTGTTTTCTTAGCAAGTTACTAGGTTTGGTTTCATACTGTGGGTAACCACCCTGCATCCCCACGCTTCCTTCCCACAGGATGCTGGTACCCCATGACTTCTTAGCACTCACTAACTCACTCACTCACTCAGCTGGTACCTCATGACTTCTTAGCAGGCCACTCACTCACTGGCTCACGCACTCACTCACTCTCACTCACTCACCCACTTCCAGGCACTGACCATCCTGTTCATAATACCAGAGTATGTAATGGTAATGCTAAAACCATATTGCAAATTATAATAAGAAAGACACATCACAGTTTTAAAAACATCACCCTTTAATGCTGTTTTGTGATTTAATCACATTTTAAGACAGTTTGTAATATGTGTTCATGAACGTTTCTATTTTTTTAAATCTCCTGTTTCATTCTGATAAACTAGTCAGACCAATGCAGCAACATTCAAGAATTTTTGTTCAAAATATGTGATGAAATTGTCTGTTTTTGACATGTTGCTAAGGCAATAGGATGAACTGATTGGTGTCCTGGTAGGTGTGCTACAATGTTGCGAGATATAAGTTCCTACATAGTGACAGTTTACAGGAGATTAAAGAGGAAGAAAATGCTGAAAATACAACAAAACACCCAGGATGCTTCCCAGACTTACTGTAACAAGTATCTGTGGAATGTCTTTGCTGTGGGTTTCAATGATGAGTTGAACTTTGTCTTTTGTCAGAGGTCAAGGAGTGCACCCCTAACATCCTGGTTTTGTTTGCAAATTTTTTCAGATATAGGGAAGTGGCTATTGTGTTTTTAGACCATGTGAATAGAACACCACAAAATTTGATAGTGTTTAAGTGACCACAATGTTGTACAATGTGGTTGCAACATCCAGCAACTGCATTGTGGTTTATGCAGCCCTCCCTGAGGTCACACCAGTGTGAGGATATATTACATTTATCCAACAGTCCCCTGTATGATAACGGAACATTTACTTGATAAAACTCAAAGTGCAAAGGGAAATATTTACATCAACATTTAATGTTTTGTAAGTGACAGTCATTTCATTTTCGTTTCGTTGTTATGACAATTGTTCAAAATATACCAATCAGTCCCAAAAAATATTTGAGGTCCTCTGTAAAAAGAAAATAACCCTTTCAGTTGTCATTAAAAGTGAAATAAGGCTGCTTAATTCTTGAAAATAATGACGACAATAATGATCTTTAACAGAGAATCTGGAGTGGCTTCTCTTCGCCCGTTCAGTTTGACTTGTGGAAGCCATGTTGTATGAAAATACCGTATCCCTGTCAGGTCTGTATGACTGGCTACAAGCACTGTCTATTGTAGAGAAAAGAGGGTTTGGATTTATATCCTACCTATTGGTTTCATAGGAAGTTTTCATATTCTTAAAGATAAACAACTATTGTTTATTTATCTTGAAATGAAGCAGTCTTCGTCTGTTGGTCAGAATTGAGTGGAATATTTGGTGAACTTTTCCGTGCAGTTGTTAAGTCTTGTCTTATCTCCGTAGGTCTCTTCCTTTATAGCGTATCGTCCACTCTTTATCTCTCCTCATGCTTGCTGGCGCAGTATATAGCGTATCGTCCACTCTTTATCTCTCCTCATGCTTGCTGGCGCAGTATATAGCGTATCATCCACTCTTTTTCTCTCCTCATGCTTGCTGGCACAGCTGTGGTGGTCTAGCAGTGTTTTCATATTTTCTGGCGTTGCTAAGAAATGGAAGATTGACTGATTTAAAGAGGTTGGTGGGGTAGCCAAGTGGTTTAAGCATTCACTCATTACACAGAAGACCCTGGTTCAGTTCACCACATGGTTACTATGTGTGAAGCCCATTTCTGGTGTGTAGCCCATGATATTGCTAGAAATTGCTAAAAGCAGCATTAAAACCATGTTAACTTGCTGGTTATATTTTCTTGAAATTAGTTCAAGAACACACATACAAACACATGTGTTGATATCATAGGCTCTATATTAAGATGAGTTGTAGAAATCACATATGTGATGTTTGAGACCGGAGTATGTCCTAGACAGGTTGTGCAATGATTTGCGTGTGAGAAATGGCCACATGTTGCTAATCCAAACCAAAGAGTGTCACATGTACGACCTCCTGTTAGTTTCAGTGATGAAATGTTTGGTATCAGGCTGGAGTACCCCCAAGATGACAATCAATAATTAGAAGTCTCTATTTTAGAATTATCAATATACTCCATAGTTGTTTGTGTTGTTTAATACTTTACATATTAAAGTGAAATATCTTCAAGATTAAGGAGACTTGTTAAAAACAAGTATTACTATTTTTCATAGTTGACATTGTTGCCTACATGTAGCCGATGTACTTCATGTATTGGGCTCCAGTTGTGGAGATGCTGCTGTGTGGATGGCAGCCCTACTGTCAAGGCCCCCCCCCATCTTGATGGTTATCTGCAGTATTTGATCGGAAAGGGTTATGAAAACATTCATGGTCAGTGTTTTGAGTAAAGTCACATGGAGATATAATCCCCTAGTTAAGTTAAACAAGTTTACATGTTACATTTGACCACTTTCTAAAATGGCATTGTGTATTTCAAGTTAATATGTGGCAAATTGTTAAAAAACATATCTCCTAATATGAACCTTTTGAGGATTTAGTGGCTGTGCTGTGTTTCTCTCCTACAGTGGCCCTTATACTGATAATTGGTCTGTAATGTCCTGCCTGTGTTCACTGGTGTCAGCGGTGTCATGTCCCACACCTCCATGCAGTGTGCAAAATAGCCACTGGTCTGCTAGCCCGTGGCTAGTAAAAATACAGTTGGCCCAGTAAATCTCCACAGTCACTTGCCCGACTGGCTAGTGAATTTTCATGGAGTCATTTTGTAAATATGTCACTCTCTCTGACTTGTTAAATTATAATACACTTTTAAATCATGCAAGATGTTTAAAAGTTCATCATATTAGCACCTTAATGATGAAACCCGTGTCATGCCAACAATATCTTATTCTCATCTATATTTGTATTCTTTTGCTTAGTTTCTACATTCAAATTTCGGGCTTGTGAATTATTTTGTGGGCTAGTAACTTTCAGGTATAGCTAGCCTTAATGGCACGCAAAATTTGGAAACTATTTCGCACACTGCCTCCATGGAATGGGGCCGGCCTCCCATATGTACCCAACATACTGACATATATACTACCCATCAAAAGTTTAGACTCACTTAAAGCACTCACTATATGTTATGTACATATATATGGTTACATCAAAGAGGAATTTCCCCACTAACTTGGGGGAACCAACTACAAACCTTATGCAAATGAATTGCACGAGGATCATGCATCAAATTTCTGAAAAGCACGCGAAAATATTGTGCATGTTAACAGCTGCGTTTGGGTGTTTTAATTTTGTTATAATTCACCAATTTTACCGTGTTTCATCACTTACTGAACTCATGACAATAATCTTTTCAATGTTACGAATTTATTTTACAATATACCAGCTCATGTGTAAACAGTACCTTTAAACAGCATGGAATATTTTGGAAAATCTAGTTTAGAACAGTTGACTGAAGAAAGTGGCTACATTCACACTAGTGAGTCTAAACATTTGATGGGTAGTATAGATGGAATACTTTTCACAGATAAGCCTCTATGCTCTCCATACCCATTAAGGCTTTTGAAGGACGTTCCAGATTTATGAGATATTCTGTTTTAGTTGACAATGGGTATATTCTGAACAGCAGAGAGGAATGTATGAGAATAGCAAACTGTCATGAAATGCAATACTTTGGCTGATATATTGACGACATTGTGGGTTATAGACGTGTTTAATTTGCTCATGGGCCCTTATATCCAAAGTTCTGAGATAAGAGGAAAAATATATATTATCATTTCATATTTTTTTCATCATATCACTGCCAGCGCAAAATGTTTTTATTAGAATAAAAAAGTATAATATATTTCTAGAAATTTGCAATGCAGTAACAAGATCACTTTGCCATCAGAAGTCACAACTTTGCAGGTAGACTAATGCTTAGTCTCTGAATATATATAATTTTGATAGTAACAAACAAGCCCATTTAAATTGAAAAGGAGCCCCAGGGAGACCAGAGATTCAGAACCTGAGGAAATCTAGACTTGCTTTATTTAGGGCTTTAGCACTGCAGAGAGGGCTTTGCAGTAGGGGAAATAATGTGGTTCAGGGACTGTGAGACAGACTACTTTGCAGGAGGAATCACTTCTGAAGTGATGTACTTGCCCTGTTGACTGTAAGGGGAAGTAACTCCAGCCAGGTACCTTGTCATGTGAGGTCAGAACGTTCTTTTCCTCATCAAACCGAAGGGTTTGGGGAAAACATGTACACCAGCTTTAAAACAAGATAATACAGTTTTCAGCCTAGTTCAGTTGTAGCACTTGTAGCATTGTACAGTTATGTAATTTCTCTGTGGCAGCCATGAGTTATTTATGGAAAGAGGCAATAGATTTGCATGTAAATTAGTACATTGTCCTGTTCTACAAAATGAGCTTAGCTCAAACACTGGCACCAATTCTTTAACATACATTTATGTTCAAGCTTTCTAGAACGCTGATCAATATGGTCCTTGTTGTCGTTACTGATTATGTTGTTTTGCTGTTTACTACAGCTAGTTGACCAGAAAACATCATATAGACATGGAATGGAATTTGGACTTTTCACAGCCCTTAAAGATTGTAGCTTCTGCTTTTAAGCACATGGCAGTACTAAGGCTGCCCGGTTGTATCAAAGTAGCATTAACCCAATTCCCTCACTCATTCAAGGCTGTGGTTCTGTACTTATAAAGTAACCTTTGCCAAATTTATAGTGGTATGACTACAACTTGGTTTATGAATGCTGTGTCGCTAGGGTTTGTTTGTTGTGTCATCTGTGTCTTGCTGCTGATTCTCCTTTACCAGGGAGTCCAGACACTAGAGGCACCTGGAAACTTGGGGCTTCATTGTCTGCTGTTCCACGTTTGTTGCTGCTTTGTGATGATGTGTTCATGTTTACTGTGCATGTTACCCAAAGACTAGTGTCAAACAGGACCTCAATAGAACCATAGTTCAGGAAGTGCAGACACCATTGCTCATTTGGCAGTATTGCATGGTTGGGTGTTATGACAGATATTACACCAGTTTCTGCTTCCCTCCTTGTATGCTTCATATGAAGAATATATTCATGATTGTACACTGACTAGAATCATCACACATAGCATATATTCATGATTGTACAACAACTAGATTCATCATGCATAGCATATATTCATGATTATACACCGACTAGATTCAACATACGTAGCATATATTGATGATTGTACATCAACTAGATTCATCATGCATAGCATATATTCATGATTGTACATCAACTAGATTCATCATGCATACCATATATTCATGATTCTACATGGCTAGATTCATCATGCATAGCATATATTCATGATTGTACACCAACTAGATTCATCATGCATAGCATATATTCATGATTGTACACCAACTAGACTCATCATGCATAGCATATATTCATGATTGTACATCAACTAGACTCATCATGCATAGCATATATTCATGATTGTACATGACTAGATTCATCATACATAGCATATATTCATGATGACACAACGACTAGAATCTTCATACATAAACAACATTCATAATTGTACACCAACTTAAAACTTCCTACTAGAACATAATCATGTATATGTACTGTTTGCTGACCGTGTTCAGCCTATATCATCCTGTACATTGGCTGTTTGTTATGGACATATTTTCCATCGTGGAAATGCACAGTTGTTATGCTTGTAGTCTACTCATGCCCTTGTCATCAGTTGTCTCCCTTTTCCATATGTTGACGGTGTGTAACATCTGTAGGTTAAAGAATATCACTTCATGATGAATCCACATTGTCATTGTGGCTTTTAGATGCATATTGATTGAAGGTGCTTTTTTACATTTTAAAATCCAAACTTTGATATGTTAATGAGTTTTTTTTATTGAGTTTACCATCAAGATGTTTTATATTTTGCTATTGTGTTCAGTATACATATGGTAAAAGTTTACGCATTTTAAGAGCATAATTGTTAATGCTGTTGTGAATGTAACATAAAGTTTTAATACCAAGATAACCTTTAACCTTACATCTTCGTTTGTTATCCAAATAGCCATGTCTCCTTCTCAAAACTGTGTGCCATCTTTGACCTTGAACTTGCTTGGTACTGTATTCTCAAAACTGCCATCTTTGACCTTGAACTCTGGGTAATGTCTTCTCAAACGGTGTGCCATCTTTGACCTTGAACTTGCTTGGTACTGTATTCTCAAAACTGCCATCTTTGACCTTGAACTCTGGGTAATGTCTTTTCAAAACTGTGTGCCATCTTTGACCTTGAACTCTGGGTAATGTCTTCTCAAAACTGTGCCACCTTTGACCCTGAACTTCCTTGGTACTGTATTCTCAGAACTTGTGTTCCATGGTTGACATTGAAGTGTAGGTATATTGCCTTATCAAAATGATGGGCAATATGTGACCTTGTCCTCTGGGTAATGATGTGACCTCACTGGCAAGGCTGATGATTCCATTTCAGTGTTAGACACTGACTTTATGTGAACAGCTGTTTGTTCATGAAAATACGGCATGCCATACTTTATAGTCAGATTTCACAGTTTAGGATCAATATGATTGTTTTGTAGATATGATTATTCAGTGAAATTATGATGCATTGATTTCAGGTGTTTCAGCAATATGACATTTTTTTTCAGGTCCATGTGATATTGTTCTTTGTAACTATAAAACTACTTTACTCAAAACGGCCTGGAACTGCAACAGTATGACCCACACACCTTGATAATTGGTTGTGGCCATGGCCCAGAGTGGCAGTTTAGCTGTATGTTCCTATGTGAGTTTTGTAGCAGTCTTATGGGCACAAACACAGGGACTTGATAGATCTTTCTGTAAAATGTCAATGCAAAATCACATGGTATTGTACGAACATGTAATAGTGCTATGAGATTTGTGTTTGACAATTGTGTTTTTCCAGAGAGTGCTAGAAGCACCTGATGGTGCAGCCCTCTGTTAATGTATAAATCTGCACACAGTTTTGATGGGTTCTGTATATAGATATCATATCCGTGTGTATCCTCCTCCGTCCTGGGTACTGTATATGTATTCTGATATAATTAACACTCTGGACCTATTTTCCAACATATTTTCATTTTATAACTGATGTTAGCATTTCTAGTATCCTGTGATTAGCATAGCACTGAATTCTTCTTGCTCTTGTAAGTAATTTGATTGGATGGCAATTATAACAAAGCTATGATAGTCAACTGGTCTAGAGGGGTGGTGGGGTGGCCTTGTGGTTAAAGCTTGGCTCATCATGGGAAGGCCTGGGTTCGGTTCCCCACATGGGTACAATGTGTGAAACCCATTTCTGGTGTTTCCCCCACCTTAATATTTTTGGAATGTTGCTAAAAGCAGCGTAAATCCCAACTGACTGACTCACTCAATTGGTCCAGCGTGTTAATCATACTACAATGCAGGTATAGTACACTGGATAATCGAGGGTGATCTGTGTGTGTCAAGCATACTTCCTCGTTGTCTCAGTGAGTGTAGCCTCACGAAGATAGCATCGTCATCAGTCACGTGACGTTCTCTGCACTAGAGATGGTAACTATTACAAAGATATTTTTTACTATTTGCTACAAGCGGTTTATTTAAAATATATTTTCATATGTTGCCGTCTGCTGACAATGGTTAGCTTGACTTGTGTCTACGCAAAGTCATTGTTTGTATTCTTTGGTTTTATTGCTGCCAGATATAATGGTAGGCCTGTATTCTCCATATACACTGGATGAATAAAAATGTTAAGAATTATGTGTTTGTATTGTCGTCATTGGATACAGCGACTGACATAAATATAAGGGATGATGTTCGCACAGACGTTTGCTCAAACCCTTGAACATACGGGTTAGAATTGGTCTTCAGCAACCCATGCTTGTCATAAGAGGCGACTAACAGGATCAGGAGGTCAGGCTCGCTGCCTTGGTTGACACATGTCATCGTATCCCAATTTCGTAGATCGATGCTTATGCTGATGATAACTGGATTGTCTGGTCCAGGCTCGATTGTTTACGTACCGCCACCATATACCTGGAATATTGCTGAATACTGCGTTAAACAACACACCATCAAACCAATCTTTACGTCGGTAAAGAACATTAAGTAATACCACCGACAAATATAGAACCTTCACCACCATTTTGACTAACAGGATCGGGTGGTCAGGCTCGCAGACTTGGTTGACACATGTCATCGTATCCCAATTTCGTAGATCGATGCTCATACTGTTGATCACTGGATTGTCTGGTCCAGGCTCGATTGTTTACGGACCGCCGCCATACAGCTGGAATATTGCTGAGTGCGGCAACAAACCAACCAACCAACAAGTGTGCCTGCAGAGTAAATCCAGACTCACTCATTTCGTTGCTCCGCATTACGTGCAATTTTGTTTAACATCAATATATCTGTCATTCTGAGTCACTCCACTGGTTTTTAACATCACAATGATATCGTGTTAATTTGGTCTCTTTCTGCCCACATGACACTGCTCTCCCTATGGGTGAGATATAACGAAGCCCAAGCGAGCAGACGACCGAGCGCGGATTGATGCTGTGGCTGTAGTGGGTCGATATCTTGGAATGTCGACTATTGTAGATGTCAGGACGCACTGTATTGACACGAAGGAATCGCGCCATTTTCTGAGTGTGTCAGACGATACCAGATCTGGTTGATGTTACACAGGTGTTGAGGCCGATGTATTGACTTCCCCAGGCTCTGGTTGACGAGAACACACTGCCTTGGTCGACAGCCATTGGGCTTGTATTGCACAAAATGAGCACATTCGTTAGCATTTTGATTGGATGTTAACGGAAGGTTCCTTGGTTAAACAACGAACGCGTCACCCGAATACAATCAGTACATGGCGTCCGCATGCACTGTGATCAGATGCCGACCTCTGTTCAGCCCGTTTCCTATGTCTCCGAGTCTGGTCGTCTGCTCATGAAGAATGGTGGTCAGTTTGATTGATACTAGTGTTAGCGCCAGTGAGAGGATGGAAGGGAGCTGCTCTTCGGACGAGAGCGGGAATTGGTACTGGCAAGATTCGTCCCTCGTTTGCTACCTGTGTGGGGAACTGTTTCGGCGACCCCGCATCTTACCGTGTGGTCATACCTTCTGTACCGACTGTCTGGCCCGACTCAGAGAAGAAGTCATCAGGGAAGGGAAGCTTGCGGGAACCTATGACCCCAAACACGCCGAGATCGGCCATTTCGTCTGCCCAATGCCGGAGTGCTCCTACTCTATGAGACTGATAAACCTGCACCGCTTCACCACCAAGAACAAGACAGTGTCCGAAGCCGTGGGGGCTTTCAGGAAGAAAATAGGTGCAAAACAGGTGAGAAACAAAACTGTATTATAATTGTCATGTGTTTAACATCGTAGTAAGCTTGTCTCCCATCAGTAGTAAATAACCATGTGATTGCTATAATGAGCAAAGCACGCCTGACGCCATGTTTTCACAAAGTATTCGACCAAGTCAGTGAGTAAGTTCTCCTCTCTGTCGGTGGAAGTAATTACATGTCATTGAACTTACGAATATATACAACACCTGTCTGAATTGCTAACATGCCCTCGGTTGTAAAAGCCTACATACAGCATCAATGCATACGTTTATTATGATGCGTAAGGAGAAACCAAGATCACATAACCAGATTCACGTGTGCATGATGGTGAAGGCGCGTGGTGTATTGGGGTAGTGGAAGGCAGTGATGCAGCACATACTTTGTCACTGGGTTACTGTACTGGGTCTGGATCTAGAGGAAGTGGCGGTGTGTGTATTGGGTCTAGAGGAAGTGGTGGTGTGGTGTGTATTGGGTCTAGAGGAAGTGGTGGTGTGTGTATTGGGTCTAGAGGAAGTGGCGGTGTTGTGTATTGGGTCTAGAGGAAGTGGTGGTGTGGTGTATTGGGTCTAGAGGAAGTGGCGGTGTGTGTATTGGGTCTAGAGGAAGTGGCGGTGTGTGTATTGGGTCTAGAGGAAGTGGCGGTGTGTGTGGGTCTAGAGGAAGTGGTGGGTGGTGTATTGTGTATTGGGTCTAGGAGTGGCGGTGTGTATTGGGTCAGAGGAAGTGGTGGGTTGGTGTATTGGGTCTAGAGGAAGTGGTGGTGTGGTGTATTGGGGGTAGTGGAAGGTAGTGGTGCGGTGGGTGTACTTTGGAACTGAAGTGGTGGTGTGATGTATTGGTCTAGAGGAAGTGATGGTGTGGTGTACTGGGTCCAGAGGAAGTGGCGAGGTAGTGTATTGGGTCTAGAGGGAGCGGCGGTGTGGTGTATTGGGTCTAGAGGGAGCGGCGGTGTGGTGTATTGAGTCTAGAGGAAGTGGCGGTGTGGTGTATTTGGTCTAGAGGAAGTGGCGGTGTGGTGTACTGGGTGTAGAGGAAGTGGCGAGGTGGTGTGTTGGGTCTAGAGGGAGCGGCGGTGTGGTGTACTGGGTCTAGAGGAAGTGGCGAGGTGGTGTACTGGGTCTGGGTCTTGTGGAAGTCACTGAGTTAGGGAACTGGGTCTGGGTCTAGAGTGAGTGAGTGAGTTTAGTTTTACGCCGCACTCAGCAATATTCCAGCTATATGGCGGCGGTCTGTAAATAATCGAGTCTGGACCAGACAATCCAGTGATCAACAGCATGAACATCGATCTGCGCAATTGGGAACCGATGACATGTGTCAACCAAGTCAGCGAAACTGACCACCCGATCCCGTTAGTCGCCTCTTACGACAAGATAGTCGCCTTTTTATGGCAAGCACATGGGTTGCTGAAGACCTATTCTACCCCGGATCCTGGGTCTAGAGGAAGTGGCGAGGTGGTGTATTGGGTCTAGAGGGAGTGGCGGTGTGGTGTACTGGGTCTAGAGGAAGTGGCGAGGTGGTGTGTTGGGTCTAGACGAGTGGCGGTGTGGTGTACTGGGTCTGGGTCTTGTGGAAGTCACTGGGTTAGTGAACTGGGTCTGGGTCTAGACGAGTGGCGGTGTGGTGTACTGGGTCTAGAGGAAGTGGCGAGGTGGTGTATTGGGTCTAGAGGGAGTAGCGGTGTGGTGTATTGGATCTGGATCTTGTGGAAGTCACTGGGTTAGTGAACTGGGTCTGGGTCTAGACGAGTGGCGGTGTAGTGTATTGGGTCTAGAGGGAGCGGCGGTGTAGTGTATTGGGTTGTGGTCCAAAAGAAATCTGTGATGTAGCATGTTGGGTCTGTATCTAGAGAAGTCAGTAATATAATATTTTCAATCTGTGATGTTCATCAGAGACAGAGCATATATTTGGTGAGTGCTTGTGACCATTTTCACAATATAGGAGCTCGTAATTTGTCCGCAAAAACATCAAGCCAGGTGGTATGAAACACTGCCAACTTCTATTTATCGAACTGTCTGCTGACCAATAAAAATTATGACTCAACCGAGGTTTGACGTCCATGTGTCGATCTACCACACATGAACCGGGCTTCAAGTCCACGGTACATTAACCACTCATCAAAAAACCCAATAAAATTTATCAGTATATTGCACTAAGTTTATCAGTATTGTACTCTGTGAACCTGTGGACAATAACACAACACAGATATATTTAATTAATGAGGCGGGATTAATCTAATGGCTTGTTCGAGGCAGGTATTTCTGCCAATCACGTTCGACATATCTAGGTACCTCAACAATTACTGTAAGATTAGAAAACACTGCTTAATTCACAACAGGCTTCGACACACGTACAAATTACAGCAGTTCTTTTCATGATTTACCAATCCTGTGTTAAAGTGAAGTTTATTAATATGTGGCTTGAAATCATACGATTCGAGGTACGCAACTTAATCTGATTTAAAAATCACACATATACGCACGCACGCACACACATACACACCCATGTCTAGATCTTCGAGACGCTAGCAAACACATAACTGATTTATTTACGAATGCAGTCGTCTTTGCAAACTGCTGCGTCAGCTATTTCGAGTTCAAGGTGAGTCAGGTCGAACTAAAGCGTCGTGACAGGGATCGATGCTAGGTAGATATTCTGGTTCCCACTTCTGCCCAGAAACAATACACCACGTGACAATCAATACGTTGTGTTGTAGAAACTTGCCTTCGGCGTCAACAGAAGCGCCAGTTCTAAAAGTAATTGTGTTTATTAGAAACAAACAGTCTTTGATTCATCAATTTTGGTTGGGTTGGTAGGAAACAACCAGATGTTTTAGAAACTCAATACAAATGTACTTCGCGTTGACCTCATACCATTTCAATATTAAAGTACTCTAAGAAAAAGAAAGAAAAGTAAATCTTTCGCTACGATGGAACTGGTACTATGGACCTCGCGATGCCAGATGTTCCGTTGTCACGTCGACAGCTTGGGTTCGCCAGGTACAATCTCAGATGATTTACAACGTCATAACCTAATAAACGATATTGCCTACCAATACATCACCAACAGACATCGTCTGTGTATACACACTCACAACAGACTACGTTATTCTGGTTCGTTATTAAAATGATCAGATCTGATCATCATCGCCAGTTGCCGCTCGTTTGTATGGAGATATCGACTATCCGAATGCAAGCTTATTATTGACGCCAGGTGCGCGTTACTCTGGCTGGAAAATGGACGTGCTAACACGACCTTGACCTCCAGCATTGTGTCTGATTCAATAACTGTGATTACCACACACGTGATAATAACCCCGGACAAATTAGAAGCTGGGGGAAGTTAATCATTGCCCCAACTACAGAGAAACAATATCTGAGGTTCACACATGATACTAATTACACAGTTTAGACACAGACACGAAATTACCAGTAGACAGAGCACAAAATTGAACATTTTATGGGATATCTTGGATTTAATGAACGCTGAACACGCGTGTAGGAGGTTATGTTCATTAAGAAATAGAAGGCCCTGTAACTAAAATGTCATTAGTTCGTTTCACCAAGGCAATAGTCATTTGAAGACTGGTTTCTGGCTGTACTTGCGTTGTGACATATTTGTTTATTGGAGCTGAAAACCCTATTGGTATTGCTCTGGGCTGTATTTCGCTGGTTTACTGACACATAGCATGGTAGTTAAATGTCATGTCAGTCTATGAAATCTCATCACCTTACATATTACACGCTAAGGAGTATAACAGATAAGAGACAGTGTTTTGCTCTTGTGAATATAGTATCCCATATGACGTCATAGATTCAGTGCCGTGTATCATAAGCCATAGAAACGTCGTGCGTTGTGTAAACACGTTGCTGTCGCCTCCGATGCAGCAGCGTCAACATGTCAAACTACACCAGCATGTGTTTACCGTCCACGACACCACAATGGCTACTCAAATATACATGTCGTGGATTGATGCTATTTCCCGTGTAGTTTCTGAAAACATTTATTAGAGAAGCTTTTAGGAAATATAACCTGAGAGACCATATATGTTATCTGATAACATGTTCGGTAAATGTCCGCAACTTTCCGGCAACATCGGGGCGGGATACACCTAACACCGGCGGGACGCGTCGGTATTGTGAGTCAGTAGGGTTTAATGCCGCTTATAGCAATATTCCCGCAACATACCAGGTCTTCACACGTCATCACGAGTGTGTGATATGGTTTCCAGAACTATACAAGACAAACCGATGGTCGATAGCGCGAACATTTCAAATCATCGGTGAGTGATGGTATGCCTTTAAGGGCACTAGACTGTTGAAATAGTCGCTCAGGCAATAATTAGTCAAAACCGTAGCATCCTGTGCTAAATTATGTTAAACATAATGTCCAATAAAATCTTGTCTATTTTTCATAATCGGTCAGGGCCAGGGGGTAGCCTAGTGGTTAAAGCGTTCGCTTGTCACGCCGAAGGCCCGGGTTCGATTCCCCACATGGGTACAATGTGTGAAGTTCATTTCTGGTGCCCCCCGCCGTGATATTGCTGGAATATTGCTAAAAGCGGCAAAAAACTGAACTCACTCACTCACTCGTGCCGACTTGCAGCATGCAGTATCAAGCCTGCAATATCAAGGCAGTTGACACCAGTATTTGGCTCTGTACACGTGGGGACTCGAACCCGGACCCTTCGGCGTGTCGGACAAACACTTTAACCGCTAGGCTACCACTAAGAGACATGGTACGTTAGTGTGCTACTCTGGATATTGAGGTACCCATAAACGAGATTGCAGTTGGTTAAACTGTTTGATGTCGGAGTAACAGCAAATAACCGATACAAGAACAAACATTCTTTTGTATTGATCTGTTTCACTTGCTTACGCTGCAGACTTTCGTGGAAGTAGACAGAGAGAGTGTTAGTAATCTGATCGATGTCATGATACAGGAAGTATTGTATGTGTCGTGTTCAACAGTTTCATGCCCTGTATATTATGTAGTT